TGAAACGCCTGATGAACATGCCAAATACGAAAAACTCATCGGCCAGCTCAAGTATTATTAATATTGTTGAAATTATATTCATGTTGGTGCATACGCTAAAACTTCTTCTTGCATAAATGTGTGCTTGGTGCCAGTTTAAATCATGAAAATGTTATGAGGTGAAGATTGTTATTATTTTGTGAGTGCTACGCCACTTGGTAATATTTTTACGTTAACTTATCAACATTGTTTATTACCGTGAATAAAGAAGTTCCAGATAAAAACTGATTGATAAGGAGTAAGCATGTTTACAACTTTCTAGATCACGGACTAGATTTCTAGATTCAATTTGCATTGCGAAGACGTCCATGACCTACTAACCCGTTATAGTGTCCGACATTTCAAATTTTATTTTTAATTGCTCCTTTTTAAAACATGATAGGACATTTTATTTTTTTTTTAAATAGAGCTTCAGAAGCAAAGTCAAGATTACAAACTTCAAAGCAAAAATCTGTTACTGACCAAGTGACTATTGATAAAATAATGAAATAAACGTGTTAATAAATATCGAACTTTTTTCTATTGAACGAAAGAGAAATGACTTGCAGTATATAGTAGCAAATCAGCTGACTGCAGTTTCAGCTGTCAGAATTGAAGCACTTTTACAACAGCAAGATTCATATTACAAGAAAATACAATTTGATAAAATTTCAGTAAGTTTAGTTTAATTTTTTCTACCTTGTGTTTATACAATGCTACTTTCTTTTGTACTCACGCGTGTTCCCTTTTTATTAAATGTAAATTAGAGAGCTCTACTTGAATACAAATGAACTAACTTTATGTTCAATTCATATCTTAAAGACTTTCAAACTGGTTTATATATTAAAAACAGTTGAAACAATTTGGTTAATTTTAAAATAATTTCATTCAAGAGAGAAAGGATCAAAAAAATCATGGACAATCGCGTTTAAATCTCTTCTGATGGGATTACTCGATCATGATCGTTAGAAGATGCTGTTAAAGACTGGTTAAAACATTTCTTCAGTTGCATCGTGAAATATATTTCTATTCTTTTTAAATAGATAACTTTTTTTGTTGATATTTTTATATCAACCTTATGAAACATTAAAAAATCAAACTGAACGTTTTTGATTATCCCAACATCAGTACAAAATGTCTAACAATGAATTTTAGCTGGTGTACTCCTTGAGGGTTTAATATTTATTTTGAAGCTTGTTTATTTCATATAAGAATGTATGTATATCACTTTTCGTTTATAATTTAAGCTGATGACTTACAAGATGATGTACAAGTTAACACCAACACACACACTACATTTCATATGTATTCTTGCTAGAGAGGAGATGGATGAGTAATGTCTAAGCTTCATTCATTTTAAATAACTAAACACAGCACACACCCGTGCAACGCAATATGTTTTTCCATAACTAAATATTTCATTATACAATGTATATACATATGTATGCATATGTAAATGATATATATTCATGTATAAACGTATTATATATATATATATACATATATATATATATATATATGTGTGTGTGTGTGTGTCTGTGTGTGTGTCTGTGTGTGCAAGTTTATTTCTTCATAATGTTTCTACTTTGAAGTACTCTTCATTGTAAACATTTGGATGGAAAGAATTATCATAGACTACACTATGTTATTAATTTGTATTGTGGTAATCCATTTTGCGTTGTTGCCTATTTAAATTGTTTCAATAATTCTTGCATTATAATAATATATATATGTCTAAATAATAGTATTAATAATGAATTGAAAAATTTGCAGTTGAACTTAACAACACATGTGAAGTTACATCCACAAAATAATCTATAGTTACACTTATAACGAATTAGATTGTATATAACACGGAAGAAATTACAGAATTCTAAGAATAGATACAAATTTCAGAAATTTTATGATTTAATTAGATTTTATATAACACGGAAGAAATTACAGACTTCTAAGAATAGATACAAATTTCAGAAATTTTATGATTTAAATAATAATTAAATAACTAAACCTATAAGTATATGATTAATGAAATTCATTTAAATGTTGACATTCTTATTAAAATAATTTGATTAGAAATTACACCAAACATATAAACAACATAACTGCCACAATGAGTGAGGGTTTGTTCTAAGGAATATCGGGAGGGGAAATTTTCGGAAAATTAGCAACATTTAGAAATCGGGAGAACGGGAACTAATTTTAATAAGAATGCTAGAAAATTTCATATAAAATTAAATAACTTCTTAAAGAACAAATGAATGCCAGATTCAGTTTAATTTCAAACACTCGCTTTAAAAACAAATTAGTCGACGGTTGGGTCAAGTGGTAGAAAAGCCATGTCTCGCGCTGTTATTACGCGATGGTCTGATTCGAATAAATACCGTCTGTTCAAACTCAAAGACTTTCATACGCCTTGCGTGTGTGATACAGTGCTTGCGCGTGCATTCATAATGTGTTTATACGTCGCGTGGAGTGGATAGTAGAGTATATTAAGTATAATATCATGTAGGCAGTTCTGCGTCTGTCAGAGCTGCATAATAAAAAAGAAAATGAATAACTTTAAAAGTTGAATTGCTTGTAATCTAGCTGTTCAATTTTGTATAAAAATTGTTAAGAAAATTTCTATTATTTTAAATTAAGTAGAAAAACAAATAAAGCATTCAAAGCTCAAACGAGACAACTTACATTAGACCCACATTAGATTAGAAGATAAGCTTCAAAAATTTATTGATAGTTTTTAAATTTTTAAATTTGATAACAGGATGGATGAGTCAGGTGAAAATGTCCTTAATTGCCGAATTCAAACTGTACGGAGTAACACGTCATAAGAGGACTCAAAATTCGTAATTTCTGTGCAACGCTCTTCCGTCTTCCGCCATCCTCCGTTGAAACCGAAAGAACTGTTTCTTCAATAAACAGACTGGCATGCAAAATTAGATCTAGACTAAGTGATAAACACTTTAACAATTTATTATTTTTGAATTGTGGCCAAACAACGTATCAATTCTAACCCTGAAGATGGCATAGAAAGATAAAAAGCTTTTTTGTTCTATCACGCTTATAATAATTAAAAATTTTGGTTTTGAACTCAAGAAACTTGACAATCATTTACGATTTACTGTTAGAAAATCGAAAAATTAAATAGGAAGCTAATTAACGCTGAACATGCTGTGATTTCCATCAATAATTGCATTTCTGACAGTCTTTATGAAATACATATATAATTATATAAAAATTATTAAAAAACTAAAATCAATGACAAGAATTCTGGCAAAAATTATTGTCTATTGTCAGACGTTAACAAATCACTAATTGCTTCGATATCAGCTACAAACTGGTTATATAAGTGATTTATTAATAAGGTATGCAAAAGTAAATTAAATAGTATTTCTTTAAAAAATCATCTTAACAAAATGTAGAATGAGAGTCAGGTCTTATCATTTATGAAAAATATTGATTTCTTGATGTTAAAATAGTCTTTGCTTTTTGTTGTAGGGTGGGATAACATTAACGTTTAATGTAACATCATTATGTAATGTGTCTTGGTTAGTGTCATGATGATACATATCATAAATAGAATTGTCATATCTATGCTTGTCATTTCGAAATCTGCTGCTGTGGTTATTAATGTCATTTCTGTTAATGGTGTTACCAAAGTTGTTGTCATGATTGTTGATTTTTTGAAAGTTGTTGTTTGTGGACATGCTGAATGATTTGTAGCACGGGGAGTTACAGTTAAGCCATCCTGAGTTACTTGAGGTGCGTATTGTGTTGCTGTTGTTATTGGAATGATTTTGATGACCAAGTTGTTGTTGTTGATCAACATATTAATGTCACCACTGTTTTTGTTGATGTCGTCATAAATGTCATATAAAATATTAGATTGGTTGTATGAGTTGATGTTGTTTTGCTTATACGTTGGTCTTTGATAGTTGTAACGGTTGTTATTGTATGTATCAATATTAATTTGATTATAGTTGTTATTGTATGAAGATCTGTCTGTTGTATGAATTGTTGAATATATGCGCATTATTATAGTATGCATTGTTTTCGTTGTTGTACATGTTATCGTTGTTGTACACGTCGTTTGTTGTTATGTCTATAGCTATTAGCATTATCGTGAAATTTGCTCTTCCCTAGTTGCTGAACATATTGGTCATTGGGATGTCCACTCCATGTATCTGCAGCTGCTGATGACGATTCATCCTTTTTCCTCCTTTTCCTCATTGTCATTTTTGTTTGTTGCACTCTTTGCTTGACCAATTAGCTTATTCTATTTATTCCATGAGTGCAATGTACACCAATAATATCTAAATTATCATTATTCTCTTTAAGGAAGGTATCAACAGCTGCGAAAAACTATCTAATAACTTAAGCCTTCGGTACTTTGTGGTCTTCAGTGTGGATTTTTTTGTATCCTACTCCTTGGTCTGTTATCAACTTATCAAAATAGTATTTGTTGGGATTAGATCAATCACTAATCCTAATTTGAGGTTCTGTCTCAAATGTAGAGTGAATGGGGCAACACCAAGTGGGAGGTGCCTATTAAATTTTTCAGCCAGAGAATTTTTCAATGCGATGAATCTCGTACCACTGATCAACTTGCCGATCGCTTCGTAGCTCTCCCATTCGTCCGAAATTTTCATTTTTTAAAAATTCTTGACCAGAATGGCCATTTCCCGTGTAAATAACAGAAAAATCCCTAAATAAATAAATAAATAAATATATATATATATATATATATATATAGGGGAAAACCGGTATAAGATTCATTTATCAAATTTTCTTCAGCTAAATCCTAACAAATCTGAAGTAATGTTTCTAGGTAATCCGCAATAGTTTATCAAATATTCCCCCCATCCCATTCTTCTCTCTCTTCAACCTCTAAACTTAAATTTTTAGGTTTAACCTTTGATTATTTTCTATTTTTTAACTCTCATGTTTTAGCTTTGATCAAATCTTGTAACTTTTATACGTGGACTATTCGTCATATTCGTAATTTTCTCACTGAAGATATTGCTTCTGCACTGGCTCGATGTCTCGTGCTATCACGTTTATATTATTGTAATTCTCTTCTCTACGGTCTTTCTTCCAACTTTTCAACTTTACTTCAAAGACCTCAAAATAGAGTTGCAAAAGTTGTTTTAAATATCAATAATTTATCTTCCAGCACAGATTCACCCATTCAACTACATTGGTAACCAATAGGTCCACGCATTATATTTAAACTCGCCGTCCCACGTACAAGTTACTTGATACATCTCAACCATCATATCTTCATCAACTCAGATCGCGTTGTTCATCAACTCGTCACTTCCTTCGTCTCCATATATTCAGTTGCATCAAGCTGTCAGCAATCCATCAGTTGCCAATAAATGTTTTACATACAGCTCTCCTTCCATATGGAATGGTTTGCCTGCCATCATTCGTCAACAACCAACCGTGAAACTTTTTAGGAAACGATTAAAGAACTTTTTGTTTATCTAGGCCTACGGAAACTATGCATAGGACGCGATATAAATTAATAATAATAATATTGATAAAATCTACCGAATTTTTAGCTTTTGAAAGTTGTTTACGATTGTTTTAAAAGTTCAAAAGCTAATAAATTGGTATATATATATATATATATCTTGTCTAATTTAAAACTCTCTGAGGGTTGAATATATATATATATATATATATATATATATATATATATATATATATATATATATATATATTATGTTGCATTAAAAATATATATTAAACACTCATTGTTTTATTTTCGTATATGAAACTACTCTAGTAAGAAACTGATTGTTAAAACTGGTAATAATTTATTATAACACCTGTTTACTGCCAACATTACTAACTAATAAGTTTAAAATTTGTTGTCCATGCGGCTAAATACCATGCGACAAAAATGCGCAACGAAAGCACTACTTTTTTTGAAAGAAATTTTGCATTAAACAAGCAATTTTATTTTTGAGAATTAGACCCCAATTAGGCAAATATGAATTATAGTTTGTCCTTGTTTTCACTCATTTCGAATTGCATGTTTTAAAATGTCAAAAATTATATTTCAAAATAATTTTGAACTTTAAACTTTTTACTCATATTCGTATTTTATTTCTTTTTTATTATGAACCAGCATAACCTCAACAAAAATTAAACCTTCAATGATGTATCCAAGTTATTTTTTCTTATCACGAACAATTGGAAAACATAATAATTTTCTAATTAAGGAGCCTTGAACAAATTTTGGAAACTTGTTGTTCGTAATTTTTAAAAAGTTGTTGGTGATTGGTAGATGCAGCGGTAATTTGAGGCAGTTGGTTGTGTTTCAACAGTCCCGGACTTTGTTTTCACAAGAAAAATTATTGACAGTTTTTTTACTGAAAACATTTAAAATTTTTTTACAGTTGAAAATTAAGCATCTCTGCTAAATACTGAAATTCTCACAAACTTGTGAATATGTCTTGCTTCCTACTATGATTGTTTTACGCGTGTGTGATCGTGCATTCGTGTAGGCGTGTGTGTATTTGTGTTGTAGTGTGCAGTTGTTCAAGTGTATCAAATAAACGTGTGTGTAGCTAGCTATGTGCTTGTGTGTGCGTGAAAATTTTGGTGCTCTTTCATTGGTGCCTTCTACGACAAATGACATATCGCTTGTTTTTGAAAATTCGACTTTATATAAAAAATGCATTCCATTTATTATTTCAAACAAATCAAATTTTTGAAAAACTGAGGCGCCCTACTAGACCTAGTCAACTTCTCATAAAAACATGACTTAACTTACGCTGTTGGTGAAGTAACCACTTTTTTTGCTTTTGCTTATCACGCCAATTTTTGGTCAATTTCTACGTAAAAACGGTGTTTTCCTATCTAAAATCAGAGTTTTACTGACATTTTATTAAAAACGCTGGTCAAAACAGAAGAGCCATGGCCCCCCAACTCCCATAGATTCGCCACTGGATGATGGCTTAGAGTTAGTAATGGCATTGAACATCCACTAAAATGAACCTAGTTAATTTCATCCATTTGTTCAAAACATCTAACTGGAAATAAGCTTAACTTATTGTTACTCAAATTTATTAATAAATGTATTTAACTAATCGTCTACATTTAATAAAATTTTCATCCTATAATACCACATTTATTGAATAAAATTCCTTAGAGATGATGAAAATAAGAGATAAAAGTTGAAATTAAAATGGTCTGATTTAAATTTATTAAAAAACTTTACTCAGTCGATATGTGCAATAAACAAAAAATTACAATATAAAAATAACTTGATAGTAAAAACAAAACTCTTCATCTTTAAGTATAAAAAACATGAATGTGGTGAAGAGTAAGCAGTACGCACGGGCTTCAAGTGTACCTACATGTTCTCAGACAAGTGAACCTTGTGCATCTTCTAACACAAACACATACAAATTATTTTTAAAATAACAATGAATAACTCTAATAAAACATCTTCATATTGATAAACTTTTACATTGAATATTAGCATCAGTGTTTTAAATGATGATTGCATTAGCTACTATAATAATATGATATGGGAATATTAATTTCTACTTGGGTTAATGTATGTACGTATGGACATATGTATGCACGAATGCGTATATGTATATATATATAAATAAATATATATATATATATATATAAATGTGTATATATCTGTGTGTATGTTAATGTATGAGGCATCGCAGAGGAGCATCTTCATTTAGTTCACATTATGTTTATAACTCCACGTACGAGGAGCCTGGATGTACAAATGCTCATACATTCCATACACCTTCCTTCATACACGTTCATAGAGTTTCGCACATTCTCACACAATTCCACGCACGTTCACACAGGTTCATGTGCATTTATGAGTTTGTGAACATTGTTACGTGAATAATAACATATTGAATCAGTTGGACAGTTTACGTTTGTATTTATACTAGCGGCATCTTGTGCCTCAATATGGACATGATGATGAACAAGTTCGGAGATAGCATGATAAGTTCCATATTTATCGATACTTTTGATACTTTTATACTTTCTGCACTTTAAGTTTGTCGCTAAACTATTTAATATATATATATATATATATATATAATTATATATATATATATAATTATATATATATAATTATTTATATATATAATTATATATATCTATATATAAACGTAAACTTGACAATTTTTTGAGTTTACACATAAACCTATATATATATATACACATATATACATATATTTAGATATATAAGGTTATATATATATATAAAAGACATATATATATATATATATATATATGTATATATATATATATGTGTGTGTGTGTGTGTTTGTGTGCGTATACAATTAACACCGTAGTTGGTGTAGTAATGTGTAAATAGGTTGAACAATCTCATCATAATCATATGGTGATGCGTTAAACATCTTTTTATTTGGTTTATAATTGATATATATATATATATACATACATATATATATATATATGTATATATATATAGTTACATATGCATATATTTAAAATATATTTACATACGTGTATGCTTATGTAGTTGCCTATAAGTATAGAATGTTATAAAAGTTGAATGAAGCAGTCGTAGGTAGGTTGTGGTTGGTGCTAACCACCAATTACTTCAAAAAAAGAGAACTGTCTCTAACAATTATTTTCTAAATTTTAAAATTGAAACAGTATCTTTAGAAAATAATAATTTTGTTCACGTTATTGCAAGATAGTTGAATTGATTGTTTTCTGGTTTATATTTATATATAGATATATTATATATATAAGTGTGTGTATATTACCTTTATAATTACAAAGATTCAACTGAAATTTTATTTTAAAATCGCTTTTCATCTATAAGGAAGAATAATTCTGCGGACAGTTGAACGTTCGATATTAAGAAAAACTGTAAAGCTTTTATAATAGATAGTAGTTTCGTACGTAGGTGATTACAGGAGAGCTTGTGCAGTCGGTAAGGATTTATTTAAACTTTGAATCATCATTTGTTAAACCAATTCAATGCAGTAGACTATATTTATGCTTTAAAAACTTTTCTTTGAGTTTTTGGAATTGAAAAAGACATTTTTACGTGAATTACTTTTTAAATTAATCTTTTTATTTGCAATAATATTTCGTTTCCTTGTTTGTTTCGGCCATTGCAAAAATTTTATTAGCGAAAAATTTATATTCGCTTATAATTTCATTTAAGGAAAACATTTTGACTGATTAATTAATTAAATAATTATAAATTTTTTATGTTCATATATTGCCCTAGAACTAGAAGATGCTACAAAATCTTTTGCACTGTTTGTTTTATTTTTGAAGTAAAAATGTAAACTAGACATTTGTATAAATAAAACTACCAAATTTTGAAAAAAATTGGGCTAAAGTTGTTGTGCCCTACAACCGAATCTTTGGCAGTTATAGTATTTGTTATTTTGATCTTGTGCTGAATGAGTTGCTTTCGTTTTTACCAACATCTGAAGTAGTTATTAACCTAATTAACAAACTTATTATTAACATCAAACAATTCGTTCTGTAAGTCACCTTAAATCACGCCAACTCTCAAACCCTGATCGACCGCGTTCGTTCAGCTATCAAATATTCTCAAAAGTTTATATTGTGGTTGACTTTTCTTTTCTAAATTCATCTTGTCACTTATTGGAAACATTTTTTTTCTGTAACATAATCAACCAATGCATTTTTATATAACTTTAAAACAACTTGCAAAGCACTCAGTTCAATAAGATCGGTCTAGCTTTCTGCTTGGAAAAATTAACATTTTTATAGTATTATATAGTATTAGAATATCCAAAAAGTGACTCAAAAATTTAGTAACGACTGTTAAACATTCCACAAGAATTCCTGCAAATTTGGACTTGTTTAAATACTTTAATCCAACCATAATGGTAGTTTCGAGAGAAGAAAATTGCAAACCCACTGACCTTGTCTGATCTTGAAAACACTCTACTGAAATAATTTGCTAACTCATTAGTAATATAATAATTCTTGTTATCTTTTGATGTTATATAAATAGTCAAACAAAAACTTGTTTTATCATCACAATGTTGTTCACGTGCTAGGTTAGTGTGATTTTTTTAGCAAGATATTCCACGATGGATAGAATGCTGGCTGCCATTTTTCAGGCCATAAATTTTTTTGAAACTTTAATGAAATTTTAATTTTATATGCTGCAATTTTTTCCATGAACAAAAAATGTTACATTTGCCAAATTGAATCGTTATTATTCATTTTTACATTCTTTTATTGATAATATTTTACGTTATATAATACCAGATTAAGATAATTTTTAAATCAAATGTTGACAAAAACTACAAAGCTGTTGTAGACCTATTTTGCATGTTGACAATCAAATCTTAGCTTTGTACACATGAATATCCAATGCCGGATTAAGATTTTTCGGCCCTGGCCGAAATGCATTTGGTGGCCCTCTGAACTGACCCTTCGATTTACGGACCTACATTTTTTAGAAACCCAAACTTAAAAAGCTGTGCGGCTGTTTATTTTTTTGATTTTTTATTTGTTGTGATCGTTATCTTTATCGTTATGTTGTGATCGTATATTTTTTACAATTTTTATTTTTTTAAAGAAGGATTCTTCGCTATTTTTACATTTTTTGCTAATAATGGTTCACTATGTTTACTTGGTCAGCTATGTTTTGAAATTTAATAAAATGGTGTTATATGAATTCCCTAACAATAATATGCAAACAATATTATTGGACGTAGGCTGTGTGGACATACAATACCGCGTTTAACCTATTGTTAATCTCAGGCTACTCTTAACCCGTGGCATAATTGAGAATGACCTCTCCTCTTCACAGTTGGTGCACATGAGGAACAAATAATTGCGCATAGCAACTTCATCGTTGGAGAATGTTGATTAAAGTCCATATTTAGTAATGAGGACTAACGACTGGACAGAAGACGGTTTAGAACGAACAAGATTTTCACAAAAGTGAACAAATTGCAAAAATTCGTTCGGAAAGGTTTCTCCAAGGTCGTCCTTAAAATGATTAACAAAACTTTACGCTTTTTTTAAATGATCGCTGTATCTGGACATTTTGTGTAAACTTAAAAACATTAAAAACAGTTGTATTCTAATTATAGGAGTTTGTCTGATCAGCGCAATTCGTCGTCACACATTTGCATCAATATATCTCGCAATTGAGTCGTTCAGCCATGTTGCCCTTGCGTTAAACCGGCACCGTGAACATCTACATAAAACTAAAACAACTATACTCTTTGAACATAAATTAAGTGGATCAAATTACAATAAATTACAAAGTAGACTCACCATACGTAATGCATAATTCTTTGTGGCCCTGTCCAATTATCATCATTCAGTCATTCACGCAAACATTCAATTTATACTGTCGAGCTGCATGAAATAAACTTTTGTAATCAGGCATATTTCTAAAGAACATGTATGTACACAGTAAGGCTGTTATATTCCGGACCACAAACATGCCCAACGTATATTTTGTGTTCATAGTGGAGAGGTAAGACTTAAATTTTTGTGTAGGTTAAATATAGCCGGCGAGGCCCAATGATGGATGTTATTAAATCTGTTAAATAAAAAACAATTTTAAAATAACTGTCAAATTTTTATCAGAAAATATATTTTATAAATAGAGAAAAGTAAAGTTGTTTATAATAGTTTTGTATTTCACATTGAAAACTATACTTAAAAATTATTTTTCGTTTTTTTTCCGTTTTTTGTTTGTTGGTGCATCAAACTTTTTATTAAACATTTTACATTTGAATAGTTATTATTGATCGTGCATGACAAACCTGTTAAATGATATGAGCGAAAGATATGGCATTAATGATTTAAAATTACCGTTTTATTACCATTTATATTGCCATTTATACTTATTTTACAGTTTCATTTTTTTGACATGTCTTCGCCAATATTTTCCTCATGTTGTTTTATTTTACTCCCACTAAATGCATCTTATACGTTTTATATTCATAATTTTATTTTCATCGTTTCCTACCTTGCATGCTGTTATTTATTCTGCGTCTGATAGAGTTTGATTTATAGAATAAAAAAAGAAGCCATCAAATAATCTCCAGCCTGCTCCATCGGAGGTAGTCGTACGGAAAGGTTTCATGTTTGCTGGCAATTAGCATTCAATAATTAGCTTTGAAACCAACTCGTAATTTATACATGCTTTCATAACATGTCCGCCAGCATTTAGATTTTCAAATGTAGATCAAAGGAATTCAAATAATAATTCGCAATATAATGAAACTATGATAGTTTTATGATAGTTTCAAATATTGTGAAAACTTGTTTTATTGTATCAATTTATTTTAGCTGTAAATTTTAATTTTAATTTGAACATACTAATTAACTTAAAAATGTCAGCTTGATAATTATTTTAAAATATTTTTTGAAGACCTCTGTTACAAATAAGTCGTATTGCAACATTAAGTTTAACTAGCATTTTTAAGATTTCACTGTTAAAACTGTTTTGTTCTTTTTCTTTACTAGCTGTTTCTTTACGTTGTTCGGTTCTCTCTTTCTTCTACATGTCTACGTCTATTGCTTATTACCCCTTTTTAGTCATTTTTGAAATAAGCATCTCTCGCTAACCCTTCCTCCCAAGCATTTGCAACTTACTACAAAAAAATACCAAACTTGGTCGAGTTTTTAGGGAAGTTTTGGATGCTTTACAGAGTTTTATCTCAACTAATAAACTTTTTCTCACCACATTAGAGGCATACTTCTTATGGTCTTACTTGAGACAACTCTGAGCTCTTTTCTATTTTTCTCTACAACCCAATCACCTCAGGCCTCGATCCTCTAGAACAAACTTTGAATGTCCTGTTCATTTCTTTCTACAACTTCCACTTAACATATTTTTGAAAAACCTAATTTTGATAGATATTACATATATTGACAAGAAACCATTTTTATTTGAACTGTTTCCAAACAGAGGCAGAAAACAAGACACGGGAATCAAAAATATGAACCGACCAACCCTCTTTAGGAGACGTTTGGCAACTATGCTTTAAATTAAGAAAAAATTCTTAAATTTCTTTTCCAGTGCGCTTTTTAGACCATAGATGTCTCGATATAATTGCTACACAGTCTACACAGTATCATGACATCTGCTCCTGAACACTTGTGCATTAAGTTTTTATCTGATAATTTTTTTAGAGCTCAACAAAAAATGTTTTGTATTTTGATGTGTTTGTACTTACTTGTTTAATTAATTCAAATAGTTAATAAATTGGTTACAAATAAGGCCTCGTTAACTGCAGAACTTTATTAAACGTTATAAATGTTTGCTTAAAGATTCATTTGAAATATTATTTGATTTAAATTTGAGGGCAGTTTTCTTCAAATTTAGTTGTCAGTCTTTAGTTACCCTCAATGATTTTGTTTAATATCTGTTGAAATGAAGCCTAACAGGAATGAGTGTCCCTAACATTTGCTACGATGTGGACTCATGCACGAGCATATGATAGCATATACGCGTATATTGTACGCGTATATATATATATATATATATATATATATATATATATATATATAGACTATAACATTTATATAAAATCCGTATAATATAGGCTTTCTGTATATTAGACCGGTAAAAATGAGCCAATGCATATCGTTCTCTTCAAACGTTGTAATAAACGTTTTAAAGTTTAATTGTGAGTACATTTAAAGAGAACGCAACACTATTGATATATTTAGAATGGTTATCACCTACAGACCAAACAAATTTAATTTACTAGATTTACTAAGGAAGGAAGCATCTGTGTGGAGTGGAGAAAACCTTGCTGTTGAACCCTGGCTCTCTTAATCTCCTTCTGATTTACTCCTAACTACACCATGCAGTTCGCAACAATAACAATACAACTTTTACTCATCTTTAATTTAGTTTTCATCAAGAACGCCCAATCCAAAGTCTCCAGAGTTAGTCAATAATTGATTAATTTTATCTTTAGGTTTAACGCAATCTTTCATTTTTTATACACACTCTCATTAAATTATACAGAACCAACAGGTGTAATTAAACATTCAAACAAACCTAATACCTTAGAAAGGTAGATCAAAAACATCCTTAAATTACAAATTGAATATTTTGCATGAACTTTGCTACATGTGCTTTTCATTATTCAAACTTATTTATACAAATCTGCTGGCTGACTCCAGCTGTGTTTGGAGGAGTTGATTTAACGTTTTGATAAATGAATAAATAGAAAAAAAATGAATGGAGGCATGGGTGGATGAAAAAATGGATGGATGAAAGAATGGATGGGTAAAAGAATGGATAGATGAATGATGCACGAATTTATAAATGAATGAGTGACGCGTTCAAAGGGATTTGCTGCAAATTTAACTTTCATTTTCTAATGAAATATTCAATTTTTTTAAAACTTATATTCATCAATTAAATTAGTTAAGTTAATGCTTTGTAAAATGATTTACAATTAAAATTAACTACAGTGTTTAGTTAAATTATTTAAGAGATAATTTCAGTAAAATCGAACAATATAAGTTATAAAAGTTTAGATAAAATGAGTCATACTTTGTTGAATTCATCCTCTTTCCATGTCATTGCACACGCATGATCGTCAAATCACGAACGGCTCATCTGATTCGTTTGTCTCTGTTTATATTTGCTATGGAATGATAACAATGGGAAAGTTTTATCAAGCAAATTATTATTTTTCTACATTCACTTGTGAAAGTCACCAAATGTAGGTTATAATCATGAACGAAAAATTTACTCTCCATAAAACAAGATTCATTGAGACCCTTTAGTCGTTTTAAAAACTAAAAAAATTAAATTTTTTGGTAAAGTCTTTAAACGATAACTTATTTAAATTGTTTACAATTTATTTTAAAACCAAATTAACAAATTAACGCGCTGATGAATGAAACAACATCATTTTGTTTGAGTCAGAATTTTTTTGGAAACGCCAAAAACGTGAAGGTTGCTGACTCGTCAAATTGATATTTGTTACCTTTATTGGGGGATTCTTTTTTGGTTTGGACTCCTTTTTGTAGAATCTGCTTCATCTGGATCTGGCCATGCACAGACAATTACTGAAAGATAATTAATAGCAAATGAAATATAATTGCATGCTGAAGTAGATAATAATCACACAGAACAGAGCTTGATGACATGCCACATTAAATAATAATGAGAATTATTTCATATATATAAATCATATAAATAATTATAACGTGAATTATTATTTAATATTAGTTTTTGCGTGGGGAGTGATCATATATCAATAATAACCTTAACCTAATGGCGTAATTGCATATCATTAAAAGTGGATCCAGGTTCTTGTTAGTATACATTAGTAGTAAAAACGTTTTAACAACTATTTTTAGATATAAACAAATCCCAATTAAATAATTTAACTCGTTATCTGATACAGATATATCGTTGTTCTAGAACGTTCTTACTGAATCTTATTTTATTCTCGTAATTCCAGTTTCGGTGGGGGAATAAGCTTCAAATTTTTTGAGTAAATGATTTTTTTTATACTTTGGGACGGGAGGTGCAAAGCCGCATCGCCTCTGCCTATTGATTATAGCCAAATACTAATTTGCGTTAAGGAAATATTAGGTAGCTGCAGTTATAAAAATTTATTTGCTGAAATTCTTACCAGTCGCTTTTATGTCTCCATAATTGGACATCTGTAAAAAATATTCTCATAAAATTTTTTTTTGTTACCTTTACACTGATATTCTTTTTTTGAATAATGATTAATAGTAGCCCTATGGAAAAACAGGGATCAGTCCAAAAAACAAAATATTCGATAGCGGCTGCGAGAATCACAATTTTAAAATAGAGTTTATCAGCAGTTCAGTTTCATGTTATGAAGTAAGAATTTCTAAAAAATTACTGGCGTCTGGCTGGTGCAAAAAGCTTTCTAAATCACTACAATGCTGCTTGAGAATGATTCGGCATAACATTGTATATTTCGTGTTAATCCGATATGAGGCAAATGAAAAAAAAATTTAAAAAAACAACATAAGATTATTCAATGAGACAAAATATTTAAAAAATTCCATGTTCATTTTTTTTAAAGAAAAATTTTGTTACAAAACGAGCAACGTTTGCTTAGCATCACATGCTACAGTAAATAACGATGTTTTGTTTTGCTACAATGACATCTTTACATCTGGTTGATTGAGTAATTTAACGAATTAATAAATTATTTAAATGATAAAAACAAATAACAACATGATCAAACAAATGGACCAAGTAATATTTAAATTAATTTTTAACTGATCTGATTTTGATTAACCAATGGAAAGATTAAAAAAAATAAGATGAAAAAATCGTTTCTATCCGTATAATAAAAATGAAGTTATTCACATAATTATTTATTTGTAAACATGAATATTTATATAAATAACATAAATATTTATATAAATAACATAAATTATTATTTATATAATTTGTTTGCACAATTAACACAAAAGTTCGTTTTTCTCAGCGCCAGACTGACACTGATGATGATTCTTCGGGTTTTGACGATAACGAGAATGATTACGACGGTTAGATACTTCTTTTGAAACTATTTTGATTTAAATGGAACATATAGATTTTTCTTAATGTTTTCCTATTGACATGCAGCAATAGCTCACTCAATATTTATGTTTTGTTGGTTAAAATCATTTTTTTATGCATGCAGATCCAGCAGAGTCTGACACGTGGTCATGGGTCTACACGTTCAAAGTCATCCCGGGATATCAGGAACCTCCATATTTAAGAGCTCTTTTAATGGATGAGAGAAATTTGGACAGAGTTAACGATTGTCTCGAACCTTTTGAAATTGTAGTCAAATACGATGAGAAGTAATTTCCTAATAATCATAAAAAAATAATCAAATTATATATATATATATATATACATATATATAATTGTATATATATATATATATGTATGTATGTTCATATAAATATATATATATTATTGTTATTATTAAAAATAATATATATAGCGCCCATTCAACGTTCTCACAGGGGCTCTCAAAAAATAAAACTTAATTATATACGTGGCAAACAAAATAGGTAAAAAATCAAATTCAATTCAACATCAATGAAAATAAAAATGTCTTGTTTTTAAATCTTTTTTAAATGATTGAAGATGAAGCTCAGGTTTTCTCAGCGATGCAGGGAGACTGTTCCACAGAGGGACCAGCAATTGCAATATCACGTGATCCCATCTGTTACCTTGCCGCTGGTACCCCTAAGAGATTCGTATCATCTGACTGAAATCAGAAACTACATGCCGTCCTTTTTCTGTAAATTTATTGGTTACGTAATCTGGTGACATTCCGTTTAAAGCCTTGAACATGATCACACCAATTTTAAAGATTATCCTCTTATCAATCGTCAACCAGTGCAAATCATTCAAAATTGGCGTAACGTGGTCAAACTTCAATTTACCAGCAACTAACTTTGCAGCTTTGAACCGATTGCAGAATAGAAATAGATTTGTCAGGTATTTTATACAAAAAGCTATTACAGTAATCTAATCGAGACAAACACATGCACCAAAGTTTCCAAGGTTGATCTGTCCAACCAGTGCTTAATTTTATATAAATTCAGGAGACAAGAGATTTATGAAACTGATATCATCTTTATATGATCCTTCATCAATAATCTACTATCAAGCAAACTCCCAATTTGGTGGCAGCATGAATGAACGGTATGTTAACATCATTTACTGTGATGGAATTTAAATTTAATTTTACCAACTGTTGCCATGTGCCAACCGGAAGCAGCTGAGTCTTGCACTGATTGAGTCTCAATGAGTTACATGAGATCCATTTTCCAACCTCCGCTAAGCATTTGGCAAGTTTATCAACCTCAGCCTTGAAAAAACCAGGACGACCAGTCACCAATATTTGAATGCCATCTGCAAATGCAAGACAGGCAAATCCATGAAAATTGGTAATTTTAAGTACATAATATAAACAGAATAGGTCCGAGAACAGATTCCTGAGGTACCCCTTATTTGACCATTTTGACATCAGACAGCACATTATTGAACAAGATCTGCTCGGTTCGACCCGTCATATATGAATATATAAACATATGAATATATATATATATATATATATATATATATATGTTGGTAATAGACCATAATTTATAAAATATTGTAAATATATATATATATATATATATAAAATATCACCGCATTTTCCACATTGTCGAGTTTGTAACTAAGTTTCTAAATTTTTCAAACAATTATTTTATCAATATTATTCAATTTATTCAAGCTTTTTTCAGTAATCTTTACCATCATCAGTGTAATAGAGTTTGTGACATTGTTATATGTAGTTCGTCAGGTATTTACAATATTATATTTATTATAATGTTGCATCAGTTGATTTTAAATTTTGTAATCAGAGACTGGGAAAAAAATTTCTACGTGCGCGTCATTGAGTCCCCATTCAAAGTTTTAGATAACAAAACATTATTTACAACCGTGACGAAATGTGCCCAGGAAACCTATCAAATTAGGAGGGCAATTTACGACTTCGAACGACAGTTCTACTTTAAAAGAGGTTGGCTCTTCCTGTAACTTTATTTTCAATTTTTTTAACTACAAATTTGTTTTAACATTCAAATTGATAACTTCGCTTTGTTTCAAACTTTTTATTTAATGTTTGTTTTACTTTAAGTTTTAAATAATATATATATTGATTTTTTTAAATATAACAGCTTATTTAAAAAGGCAGAAATTTATTATAAACGTTGTACAGTAAAGAGTAATGACCAAATTACACCCGGACGGCCGTGCCAACCTACCGAGTTCTCTTGTAGATACGGACTTTGCATTCCGCAGGATCAGTTCTGCGACGATAAGGAAGATTGTTTTGACGGATTCGACGAACAAGTTTGTGGTTAGTAACATTAAAATTTGAATTATTAATTTCAACTATCTGCTTTTATTTCAAAAGATTCGAATAAGCTTGTACATCAATAAAAATTTCGACATATAAAAGATAAAAATTTTATTGAAATATAATTAAGCATAAATGTTATTTTTGAGTTCAAAATTCATTGTTCATTGGAGTATAAATAAAAATAAAAATGATTTAGATGATTATTGGGCATTCTCGGTGGAATCAGATGACGACGATTTCCGGTTAAGTTTGAAATCAATGGATACGTTGGATGAACTGAATGAATGCTTCAATAATCAGGGCTTTCGGATTGAAATGCACATACATCCGTACGTTGCTTTTTTTAATATTTCGCTAGAATATGAATTCATTTGACACTCAATATTGACGAAATTAGGCTCTAAGTATATATAATTTGGCATCTCTGTAGATACACGGATGACGCTTACTTCTACATCAGCAGTGTTCACGATCGTTCGCCGTTCACTATTTTTGAACAAACGTTCATATGTGCTAATAAGGTGTTAAAGAATAACACAAGCAATCTTGATGAACAATTTAGATTCAATAAAGGTTTATTTTTGCTTAAGATTTATTTTTAAAATAACTTATCCGACATTTTACAATACTTTAAATTTGTGTTCTAATTTCACAGTTAAATATGGTCAACATCCAAGTTATGATGCATGCCGATCGGATCAGTTTGATTGTGGCTATGGTCAGTGCATCCCTGCCAGCAAGAGATGCGATGGAACACCTCATTGTTTTACAAAGGCAGACGAAAACTGCGAAGGTTAATTTTACATGCCATTGACAATTACACTATATTTACTGATTTTCTTTACAATTACATCAAAATTACATCACGTTTACTGATTCACATAACAATACGAACTACAATAAGCTTACATCACATTTATGTAACATACCTCAAACTTCAAACAAAACCTCCCTAAATAAAACTTTGATACTACTGATACTAATTAATACTTATACTTTTAACACTCAGACTACTTTATGTCTGTATATTAATTTTTAACAACAATCAGACAATATAAGAATGAGTAGAAACTTTTTTTAAAAATTTAAATTTTTTTTCAATAACTAGAGTGCAAATGTAAGCTAATGTTACTTTTTAAAATCAATCCGTATAGAACAACTTTTGAACCATAAAACGAAAACTTTTACGTGATAGGATTAATAAAAATATCAAAACTCCAAACACTGTTCTAAGTATCAAAAAATGATTTGGACAGAGGTAACGGTCCAGTGCCAAAGTCATGAGTACGCCTGCTACAATCAGCGCCAGTGTGTTGGTCTTGGAAAAGTTTGTGATGGCACACCACACTGTGACGACAAGTCAGATGAACTCAACTGCGGTTGGTTCAAGCCTGCCTAATTTTATATTATCCCATTTTATAATTTTTTTATTGTCATTGTTATTATTATTATTCGTATTATTATTATTAAAATTATTAGTCCTATAGGTTTCATATATATATTTATCTTTTATTGGGGGGGTAATTGACTAATTTATCTTGGACAGACCTTTTAAAGATAGCTTAATAAATTGCGTGATTAGTTCGTCGTACGCGATATATTTTGACAGAACACGAGGAACAATTTCTTGTAACATTTTTATCATCCTTGCACCCCCATATACAATCTTGTTAAAACACTTTGCAAGTACTTAATCAAAATTCAGTATTTAAATAGTATTTAAATCTCAAAGACTGGCCACAAGTATTTTAAAAATATTTTATATAACCATGCAGTTTTCATTTGATACAAAAATTTACACGTTAATAAAAAAGATTATAAATTACCAAATTTCTTTCTTTTTATTATTTTACACTCGCATTTCATTGCAGTAAGTTTCATAAATGTTTGCATTAGAAATTGAAAAGGCATTTAAATGTTTAACTACTATAAATACTTAACAACACTTCTTATATAAATGATGAGCACTGATCAATACTTTTAACATTAAAATGTATTTATAAAATTTGATTTTCGATCTTGAAGTCCAATAAAAAGAGTTTATTGTTATTATTATTATTAAATTTGAAAACTTTGCTCATTTAAATTTAGTACGTTAAAATGTTGATTCAATTATTTCCAATAAAAAAAAAGACAACCAGTGTCCAGCCACAACGTATCAGTGCGATGGCAAAAAATGCATCGAAAGCAGCCAAATGTGCGATGGAGTTGCCGACTGTGAAGATGGAAGCGACGAAGATTCCTGTCCAGATCCAGGTCAAGAGGGATGTTAAAATATTCTACATGCTTTCCTTCAAATATATTTCTTACAACAATTAAGACACTCATTAATCTTTTTTCTCAAGTTTTTTCAAAAAATGTTTGCAGATGTTATTCTTTTGAAGATAAGATGCTTCTGTCTATTTTTAATCCATTCGCTGCTGCATTCATTTTCGAATTTGCAACAAATGTTTTTAAGGTTTTTGCAGTCAATTGAAATTCGTTCAAGATTATGTTTTTAATGGTACTTTTATCTGTCATGAATATCTTGCTTTGCGCTGAATTTTGCACATATCAGATCAAATTTTACATTTATATAAGAATCTGTCAACAATCATAAATAAATCTCACAAATTAAATAAATAGAATACAAAATAATTTTATTCAGTTGTTCATTGTAGAGAGGAGGAATTCGAATGTAAAGTTCAGCGACAGTGTATCAATGGTTACCTCACCTGCGATTCTCGTCCAGACTGCCGAGATGGATCGGACGAGTGGGATTGCGGTTCGTCATTTTTAAACAAACATCCCGCCCAATCTATAAAATGCCGACTATGAAAAATATTAATATTTGAAATTTTTTTACTCTTAAAAAAAATTAGGAATCCGACAGGCATCACATTCTGTTAAAAGGTGCACGAAAATATTATAAAATAAAAAAAGGGTTATATATGGGAAATTAACCCTTTTTACTATGTTCTAAAAATCCCTAATATGTAAAATATTAGTGTATAAAAAATACCTGATATGGATATAATTTTCTAATAATATTCTAATAATATTATGTACATATTAATATTAATATAATATTAATATCTAAAAAATGCTGATAATTTTACAGATGACGTAGTAGTATCCGTCACACGGAGTTTGCCAGCTGCTCCTGCTGTGCACGGCTGCCGTCCGGATCAGTTCGTCTGTCACACGGATGCCTCGTGCATTGCAAGTGAGTTGAGGTGCAACTATTACCCGGACTGCAAGGACGGATCAGACGAGAGGGACTGTCGTGAGTGCTTTCAAACAGTTTTTAGTCATTTCAAACATTCCCCCAATGTTTTTCCGACTATTTCGTTAACGCTCTATACCATTTCAATGTGGTTTTTTTTATTGATTAATAATTAAATTGATGTTATTTTAATTTGTTCCAATATATTTATTTGTATGTGTGCGTGTGTGCGTGCGTGTATGTGTGCATGTGTGTGTGGTGTGTGCATGTACTTCAATGTTTACGGGTCAAGTGCTTTTCATTTAAATACTTTTTTATTCGTGCAGTTGTTTTGTTACATTGTTACTAGTGTATTGATATGCTAATTTGTAATTATTTTATTTTTTGTGTATTAATTTTTTTGTTTATTGCGTTCATTTATTTTATTATTTCTTGATCAAGTGATTAGATACTGCTAAGTTAATTTCTACTTAAATCATTTTAGTTCATCATTAATATAACTTATCACGCTACGATTTCCACTAAAATCATTATGTTCGTTTCTGTTGAAGGCACACGAACATCCCTTCACGTCTTTTCTATTTATGCTATTCTTTCGTTATAATTTTTTAATTTTTAAGCAGACTTTTTGTTGCTGCTGCCTCTTTAAATGCATGAATACTTTCTGACGTTTTATAATGTGATAGATTTTTCTTTCAATTTAAAGTTTGTTTTGGTATCATTTTTTTTGTTTTGCCATCTAAATATTTTACATCTAAATATTAAACATCTAAATATTGTTTTGCCATCTAAAAATTTTTAACATAACTAAATATATTTAACAAAAAAATTAATACTAAGCCAACTGATTTTGACAGATTATTTTATTTTCCATGCCATGCACGTTAATTTATTTGATGTCATTATTTTTTATTTCGGAAAGAAAATTTTTTAGTATGAAATTATTAATTGTTAGCATTAATTAATTATCATGGTTGATTTTTATTTTTTACAAATTGTTTTCAAAACATCATATCGATTTTTAATGATTTCTTCACCAATTACAAATAACCATAAAATTAGTTTAAACAAATAACAATACTAATCGATCTTTCGTTTTTCTACAACGGATACTAATATTCCAAAGTAGTAATCTACTAACCCTAACACCGTTACTTATGAAGCCACTTTATATCCCAAACCTGTGGCTCTGTACACAGCTGCTGCAGTCCCCGCTCCGTGCAGCCCACCTAACATGTACTTCAGCTGCTTGAACGGCCAGTGCATCCACATATCCCAACAGTGCGACAAGCAGTTCCAGTGTGTCGACCATTCAGACGAGGAAAATTGCGGTAAGTCAATGAAACATTTTTCAAATTCTCTATCGCAAATTTATCTTTTGTTTGTTCGCTGCGTATTGAATGGAAATGACATGCTGCCGCTCTGCAAGCCTACATCATGGAAGTACCAAGATCGATGTTTTTAACCATCTTCATACGATTTTCTTTTTTAATGCAGCTCGCCAGTTTGTGCCCTTGACCGAGGATAACACCGCAGCCCTTAAATGTTCAAGGGCTGCGGATCTTTTTATTCTGAATAAAAAATTAAAGAATGTAAAATACGTACCTGTAAAAATGCATCGGGCATTTAAACATTTGACAGACAAAAATGTATTTGCACAAGAAAACGTGAGTTAAGTTGTAATCGGTGGCACAAATGATAAAAAAACACAAAATGATTAATCGAATTATTTGGAAAAAAAAATTTTTTAAACTGTGGTCTCTTCAAATTTTGATGAAATATTGAAAATTTGGTTACACAGAAATTAAGGCCAAGGATGCTGTCGTCCTGGCACGAAGAGGCGAAAACATTGAACTTGTGTGTCTACCATTCTACGCCTCACCCGTCCCCATAGTTTGGATTGGTCCGTATGGGGTAAGAGAGTTAATTCATAAAAACATCACATTGAAAACAGAATGATGCAAGTTTTATTATGAACTCTCCGTTATAAAATTTTATAATTGTTCTAATGTTTCGTCAAACTTGTGTTTTAGTTAATGAGTTGAATTTGTCCTAATTATGAAATTGTCACCATTTTTAAAAATTTGGTTTTCAACCACATATAACCTGTTTGCAAACATTTCATAATTTTTTAGGGACTCATCAGCAGCCGAATGAAATCAGACGGACTTGGGAAATTGATGATTGCCGATGTTCAGACGGAAGACTCCGGCGAATACAGATGTATAGGCGGTAGCTACTGGGCTGCTGTTGCACTCAATATCGCTGAAGACGGTCGAATCTTCTTCTTTCATATTTCTTTTTAATTGCTGTTTATTGAAAATGTATGCTTTTTTGAATTATTATTATATATTTTGCTAATATATATATATATATATATATATATATATATATATATATATATATATATATATATTATAGCGTTTGTTACATTAACTTTTAACCGAACTCTTACAGATGTCGTTCCAACTCATTCAGGCACAAGTCGCAGTGCTCCAGTGCTCTGTGACGGACCATCAGTTTTCAGGTGCAACAACGGTTTGTGCCTGGCCAGGGACCAGCAGTGCAACAGAGTAAATGAATGTGGGGACGAATCAGACGAGGCCTTTTGCGGTACGCTAAACTTTTCTTTCTACTTTCCCTAACATATTTTTGATTTTCCTATTTTGTTTTTGTTTTCAAAAATTTTGTGAAATAGCATAACCATTTAAAAATTGAAACTATAAGTCATTGCCTATGCAGATAAAACTTTTTGTATAAGCGTATACTTATTTGATGTGTTATATTATTATACTGTGTATCATGTTTATTGTGTAAGCGTTTGGTTTTTACGTATCAATAATAGGCTTTTCGTATTACATAAAATAAAATGTTGACTTTGAAATAATTGCGTGATGGTTGTCTGGGTTGAACTTGCCGCATGCAGATGTGAGGGTATCTCCTTCGAAAACCTCGATAAGAGTTGGTGGTGAGGCGAGACTTGAATGCAGGACTCATCCATCTCTCCAGAAATCAGTAACCTGGAGCCGCAAGGATAACCAGGTCAGTCCTTCAATTTATAATCATACATGCATTGTTTATATCGTGATTTATTTTATTTTTGAGATGATTAGTTTTAATGAAACGAAATTGGTAAAGTTTTGAAACTTGAAACAATTCTAAAGAGGCTTCCACAACATTGGGCTTACGTTGACAATAGCTTGTGGATCCGTCAAGCCGAACCGTCAGATTCAGGGGAATACGTCTGTTCGGTTGGAGCCTATTCAAGTTCTTCTATTGTACAAATCGAAGATATACGTAAGTCTGTTTATTATTTTTTACGACAATTTGACGCACATCATATGTTTTTAAAACGTTGAATGTTTTAATGTCTCTCTATCAGGCCAAATAATGAGACTCTCTGAAGTCCGTTGCAAAAGATAATACCAAAAAGTTTTTTCAAAATTCATAAATGATGTTTAAATGCTGTTTACACTTCAACCAAATCATTCATTTATTTTATTTTGAAACCGATGAAGGCATCGTCAACCAGAGACCGCAGAATATTTTTCAAATCATTATTGAGTTGTTTAACTTCTTATAAATACTTCCCGAGCCATCAAAACATTTATTAAACAAATGAATTGTTTGTTGTTCAATTGTTCATTTTAAAATATATAATTAATGAAATTATTTTTATACGAAATGTGGAAGAGTTATAGGACTCTTACTAACTGTCCTAAACTTTTAAACAAACATGTATACACTAGGAATTCAACAATAGATAAAAAATTTGTCATTCAGAGACAAGCTGGCCGGTAAGCCATCCTTTAACAAAAGACGATGCTTTTTACAGCAACTGCAGTAGTTCGCCGCGCAGTTTCCAGTGTGCCAGTGGCCAATGTATCCTGAGAGATTACTATTGCGATGGAGATTACGACTGTAAGGATCGGAGTGACGAAATCAATTGCGGTTCGTGGATGATAATTATTAATTATTTTCCCCTACATTGCTCATTTCAACGTTACATCGTTTCGTCGTCTGGGGATTTCCTTTTTTTTTTAAATTATATATATATATATATAATATAGTATCCCTCCAGCCTATTTATATGTATGTAAGCATATATATATTATATATACATATATATGTATATATATTTCATTTAGAGTTACTGATTAGATAAAAATAATAACTTGAGGTTCTATCAAAATATTTGTTAAATATTAAATTATATAAATTAAAAAAAAAATTTTGCGATTTTCAGAACGATTTTTTAACATTATTTTCATTAGGATCAAAATTGTTGGCTTTTTTATTATTTGAATTTGTTGAGATCAAATTATTTGTATAACAAAAAGAAATACTTTGCTTGAAAATTAGTTTTTGCAGAAATTGAACTTCAACATTTCACAAATTTTTATAAATAAAAACCTCAAGTTTTTTCAAACAAATGTAATGTGATGTCTAATTAATTTGTTGGATGTTCATATATGCAGGGACTCCGAGCATGTGCGAACCAGACGAATTTAAATGTGAGAGAAGGTGCATCTCGAAGTTGTGGGTGTGCGATGGCGACATGGATTGTTGGAGCAATGATCGCTCGGATGAGTCTGAATGCGGGTCAGTTTTTTCCAGAAGGTTACAACGCAAATAAAATTTGATTAATTTACATTTTTATGTTTTCCAAAGTATTTTTGTAGACATTTTTATGCTTCAAATAAGAATTGGGGATAGTTTTTAAATGCAATTTATTTAAATTGAGAGTTTATTTAGTGTTCGACTAAATACCCTGTAGATGCGCCTGTATGCCTAGCTGAAAAATTCTCAATCGCTTTAAATTACATATACGTACAAATGTTTGAAGCGACAAAATCGAATTAAAAGCTGAAATTAAAACATAGTTTCAAAAGATTTAAACGTACTAAATAAACATTTGAGATTCAAATAACATCGGCAGTGCTTTCAATTAGTTGTTTCTATTTTTCGTTGTAGACAAAAGCATAACGAGTTCTGGATGTCGCAAGGATCAGTTCGCCTGCAGACTAGGCGGTGTCTGCATCCCGTTAGGCTTCCAGTGCGACAAAACAGCTGACTGCATAGACGGGTCTGACGAAGTCGGATGCAGTTAGATTTTAATTTGTTTTTAAATTAAAAATTTACATTAACTATTTTGTTATTGAGTTGAACGTGCTGAAAATTGAAAAATTTGTGATTAAGTCCAGGTAAAATTCAATAATGCACGTGCTATCTACGATTTGTTGTTGTTGCAACATGGTAATTTAAATTTTCAGCTAGATCATGTACAATTTTTATTTTTGGTTAATGAATTTAGACGTATTAAGTAAAAAAATAAATTTAAAACTTGTGCACTCAGTTGCGCCAACAGTTCGTTTCTTGAACCCGCTGGAAGTGAAAGGACGAACGAACGAGAAAGTTGTGCTGTCGTGCGAGGCAAAAGGAGTTGGAGCTCCCGTAATTGTGTGGCGTCTGAACTGGGGACAGATCCACGGTCCACCAAGAGTGACAGTTGAATCCGAACGCGTGACCCCGTACAGAAGAGGCAGTGAAATGGTTGTGGTGAAAAGTGTCTTGACGATACACAGTTTGACACTGGAGGATGAGGGCGCTTACAGCTGCCAGGGCATGAACAATGCAGGCGAAGTTTTCGCCATACCAGACGTCATCATTTATGTTGAACGTTGGTCCATTTTATTGTTTCGTAATTATTTTAAATAAATTAAAAATTTTAAAAACTATTTATAAATAAAACAGAATTAATAAATGTAAAACAGATTCTTAACAGAATCTTAAAGTGTGTGTATGTGTGTGTATTTGTGCGTGTGTATTTGTGCGCGCGCGCGTGTGTGTGTGGTGTGTGTGTGTATAATTATAAAGTTTTGAATAAATATTTTTAGTTAAATTGATCTATAATAATATTCATAATATTCCGACAGGAACAATGCTAATTGCGTGTTTGTTACATTTTTAAAAAATTAATCACACTTCTATACTTGAATGACTGTGTATTATTGAAAAAAAATAAATTTATAATGAGCTTTAAAGTAAAATAATGCGTTATGAACAAATACGTCATCAATTAAATTATAACGGGCATAACTTATTATTGAACGTTTGCAATGGAATGCGCCCGCCAGCTTCCTCCGTCTGCCAGCCTCCGATGTTCAACAAGCACGCTGTGCACAGAGGCGACTGCATCAACTGCTGGTGCTCCGGCGTCACTGACAGATGCGACAGCAGCGATTTGTACTACGCACCAGTAGGTTTTTTTTTACAAACTTTTTTCCATTTTTTTTTCATTTTACAAATTATCTTATTTATTAACTTTTAAAAATATTGAATAATTAAATTTTTGAAAAAGATCTAAATTATAAAAACATTAGAAACAATTTTTTATCGATCGAACTCAGAACATAGCAAAAATCGAACGCATAAACCGACAGGAAACCATAAACGGGAACGTGTTTGTGAACCCACAGTTCGCAGTGCCACAAGTCTCTCCTCCTTATACATTTCCTTATACGTTGAACAAATTGCAAAACTTTGATAAAAGAAATTTGGTAAATTGGTTTACGTTGATTTGTTACATACCATCTTATTTATTCATCGATCACGTTATGACACACATTCATCTCATCTCTCATAAATATCCAATAAATATCCAATTAAGGAATTTAATTTAATACATTAAAGACGTAATACATCAAAACGCGCTCAGACACATAGAAGGTACGCACACAACAGCAAATACAGAAAAGCAAAAACACAAATACGTACACACACACATACACACACACAAACAAACAAATATGCATACACTTAATCACAACCAGCTCTCAAGTTACGGAGGTTACTTTACATTTGTGTTCTTCCACATCTTCCATTCCCCCTCCTTTGCTCCAGGTCCTCATCCAGTCCTACAAATTCAGGTCGGTTTTTGATGGCTGATGTTGCACATTATGAGATTGTACTTATAGAAAGATATAATTGATGCTAATATCGGCATCCTTAACAATTTAGATTTCATGTTAATACTATTTTTTCCAACATATTTCAAACATTCTCACTTGGTATTATTTCGTTTTCAATTCGCAACGTAGGGAAAAGGAAAAACGATAAATGCTTTCATCGATGTCATTCCTCCATCCAATACCAGTTTCCCAATCAGAATACGACTGACTGAGGTACCCAAAACTAAATTATAATTTATTTTACGTATTTTTCTTTAGTACAAATATGAGCAGTTTGTATAATTTGTACCTCATACAGTCCCACTTTTCCTACATTCATCCATCCTACCCTGTTGTTTTTTGTTAAGTTTGATAGCATGCCTTTGTTATTGGCAATATCACTGAAATAAAGGCGAATGCAAGCAATAATATTTAAGCCATAGGTTCTCCATCAAATGTGCTATTTGCAAATTTGTACGTGGGTTTACTTGAAAGTACAACCTTTGGAGAAAATCCGCAACTATAATAAAAAATAAACTGCAGATTATGTATGTATGTATGTATGTATATATATATATATATATTTAATTAAATAAATAATTAAATAAGCAATTGAAGGCGAGTTTTTATTGACAGTCGAATTGGTTCTATGATATGCAAAGACGACAGCCAGTTTCACGAAACGATTTCATGGAAATTTTGAGTGACGTCGAAGGCATAAACATCATTCATGGCTTTATGGAATCATTTTATTCTCTCAGGTTGGTGAGAGCCAGACAGTTTGTCAATGATGTTGCGTCAAATTCTGACGAAACGGTTGCTATTAACGCTGTTCTAACTTACTTATATTGAGCACATTCCTTTACGAAGCTAGGTAAATACGATATAAGCCGGTTTATCAATGAACCGGTTAATGGGACGAGTCGTTCATTTTTTTGGCAACGAATTCAAATTATATTAAAAAATTTAGCTCGCATATTCTAACTCAAAATGCAAACGAAAAAACCACTTAATCGGTCGGACCACAAAATCAGCTGCCCCAAAAATATTTCCGCCCTCAAGTATGCGAACGTTTTTTTCTCGTCTGCTAATCATTAAAAACGTTACAGTCAGTTCGGAAGAGTGATAAAATATTTGCATATAAAAAGTTGCATTGCTAATGTTTTTAATGTTTGAATCATACAATATAGAATTTTACTCTTCTCTTTTCATATTCAGCGTAACTGATATAAAACTGTGGATCGCTACTTCAGAGAATTACGGCTTAGGCAGAGCAGACCTGGTGGAGGTTTGCAAATGTCCGGAAGGTTATACCGGATCCTCGTGCCAAGTTTGATTTCTTTGATTTTTTCTTTTATTAACTATTTATATTTTATTTGTTAACAATTTTTTTTACACAACGTTTGTTACACCTTTCTCTCTGTGTGTGTGTCTCTCTTTCACACACACAACACACACACACTTGTTGCAGATGAATGCACAAATTTCTTAATTAAATTTTCTTTTAACAACTTTTTAATGTATATTTTTTAGATGTGTGACCAAAACTACCAGAGGAATAACTATGGCCAATGTGTAAGCATTTGCACGTGCAACAATCACTCCAATATTTGCTACGAGAGCAGCGGGAACACAGTTTGCCAAGTAATTATCTACATGTACAATTATTATTTCAACATTTCTAGTAGCGCTTCTTCAATCACAATCTCAAAACTAAACTACCGAATATATTCTAAATTCTTCTAAGGCGAATAGATAAGTTTTTAATTATTTCTCTAACATCGCAAGAGATAATCCTGGTTGTCGTGAATAGCCAGGAAGACAGGAAGACCTTTTGTATTTTTAAAAACTTCAACATTTTCTAATGTTACGGACAAGGAAGTTAGTGGTCTCAGACTAAGCCCCTTCACTCTTACCATTAACTGAAGTTATGTTAAAATATAGGGAAAATTAGAAAGGTCACAAAGATTAGGAGAGTCACAGAAATTAAGAGGGTCTCAGAAATTAGGGGGGTCTCAGAGATTAGGAGGGTCTCAGAGATTAGGGGTCACAAAGATTAGGGGGGTCACAAAAAACAGCAGCCACAAAGATTGGTGACCACAAAAAACATTTATTGTGAGGCTAAAAAAACAGAAAATAAGTTTAAAAATGTGTGATGGGCAGAGCCAAAAAAGTCATCAACATCACTCCACATGGGCGCAAAATGTTTCTGGGTGGCTCTGGTTGTTAATAAATCTTTTATCCAGCAGTTCACCACACCTACGGCGTGATGGCCTAGTGGTGTTTCGCAATAACCGGGTTTGAATATGACAAAAAAGATCCCGGCCTATCACATGCTTCGTGTGTGATGCGTCGTTTAGCATGTATTCATATACGATGTTTTTGCGCGTTGTTGAATCTTCTGAACTTTGGAAGAGTATAATTGACCTTTGAACTTTTAAGCTTTTCTTGAAAATATTTATTAGTTTCGACTTCAAAGGAAATCAGAAGACTTATTTTCTTTTATATTGGTCTACAATTCTACATCTACTGTTATTCAAATAATTTATTGGTATTATCGGATATGCCGCAGTGTTTTCTAGACATCATTTTGTTCTTCTAAATTTTTTTCAGAAAAATTGAAAATTATTTCCATTAATTTGCTACTCAATGTAAATGCAAACTACGGTGTTTTGGTGTTTTATACTCGTGCCCTATTGTATTCTTTCCATAATAATCTCTACTGGAAGCAAGAACAGCAGTGACGCCATACATGCATAATTGATTCTGGGAGTTCGGGATTGTGTAATAGCGAGAGGTACAAATAGATAGAAAATGATGAAGCCAACGTTGTCAGGTCAACGTCCGATTCCCATGTGTATTTCAATGATCCAAACGGGTTTTAAGCCAAAAATTAAATCTAAGCCAAATTTTAAGGAAATAATTGAATTAAAAAAGGATTTTTTAAAAGCTACTAGGTACTATTTGAAAATATTTTTTTAAATATTTTAATTTCATTCGTATTATGTTAAATGAAATCTCTAAATTCTAGGTAAACGTTTTGGAATTCTTCAAAAATATTTATTTTAAAAATTAAAAAAAAATTTAATAAGGGTTGTTTGCATCATACGACTGGCGTCCATTGTGAGACGTGTGCTCCTGGATATATTGGCGACGCCACTGGAGGCACTCCGTATGATTGCCAACCTTGTGACTGCCCGGGAAGGTAGGATGTTAGCAAGTTTTTCTCATTTCATAATGCACAATGTGGCATCTGTTGAAAGTTAGTTGTCTCATAATAGATGCATGAAAATTATATAACAGCCTTTAGAAAGAGAATGGATTTCAAGCATCACAACACATATATCTATGCACGCTTCTTATTTCTTCGCTTACTTATATGAAGCTCTATAACATGACATAAAAAGGTTTACAAGAGAAGATAACTTTATTTTAACATTTTATGATCGTTTAAATTCTGTAAAATGTAAAAATAACGTTATGTAATACAAGTTTGCGCTAATGTGTGGTTTTTAGGTTGGTTAGTTGATAATTATAAAAATTTAATCATGAAATACCATTTTGAAGAAAAAGGAATGAAACATTTATATGAATATTCAATTATTTGAACCAAGAATAATTGTATTTGTTACTATCTAACTAATTATCAGATACGATAGATTATCGTTGAATTAGTTACAACAGGCGTTGAAGTAGCTATTAAATAATATTTAATTCGGTTTTTAAATATTGAATTGAAAAAACATGTAAGTGACTCGAATAACATAATAATGTAGATAAACCAGTATTGTTGGCTTATTGTTGAAGAACATGATGTAGAAAAAAGAATGTTGTCAGCTTATCGATATATAAGATACGTTTGCTTTGATAGTTTTGATGGCGGACTATCATCATGCCACTATGTTCAGTCTGGGCAAATCCAATGCTCGGAATGCTCGCCACACTCGTTTGGTCCCAGGTGTGAAAAGTGTCACTACGGTTACTTCTATAGGAATGGATATTGTGTACCTGGTATGTTAAATCATTTTTCAAATTCTCCGAAAATGCGTCTTTGTTAACATTCGGCAATTACTTTTAAAAGTATTCTTGATATTCCATTTGATAAATTTTTATTAAATGTTAGATTTAAATTTTAAAAAAGTGAAACAAATTGAAGTTAGTTAAATGACTAAAAATATTTATTTAGTTAATTTGAGGAGTGCAAGTTTTCAATATGAAATTGTTCCCTTTAGAATCAGAGAAAGGTTGCAGACCTGGACAATTCCTAACAGAACAAGACCAATGTGTCAACTGTTTCTGCTTTGGTTCAGTTACTGAATGCTCACCTGTTACTCACGCCAGAGCTTTTGTAAATATTTTTTTTTTGAATTATATGTCTTTTCCTCAATTTATATTAAGCAATTAATCACTAGCCATATTCACTTCTATTACTTTCGTTTTTGTTCAGATATTTGTTAGCGAACACTTCTTGAGATTGATTATATATGCATATATATATATATATATATATATATATATATATATATATATATATCAGGGCAACATTTTGGAGGAAGCATATAAACGCACATTCAAAGAGTTGCTTTCCTCAAGCCCTGACTCGGCGACCTCAGCTCGCTTGCTGGCAGTATCCAGCGAGGCGAGTTGTGGCTGGCTGAGATCTTTACCCAATACGTCGGTGGGTACCAGATTGAATGACGAAACGGTCAGGACGGCCATTGGTTTCCGGCTGGGGTTGGCCGTTCAGAGTCGATACACATGCAGGTGCGGCGCGGAGGCGGATGAACTCGGCCATCATGGTCTTGTTTGTCGTTTGGGCGGAGGTCGCCAACAGCGACATTCAGCCATAAACGATTTTGTGTGCCGGCTTTTCTCCAAGGCCTCAATTCCGGTTTTAAAGGAACCGTCGGGCATTGCGGCGCACGACGGTAAGCGCCCTGACGGGTGTACCTTGATTCCTTGGAGAGCCGGCAGGTGCTTGGCGTGGGACGGTACCGTTCCAGGCACCTTTGCTGAGCGCTACGTAAGGCTTACTAGCAAAGAAAGCGGTTTGGCTGCAACCAGGGCATCTGACGAGAAGATCAAGAAGTACGACGGAGCTCTCCCCTCGATGGAGTTTTTACCGATTTGTATCGAGGTCCTCGGCCCCATGGACCTTAACACCTCCGGGTTTTTCAATCGGATTCGTAAACATATCAGTATTAGGTCAGGCGATAGTAGGGAATATTTTTTCGCTATGAATAATATCTCGTGCATTCTGCAGCGGTTTTTGCGCGTCTGTGTGTTGGAAAATGTGGAGTTGAATGTCGACGGGGTTGAGTGACGTTATAGCAAATAAAATCAAATTTAGTCAGACGCTTGGCTTTTGGTGTCATTCGTCAATGATTTGGTTTTAACATATATATATATATACAACCTACATATAATATATATATATATATATATGTGTGTGTGTGTGTGAGTATGTGTGTGTGTGTGTGTGTGTGTGTGTGTGTGTGTGTGTGTGTGTGTGTGTGTGTGTGTGTGTGTGTGTGTGTGTGTGTGTGTGTGTGTGTAAGGTATCCTTTGTCTTTTATTGTCCTGAATGAAAGGCTGATTACTTAAAAATAACTTCTTTGGGATTTTTCTTAGCTAAATATATTGTTTGAGACTATGTATTATAAGGTTGTTGATTATTCAAAAATCAAAAAACAATCTCTAATGATGTATTTCATGTGAAGAGTTCCTAACATAAAACTGTTGGTTTCCATCTATTTAAGTCTACAAAAATCTACTGTCATTACCAATTACATGGAACCGACCTAATCTTTTCGACTTGACACCATCCGTTTGGTGAATTCAAGCCAGCATAAGACTCATCGTAGATGCAATATATTTTTTAAAACTGGCAAGCAAAATGTGACAAATCAGCAAAAATAAGAAAGTAGAAAACTTTTTTTAAGATATTCTCGCGCGAATATGACAAAATCGATTGGAACATGTAGTTTGTAGAAGCATTGAACTTCTGTATGTTTCTCGTTTTAGCATTTTACTTTGTATTTATATCAAAGACTTGTCCCGCTATCCAAAATCATCTATCCACTAACGAACGTTCTTTTTTGTAAAAATCTTGTTTTTTTATATTTTTAGCTAATTTGTATACAACTGAGCCCGTTGATATTGATTTATATATAAGAAATAGTTAGGATGTTATGCGTGCCACAAGGGCCTGGAACGTAATTTTCAAGTGAGGGTCTTATGAGGTTTTTAATAACCAAGCTTTGCTAATTGCTCTCAAAATTAGCCAAAATCCAAGTATTTACATAAAAAAACAGTTGCTTCCAAATCGTGGTCTTAAAGCAGATAAATGTACTCATTAATTTTTCAAATGGATCAAATTTTATAATTTCTGCATAGAATCTTCTTGTTACACTAATGTATGTGAAAAATCATTTGTTGGCGTTTCTGATACATTTTTACGAGTTTTATTGATTTCCTTGACTTGAAGATTTAAAAAATATCTAATTTGTAATTTTGAATATACTTTCATACAGATAAATTCTTCTTTTGGTGTTTCCTCTCAAGAGTTTGATGGATTTACTGTAGTGCTTAATAGAGGTGTCTTGGAAAGTGAAATAATAAAAATAAATCCCGGCCCTAAATATGGGATGATTCACATCAACACGCCCCACAGGTAACAATTGAAACTTTATGCATAATTGAATAACATCAAAATTTCAAAAAATTATTTATATTATTTTTGTATCCATGATATTTAAAAAGAATATATGTTTCTTGGTTTGTTTGACTCACGAATTTGAATAATTTTGCATTGTCGGAGAGATTTGAAATATGAATATTCTTCAACCAATAATCCTTGTTTAGGTTTATTAGTGGTCGATTCCAAATGAAAAATTGACCAAGTTATCTGCAATGAGAATCGTGAAAATAGATAACGATTATTATGCGAGGAAGACACGCTCTATGCATATATGAACACAAGAACGCGCAATAAATAAAAATTTACATCCACCCTCGACTTATTAGAAGCTCGAAACGCACAGTCTTCAAACATTCTGCTTGGTATCGAATGTTTTTGCAACGATGCGATGCGGTAACCTCAACATGAGCAAGTGAAACTAACAACCGAACTGATGATTATCAGTTGGCGCGTTTTTTACTAAATAATATCCAATCATGAAAATTTGAACTATTGAAATTGTAATGTTTAATTAAAATTAAATTTTTTTTTGCTTATATATTAACTAATTGCTTGAAAATAGGGAAGATGCTTATTGGATTCTCCCATCAAAGTATTATACATACCCGGTTAGTTAAATTGTTGCTTTATTCCGTGCTAACATTCAGTCGCTACTTAAAAATGAAATGATGAATACTTAATCGCGATATTGTTACGTTTCATTAATCGGTTTATCGGTGGAAATAACTTTTAAAAGTTTAAAACTGCAGCAACATACATAAGCATTTGATTGTAAAAATTTCTGCAGAAGAATTAAATGACTTGATTAAAAAAAACTGACATGTGATTAAACGTAGAATCAATCAATCGCTTCAGCTGTCTTTATACAAAGGTGCATTGAGATACACAGCCTCCTACTACAGCAGTTACCCATTTCATTATGGAAAACCTGACGTTATTTTGCGGGTAAATAATAATTTGCATTTCAAAATATTTGTATTATTTTTTTTAATTTAAAGCTGGTTTATTTTATAAAATGTAGTTTCCACAAAAACTATTGTGCGAAAATTATTTTTAAAATATTTGTCTTCAGGTAGAAGACACGTCTCAGTTTCTCTATTATACATACCCAGACAATACCTTCCCGGTTGATACTCCAAAGGAATTTGTCATTCCTTTATATGAGGTGAACATTTTTATTGGCTTTTTATATTTTTTTACAATGTTTTGTAAAAGAAAATTTTTCTAAAGAAGATATCCAAAAAACGCTTCTTATAAAATTAAGATTCGGGGAAGTTGGACAACTAATCTTTTAAAGCAAATGTTAATGGAAAAATAGACTGATGCAACAGAATGATGACGACGTGATAATTAAATTTTAACATACGACTTTCAAAATCTTTTGAGTGCTTTTTATTTTCACAAATGTGTTTAAATATATTTCAAGCAAGTTTACAATGGAAGATACTGGAGTGAATGATTGAATTTTGCATCTACAGGCTGGCTGGGTAGATGCACAAAACAATCCCGTATCAAGAGATACATTCATGGGTGTTTTAAAAAGTCTCCAGAGTATTTGGGTCAGAGCAAAGTTTTCAACTGGCGTTGATGTCGAAGATAGGTTAGATCAAATATTTCTAATTTGTCGCCTGTTTTGTTATTGCACGATGATCTTTCAGATTGTCAGCTGTCAGTGTTGAGTACTCCGTCAGAGATTATGAAGTGGAACTGGGTCAAAATGGCTACCCAATCTTAGAAAAGTGTCACTGCTTGCCGGGTTATCAAGGCCAGTGGTGTGAGGTTATTAGCTGAACCTTTTTTAAAGATGTTTTGTTACATTATCTATTTTTGTAAAAAATGTGCAAAAAGGGTTTTCATTTTTTTAAATAATAAAAATTTGTACATTGCTTTCAGTTGAATGGATGGATTGTTTTGCAAATGTACATCATATTTATTTAATACACTGTACCTTATAATTTATATAAAATGATATATTGCAAAATTGATGTGCATTTATGCAGAGATTATTGTCTGCTCTGTTGTTAGAATGGGTGAAAGTTACCTCATGTTAACTTTCATGAATGATTTGTATTTAGTGTTGGTATCGGATGGGGCGATGGTGTAAGAGATAAGATGCCTAAGTCTTTTAGGAACCAGGTTCCAACGCAAATAAGTTCTTGTCTACCACATGCCATCTTTGTGATGCATTGATTCGTGCGTGTTTACATGCATTATGGGTTTGTTTGTTGATAGTACGCTACAAAAGTTTGTAAAAAAAATTATGCATAACCATTAATTTTGTAGATAATATTGTCGGACTTTTTTTTTTGAGCTCGAACAATCTCTCGCCAAAAAGCGGAGTTAATTTATTTTGTTTCTCTTCATACTGCTTCTACTAAAATTACTGTTGTGCATCCATTTTTGAATTTATTTTACCATGACCAGCAATTTTTACGGTTAGTTAACGACAATAGCGACTACTTCTACTTGCCGCCTAACACTACAACAGCCATGTGCGGTTGCTACTGACTCCTTGTAACACCGACGTGTAAGTTCGCGCTGGCCGATAACGACACGTAAAAACATTTAAACGAATATTCATTTACCACTCAACTCTTTTAATATATTGAAGGGTTTGCGAAATAAATAACACATAATAAACAATCACGGAAGATTAACTGGACAATTAATAATCTGAGAACTACTTATTCCCAGACTAATGTTAGCGTGATCAAATATTTCTTATCACAAAAATAACAACGTCGGATCTCGCAATTACAATAAATAAACAGTCAAGAAAATAATTGATTTTTTAACTAAATAATTAAGCGTTCAAGAAAAAAAATCCAATTTCACGCTCTAACAAATAAAGTCAATTGTCCAAGAAAATAATTAAACTTTTTAAAAATACAATAAAAACGTTCAGACGACTAATTAAATTTGTTCAAAATAAATGAAACGTCAAACAAATAGTTAATTACATTTTTTTAATAAAAAATAATATTTTTTGTGCATTCATGTGTATTTCTTAATTTCATGCATTCAAATTCAAATGCCGACCAAATTAAATTTGAAGCCTTTAATTTGGTTTCAGTGATAATTACGAGAATTGAACACTTTCTCATTTATAAAGTTTGAGTCAAGTAACCTAAGTGGTTGTATAATGTTCTCCCATTTTTAATTGTAAACTGTCTACACATTCATTCAGGATTGTCAACCTGGCTATAGAAAAACCGTGGATGATATGCATTACGTGCATTGCGAACAGCTTGATAATATCCAATGTGACCCAAGAACTGGTCATTGCCAAGTAATTAGTTTTTATTCATTTTTTTATTCATTTATTATTTTTTCATTTTTGAAGACTGGAAATTGTAATTTTTATTTATTTAATAACAAAAATATTAAAAACTTAGATGTACACAATTTAGTTTCAACTAATGTAGACCATATACGAAAAGATTCCTTCCCATCACATGCGATTTATACGATGCGTGATTTTCACGCGTATTCAGATATGCTGTGTGTGTGTTTGTCGTTGATACTTCCTAACTACGTGCAAAAGAGAGCATGACCTTAAACCTGTAACAGATCTAAAAATTAGACTGCAATGATTGATGGTTGTTATTTTTTTTACATGAATAACCAAATTTCTGAACCGAAAATTGCAAGGGCTGCCCTCACAACACCGTCGGCAGAAACTGCGAATGCCCGCATGGGTTCTACATGGATCGTGCAAACAACTGCGAGCCATGCCTTTGTCCTGTCGATGCCTCCATCGATGGCAGGTCCGTAAATGCTGAAATCTTGTTTTTTCTTCCAATCACTATATCAATCATTTTCAACATCATTCATCCTCACAACTTGACATCGATCATCTGACTTGACAATGGTTGATGATAAAGATTGGTGGTGATTGGTCATTATCATCATCATCATTCCTCATCAGCATCATCATCGCCAATCATCTGTGTTTTTTCTCCGCCTGGCAGTTTCATTCATTACATGATTCCATTCTCCCGACTAAACTTCATAAACTTTCTTGAATAAATGTTATCTAAGTGTTATGTGAGGGAACACTAAGTGAACAAGCAGCTAATATTTTGTGCTTTTTTAAATCATCGCACAAGAGTCAGGATCATAAATCGAAACTGAAACCGCTTTAAGAATTTATTTTGAGATTGCAATGTACAAGTACATCTCATCACTTTAATTAACTTATAAGTTGTTCATCAAGCGAAGAAGATTGCTTCTATAACACTGTGAAGATCAAACAGTTGAAATTTTTTTCAAAACTTTATTAATTTTCCATTCAGAGAAAAAGTAAGTTGCAGTTTGTCGAGCGTTGGCACTCTTGTGTGCCACAATTGCCCGGTGGGAAGCACTGGCAGTCGATGCGAAAGGTAGACATTTATTCTCAATTAAATAAATATAAAATTGACATTTGTTCATATATATATATATATATATATATATATATAGTAAATATTTATAATATATATGACCAATGTATTTATATAATATATATGTATATATAATATATATACGGTGATATATAACGATTAAGATGCATGACACTCATGTTGCCTGGCAAATATTTGGCGTAGAAAAAGTGTGGGCAAATTACGGCCCGCAGGCCACATGCTGCTCGTGAAACTATTTTATGCGGCCCGCGAGGTCTGGTATGCCAAAAAGAGGTCGTTCGTCAGCCAGACATAATCAAAAAAAAACACTAATTTTTTCCGAGTCGAAAAAATTTGCTGTTTAAGTACATATGCGGCCTTCAAAGGTATAAAAAAGTTCTCAATGCGGCTCTCACATCTCACAGCCTAGAATGCTTTCTTACAGAACCTTATTCAGTTGCTGTTGAATTTTATAAGGAAAAAGCAGTTGAATCTACATAGTCATATTTTTGTGACACACGTACTCCGCTCACAATCTTCGAAAATGTATCTCAATAACAGCCGCTAACGTTGGCCTCGAACGATTTATCCTTTTTATTCCAATTTGTCTGCATCATATTTAAAGCATTGGCTTTCGTGAAATGAAAGTGTTTACTTTGCTTTCAGTACGGTGGGTTGCGCTAATTTTTATGCCATTGACATTTAAGTAGACAAAACTTTAGCCGAGTTTTTGTGATATATGTTTTTACTGATAGTTATTCATCGTAATGAATCATTATTTTTAGGTGTTTGTTTGATTACGAAGGCGATCCCAGCATTTTCGGCGGAAGATGTGTACCAACGTCGGGTATGACAATTTCTCATTCTTTGGCCCGAGTTTTCAGCGGTTTTTACGTCGATATGAATTAGTTTAAGCCCATGATGTTTCGCACTTATTACATTACACGAACCTCATTCATACTGCTCATTGCTTTTTTCAGTTTTGACGATTTGCTGCTTTAATGTTTTTTAAATTATCTTACCTATTGAAAAACAGTTCCTGCTTAACTGTTTCCACAAAAAGTAATCCAAAAATTATTTCATGTTCATAGTTTTAACAAAATATTTCGCAAATTCCAAAGATGTTCCACGGCCTCCAGTTATTGAAACTTCAGATGGAGACCAAAAGATTGATGACAAAAGCTTCGGAGACACAATGTAATTGATTTTTTTAAACTTTCTGAAATTTGGAATCAACGCTATATTCATTTATAAATTATAAATGATATTAATTGAATTATAATAAAAATACATCCTCAACTAAATTTTTCCAATTATTTTTACACAAGAAGTGATAGGCAAACCTACCTTTATTAAAATAAAAATCGTTAATTTTTTTATGAAGATTAGAAACGGAATATTTGTTTACCAGTTAGCAAGAGTAAGGTAAATAGGTAATTGCTGAGATGTAGATTGCGCGTTGGAAAGTATTACAACAACAAGCAAGAGATAGAAAAAAGCATGAAAGACTCGTAGGGTAATAAGTAGATGTGAATTTATTATGCACAGGAAAAGGAAACAATAGGATATAACTACAGTAGGCATTTTTAAATCAAAACTTTAAAAACGCAAAGGTAATGCACTTTCATTCACAGGAGGTTCTAACTGGTTTTGGAAGCATGGTTGCCAAAATCTTAGACCGGTACGGTGTAATCTAAAAAATGGTAAAGAAAGAGTTAAAAATTGCCGACTGATATTTTTGCAGAAAAAATTCTGTGAACGATTTAGCAATGAATTGAGCTGATGATAGTTTGAGAATTTTGAACAAAATTCAAGTGAGAAAGAAAGTGGGAAGAAAAGGGAATGATAGAAGAAGAAAAAAATTTATTTTAGAAAAAGAGGGGAAAATTATTATTATTATAACTATTATTATTATTATTATTACTATTATTATTATTATTATATGCCCTTTGTGTGGCGCCTTATGGATAGCTTTAGTAAAAGCTGCCTGCAAGCAAAATGCTATAAATATTCTTTACATAATTTTAACTTGCATTCGTACAGAAACATGGATTGCTTGGTTCGAGGTTCTGGGAGTGTTAATATTATGTGGTCTCGTTCTGGAGGACAGGAAATTCCTCATGACAGGTCACAAATTTTCCCAAACAACACATTGCAAATAAGGGACTTGCAAAAAGATGATGAAGGTTTATATGTATGCACCGCCGCAAACAGTTATGGATTCAACACCAAACAGTATTTGATTACTTTTTACAGTAAGTTTTTGTTTCCATTTCCTGCAAACAATAAAAATGTTTAACCTATAATTTTTTTTAAATTTAATAGCTGATGCCGAAGCCGAACTAGAAATAAGGTTCAATCCGACGTCTCCTGAAGAAGGGAAAGCATTCGGTTTGGATTGCATCGTTAAAAATGCTATTTCAGTGAATAACGTGGAATGGTCAAGAGAAGGTGGAGAGTTGGACAGAAACGCCGTTGTTGCATACGGCTCTACACTCTTTTTCCATAGTTTGCAAGTGTCAGACTCAGGTATATTTAATTTCCACGGTTGAAGCAATTTAAACTTTCTATTCTGAAATTACGAATGTGTTTAAGCTTTAAACTTTGGCTTTTAAATTTTGCCAAACGTCCATAGTAAAGTCCTGACAAGAAATTTTGAAAGCTCGTAATGATAATTTTATTTAAAATTATATTACTGATAATCATATGAAAAAATAATAATAATAATTTATTGACGTGGCTTGCATGAACTAATGAGACCTCCAAGTCATCTGCACTTCACCACGGCTAGCAATTGAGTCTTAAATATTTCATGTAAAAACCATTCTTAGTGAGTTTAAAGTACAATATGAGGTATAATATTATAAGTTGACGTGAACATGCACCCTCATAAATTCTGCGTAACATTTTGCTTTTAAAGCTGAAATTAAATTGTGTTTCAAACGATACTCCATGATGTGGCTGAATGTTTGCACATTTTATTTTATTTGTATACATATTTGATATGATAACAAAAAGCGCATGCATTGTTGCAGGGAGGTACAAATGCACAGCCGACACCTTATTCGGCCCAGTTTCTAAGTTGGTAAAAGTGAACGTCAAACCGAAGACTGTGACCGAAACTCTGGTTGAAGTAGGGAAAAGTATAACCGTGGACTGTGTAGTTTCTCCCAACACTTATCCAGCGAAAGTGTATTGGTTGAAAAATGGTGATCATAATCTGGGGCCCCGAACAGCCGTCCTCGCTAATCACACCTTGCACATTTATGACTTCACGAGAGAAGATGAAGGCATTTACGCATGTGTCGTTGTCAACAGAGATGGCTCAACGAAAGCATTTTCATCTCAATTCACATTACTTGAAGGTATTTTTACTTCATTTCGGAAAACAAATCTATGTTTATCATGAAAATTTAGCGAAGGACTGTTATAAATTGAGTTAAATGTATGTTGTACAAAATTTTAATTGAAGTTTTTACCAGTGTTGTATGTCTTGTGAATGTATTGATTGTTAATGTAATGTTTGTTAATGTGATGTTCGTAAATGCTACCAGATATTTGATTTCTTAGTTAGAATTAATTATTCCATGTTTTCTATACATTTTTTTTGTCAAAACCTGTATTTTGAATTAATACGTTGTTATCCTGTATATAAAGAGGAGAGCAGATATAGTGCAAGGATGGGTCCCGAGAATGTGTAGCAATGGAGCGAATAAACAAATATGTCGAAATAGGAAATAAATTGAATTGATAAATAATGTATAAACATTTATGTAACGATTATTTCACGATTTAGGGTGGTTGGAATGTTGTCAGTAGGATGAAGCCCAGATGACAAAAAAAATATTGTAAAAAATAAAATTATTAAGTAAATCAAAACTGGAAAAAGAGAAAATAGCGGAACAGTCCTGTTGGACAAAAAATAAAAAGTTAAATTTTAAAAGGGCCAACAATTGAAAAAACGTGAACAATAAAAAGATATTGGATAGATAAATGAAAAAAACTGTAAAATGTCTTTTTAATTAATAACGTTGAGTTGAGACAAAAAAGAGAAATTTGTTGATAATGCGGCTTTTTTGCGTACAAATTCCTAAACAGGTCTAGATTCTTATGTTGGTCTCTAAAATATTGTCCAAAATTTTCTACATCAACTCGTTTATGCAGATGAAAGAGAAAAGAATGCCGTAACTATTTTTGTGGGGCAGAAACTTCAGGCTAAATGCTACAAAGATCCTTATGAGACTGTGTACTTCGTGGAATGGACGAAAGATGGCAACAATCAATTAGGTGATAGAGTTTACATAGATGCCAATAACGATCTCGAAATATCAAAAATCCAAGTGGAGGACTCTGGTTCGTACACTTGCAAAGTGATGTACGTCTCGGGACAATCAACTGAGAGCATTATCTATGTCAACGTTCAAAGTTAGTTCTTCAATCGTTTGCTTAATTTTTATTTTCATTTGATAAGGTGTAACAATAAATAAGTTGATTTACATCTGTTTCAATTTAGTAGAAATGACTGGGCATTAGTTTTCTTATTGAAATTTATCACATTTTGACAACTGTCTCACTCAAAATAGGTTTTTTGCATTACTAGAGGAAACATGCTAATAAACTTCTGCTTGTTATTTCATTGTTTTTAAATAATTAGATTATAATTTCAACTGTCATCCTTTTTTACTGTAAATAAATACTTCCAAGCAAAACATGCAAGCACTAGAGATAGCTATGACCACTTCTCGTCCTCCTCTATATTTCACTTTAAATTCATTCTCACAAATTATCACTTATCTGTTTTTCATTCAATTGCAATGTTTAAAACTCAACACTTTTTAGTTCGATAAAAATTTTTGGGTATAATGTATTTCTCGAACCTTCTTTAATTTTTATTCTTTGTTATCCAATTATAAACGTATGATCAACTGAACGCGCTGAATGTTCATTTTGCTTTGTTATACACGACAGAAAATCATTAGTGTCCTATTTCGTAAAAGTTGATGTGCATATATGCATTAGGTTAATGTCATATATTTCTCTCATTAATATTTATCATTATCGGCAATTACTCAAGAAACCCAAATTTATTTTGGTATGAGTTTTAAGATAATTTGTTACATTATAAACTGTTGGATGGACAGTTTCAATTTGGAATTTGCTTTATTTAACTGCCCTCCAGGTGTACATAAACCTAGTGTCAATGTGGAACAAGAACGCTTATTATTGAATGTTGGCGATCGTATGATTCTCACTTGCCGCATCGACTGTGAAGTGCCGTTCGTTTATAAGTGGACCAAAAATGGACAGGAAATCAGAGACAACAGAATTCAGTTGGACGAAAATCAAAAAACTTTGTTTATAAACAGCATTAGTTATGAAGATAGAGGCATGTACGTCTGCGAAGCTGAGAATGAGTATGGGCGCGACCAAAAAATGGTCAACGTTGAAGGTGAGCCGTTGATGCTTTCAACTAACGCTGGCATATCTTCAATACATTCATTGCTTACTATCATGATTATGGTATCTGATAATAATCTAATATATATATATATATATATATATATATATTAGATTATTATATATATATATATATATATATATATATATATATATGAAAATCACAGCATGTTCGGCGTTAGTTAACTCCCAATTTAACTTTTCGATTTTTCAAAAGGTTGATCCTAAGTCATTTTCAAGTTTCTTTAGTTTAAAACCAAAATTATATATATATATATATATATATGTGTGTGTGTGTGTGTGTGTGTGTGTGTGTGTGTGTGTGTGTGTGTGTGTGTGTGTGTGTGTGTGTGTGTGTGTGTGCTGCACTGCATGTTGATTCTAAAATTCTAAATAACGTTCTGTTGTTTATATGAACCCATGAAAGAAATTATTTTATTTCTTCAATAGTTTCATTTCTAAAATAATTCAATGTTCATGATTGTTAAATTTTGTGTCAGAACAAAAATTATTTAACTTTCTTTTTTAGAAAATTTGATACATATGTCAAACATAGTTAAGGGTGTCCTATCCACAAGTGTATTTTAACTTATGTTTGGTTTCCTTAATAAACGAATAAACGGATATATACATATATATATGTGAGTCACCTAATTTTTGGGTTGAAACTGCTGAGTATATTTTGGCATTGTTTAATTTGAATTTATACTTTTTGCATGTATGTTTTTTAATGGAATGATTGATTTACTTTTCCCCGACCATTTAATGGTTGTTGTCTTTTGATAGTGGTTAACGTTATAATGATTAGTTGGGATTTTTACAAACATAAACATTTAGTGGCAAATTGAATTTTTACATTTTTTTTTACATTTAACTCCTAGTTCTCAGCCAACCAGCTGTAATTGATTTGGCTCCACAGTACGATATTAAAGTTGGCGATACACTCACTTTGAGGTGTCAAGTAGATGGTCCACAAAATTACCAACTGCAATGGTTGAAAGATAACAATGTAATTTCTAGTCCAAGAGTATTTGTATCAGGTAACGAGCTCACTGTATCAAACATTCAAAATGAAGATGGTGGAATATATACTTGCCGCTTTTACGATCAATCAGGCGACTTATATTTTGATCAAAGAACTGAAGTTTTAGTAAGAAGTAGGGAAGGCATTTTTATCTAAACCATTATTTTGATATCTTTTTAATTTTATTTAGAACTAAAAAATAGCAGAAAAATAACAGATTACAGGTAATAATTATTTTTGACAACTAGATCCGTTGGCGCCAAAAATTAAACACCAATTAGTGGGACATCCGATATTGAATGTGAATGACCATACAACATTAAATTGCGTCGTTGACAGCGAGTTCCCCTTCGAAGTTCAGTGGTTCAAAGATGATGTCCTCTTGGACTTTCCCTATGTTCAAAGTGACAACAAGTTTACCCTGGCCCTCAAAAATGTACAGCCAAAAGATTCCGGTGAGATTCACCTTTTAATTGTCAGCGCCTGGATCAATTTGAAAATGTTGATTAATTTTTTCAACAGGACGTTACGTTTGCCGAGCTTTCAACGAATATGGAAGTGTAGACCACACCATTAACATAGAGGTGAAAGCGGAAGAAGCTAAAACTGAAAACGAACTCCGAGAAGGCATGTTCTAATTTTCATAATAATTTTTGCTTAGGACGTTTGGTATTTTGATTATATTCAAACCTTACTAAATTTTGTAATTTATACATATGATGCAAAAGTTGCTATTAGTGATTAGCTAGTTATTATTTTTTCCTAATATCCTTATTTTTAAATTAATGATTCAATTATGTTTTCAGGTAGACACACGTTCATTGAGCAACCCGTCCGTAAATCTGCCAGAGTTGGCGAATCAGTCACATTGACCTGTTCCGTGCGTCTACCTGTTAGTTGTTAAGTTACATACTACAATTGCATATGTTTGATTGTTGTTTTTTGCTGGCATATCCCGTTAATTAGTAAATTTTTGTGCAAATTTTGTTTTTTTTTTAAATATTTTTTTGTATTCTAAATATTTTTTGATGACCTCACTTTTTTGTTTGTAGCGTGTAGGTATGTGTCTGTTGACATGTCGTTTAATTTGAACCTTGCCAAATAATATAAAAAATATTTTTTTAGTTATTTTTAATTGATGTAAAAAAATTGTTTAAACGAAATTTTAAATAAACGTGCATATAATCACCCAACCTCCAACTAACAATAATTAAATCATTTAAATCTAATACATTTACAAAATATCTCGTTGTAATAATAATTAATTGAATGATATTTAAAATCTGCTATATTGCACAATCTATTGAAAGCCATTCATTTGAAAGGACAAAGACAGGCAGAACGTGCAATTCCAGTGGACTGACCGAAACGGAAATATGTTTGATGACGAACGATTGACGGACGACACATATGGCAACCTGATGATAACTGACGTCAAACTTGAGGACGAGGGCGTCTACGTTTGCTCGTCCTATCTGAATGAAGATAGAGATGTTGCCGAGTCCTACCTATCCGTCCGTGGGGGTATGAAGATCATTCACTTTTTCGCAATTTAATATATCATTTTTTATGATTTCATGAAAGATGTCATTAATTTCGGATTGTTTCATGTAAACGTATGGTTTCGTATTTCGTCTAATAACTTCATCAGTCAATTAATCAGGATCTAACAGTTTGATTGTAACACTTGAAAAAAATTCGAATGCTAAAAAGAAACAATGTTTATAATTAATCAAATAAAGATATATTTTTTCTTTTAATTGAGTCTCCATCAAATATAGTTATTTAAAGATATATTGTCTAAGAAAACGAAATATTAAAGTGAATAAGTTTTGTTTAAAAAATGAGCTTTTTATCTGCTGAAAATGTGTGCTACGCTCAAAGGGACGCCTGTCAAACACGAAAAGTTCTAATCAGTTACACCAGAAAAAGATACTAATACGCATAAATATTATGCAAATGCATGAAATAAATAAATTAAAAAATAATTGAAATGAATAAAAATTTTAAAAAATAAATAAATATTTATTAATGAATTATAAAAATGTAAAAATTATATAATTTGATGAATTGTTCATGGAAACTAATGAGTGAAACCAGACTAAAAATGTGCGAGGGTGCGTTCGAGTGCAAGTATAGGTAATATAAGTATATGGCGATAGAGTAATATGCTTTGCGCTATAAAAAGCACATGGCATGTTAATTAGCATATTGTGCTAAGAAGTCATTAGCATATGTACTGTTAGCATATTTTTTGCTAGAAAAAAATTGGTGTGTTAGGAAATAATTGGTGGGTTCTGTTAAGGGGTCTTTAACATACTACATAGTTGTTCCATTAAGCTATTCGAATCCATCTTTGATATACCGTCCCTTGGCTACACTCACTTGGCAAATTTCAAATAATTATCATAACCAATCTGAACATTTAAAAGTAGAGAAATGAAAGGAAATTAATGCTAAGATGAAATTTTAATCCAAATGTAAAATTTGCCGTGATAAAATTAAAATGTCTGAATGAGGCTAGAAAACTTTAGAGGTTTAAGCAGATTGGGACAGTCGGACAGATGGATCCGAATAGATTAATCTACGTAAAAAGAAATTAAAATGAAATGACTATAATAACTGAAATAACTGGTACCTTTTCAGTCTTGTGTGAGGATTTGATTCATTTGCTGCTAATAAATGTAGCAATCATTTTGACATGTATGTCTTCAAAAATGAAAAATGCCAGATATGCGGTTATGAAACAGACTAATTGAAAATAAATCAGAGAAAAAATAATTTTTTTTTTCATAAGGAGAAAACGGTCCGAAATTTGAATATGCGGACACAAATGTTGCGGTTAGCATCAATCCTGATTCGCAAACAGCCTTCACCGGCAGTAGAGTGGCGATTACTTGCGACGTTAAGAGTGACGTTCCTTTCACGCCTGTCATTACCTGGAGAAATGCCCACGCTAATAATCTGCCGCCCAATCATCAAGTTTGTTGTCGTTATTTTGTAATTTCTTCGTTCAGACATTTTTTTGAATGCCTGATCGGTCTAAATTATTTTGAATAAGTTAGAAGCAATATCTAAATTAGTTTGAAAAAGTTAAATATATATTATGAATATTTTGAAAAAATTTTAAGTTCAAGTTTATAATCTTTTTCGGAATGTGGCAGTTTCTGTCCCGTTAAACAATTATTAAAAAATATCCTTAGTGTCAATATTTCTCATAAAGAGGAAATACAATATGAAAAGTTGTTTAATTACGAATGTCTGAAGATCTCCGAACTTTGGTCTGGACATCTTTTTCATTCCTTACTCTTTAATCCAACAAAATGAATTTTGTTACTATCGAATATAAACTATTTTTTCATAGGAGATCTCTAGTAGCCCAACGTAATTTCTTTCAATTGTATTTAAATTCGACAAAATTGGCAGTGACAGACGCCTTAATTGCATTTCTCATTTGAACAAAAAAATTATTTAAACCAGATATTCACATTTTTACAAATGTTAATTTATTTAGTAGTCAATAGAAAATGCTTTGTTGAAATTTGACTTTATGTGTACGATCTTTTGTGTGTACGATTTTATGTGTACGATCTTTTAAGATGATTTCTGAGGGCTTTTTTATTCTTTTGATAACCAATTGATGAATGATGATGTCAAATTTTATATTTTGTTGGAAAGATTTCATTGTTGTTGTTATCGTATCCATCTTCAGACGACAATGTCTATTTATAAACTCAATTAAACCTTCTCATCAATAACGTTGTGCATCTTTTTGATAATATAAGTAGATATCATTATTCGTCATTAGCCATCAATTCGTCACTCTCATTAAAGATTACCCCTATTATTTCTGTTAAATTAAATTTTGTTTTTTTCAAAATGAATATTTCGTTTTGTTTTCTATTAAGACAATTGGAAACCAGTTGATATTTAACAATGTCAACGAGGAACATGGTGGACTGTACCAATGCACGGTTAACACGCCAGTCGGAACAGTGAGCGCTTATTCATCTCTCACCGTACTTCGCAACGATCAGGGTATCTGTTATAAATATCTCTAGATGTTTTATGAAAACTAATGGGCAAACTTTTTGTTTGTTAGACTATGAACGTGGCAGTCAACCTGCTATTGAAACAGTAGATGTAAATGGAGGCACCAAAACAATTTACACGGGCCAAAGCATTTATCTACGATGTAGACATCCCGAGAATAATTATCATGTCAGAATTCGTTTTGAATCTCCGAATGATGAGATTTTGTCAGAAGGGTATGGCGAGGTCTTTTATTTGCTAAGTGAAGTCACTCCTCAGAACAGCGGCAGATACACTTGCGTGATTGACGACGACTTATCGATCAGGCTATTTGTTTACATCACTGGTTAGCTTCTTTTATTCATTTTTCATTTAACTTAAGCTTTTATAAATTTATAAATGTTTCTATTCCAACAAAAAATTTTCAGTCGAGGAAATTGCTTACAACCCTTACAACCCTTCTGAAAGTACTTTGTACATCCATCCAAAATCCGTCTATCAAATTAAGGAGTCCAAAGTTGATTTGAATTGTTATGGTTAGCCAAGAATTTATTTATAAATCTTATCTAAAAGCGAATATTTTCTTCATTGATTAATAATAATCAAACTTGATAGTTTCAAAAACTGAATTACTAATCTTCTCCTAGTGATGAAAATGTTTGAACGTGTTTGTAGGTGATGAAAACGTCTCGGATTACAGATGGTTCAAATTATCAGAAAATGAAGCCTGGCTTCCGGTTAATCTAAAAGATGTCTTTGTAATAGAAAATAGTTTGCAAATTAGCAATTTTCAGCCTGAGCATGCTGGTTTATACAAGTGCACAGCCATTAATAGAGTGGATGGTCGCCAGTTAGAAGCAAACGTTATGGTGAAGATTACAGGTGATGTGTTTTTTTCGTTTTCAGTTGTTTCTATGAAAATTGCCGTTTAGTGCAATTATGACGCGTGAGCATATAGAAAAGCAAACATTTATTTTTTTTTTTATAAAAATAAGCCTGAAGGCGAGAATTTCGTGTAAACGGGTAAAGTCTCATTGGAATGTTAATAAATACTTTGAACTTAAACCAGCCCCTTGAAAATGAAGCAAAACTTGTAAACACCACAAATTCATTATAGTCTAGATAAGTTTCGTGTCTGGTTATAAGCTAAATGCGTTTCGTTTATATTAAGACTCATCGGTAGCCCGCCTTAAGTGGTGTTAGGACGATCTCATGATGTACCAGTTCCAGTGCTCAACAAACATTGTGTCGTTTAGTTTTTCAACAAAAATTCTGTAACTTAAGGAATGCATTGTGAAACATTCTCAGCTAAAAATAGTTCACACCATTTTTTGCATGTGGGACAAAACAAGCATTCACACATTAACCTTTTCATTCATCATATGCGTGTTTAATTGTGCAATGTTATAGCAGAGAAAGTGACCGCTTTCAAAATTATTTGGAAAGACAAATGTGCTATTGCTGCTATAGTCGGCGTCTTTGAAGTTAACTAAGCTTAGATGTACAATTCTAAGTTGACCAAAGCATATCTGCTGAGCTACCTTGCAAACCATAAAACATTCATGATTCCTCCACGTTACGCTAATTTTCATGAAACATCAGCCTTCACGCCTTTCTTCCTCTTCGGTCAGTTAAGTCTTTTAAACTTAAAATTTTCACCCTCAGTGACTCGCAAGAGTTATTGAAACCAAAAAGTGAGCTCTGGATTAATTTCGCACTTATCACAAACCTGTTTTCTTTTTTTAAAATTTATGCAGTGATTAGAATTTTTATGAAAAACAGGATATTTTGGTCATTTTTTAAGATGATGTTATATAAAGCGAAGTAAACCAAGTTACATCTTCCTGGTCTGTGTTCTTACTATATTTATTGAACTTGAAACTTTGAATTAATCAAACTAAAAATTTGTAATTTAGGAGTTTATTAATAGAAACGATCATTTACATGCATTCAGATTATCCTTACCTATTAGTTTCGCCTGACCATGTAGAAATGTTTGAAGGTGATAGTGTGACCATCAACTGCCAATCAAGTGATGACTTTGAGTTAATGTACTGGAGCAGGGAAGATAATAAACCTCTTCCTGAAAACTCCTCCGTATCTAATTATGGAAGAACACTTGTACTTGAGGTATGGTAACATTTTGTGAATATTTTCATAGAATATTGAGAATTAAAATTGTTTTTATATCTTTTAACTTTATTGCAGAACTAATAAATAAATGATGTGGTTTCAAAAGTGACAAATAAGTGTAAAATTTACAAAAAAAAATAGAATAGGCTTTTGATGTTGGATGTTTGATGCACGTTGACTTATAGGATCAATCCGCTTAAACCTACATTACACTGCCCGTCTTCTTCGAATGCAAACAAAGTGTTGTTTACAGCATGGTCATGTGTATTATGCCTTCGTCGGACGTTGAAATCGCTAAATAAAACCTAATAAGATAGATATAATTAACATATTGTAATGTCTTTGCCTTCAACCTTGAAGCAACATAAATCAATTTACTTGTTTGTTGTTCTACGCCTAGCTCTACCTATTACTTGAGCTATATTTTGTTCCAAATTTAAAAAAATGTATTCAGTTATTATATGAAAATGTTTCTGCTTCCTAAGTTTTTATGCATAAGTCTTCTTTAACTCTACAAAAATCAACTGACAATGAAAATAGCTGAAAATAGTTCACACACCAACTTTGCACGTGGAACATACAGACATTCACACATTAACCTTTACATTTATCATTTCTTTCATCATATGCGTTTCTAAAGAAAATAATACAAAATAAGATGGAAGAGGGTGAAAGAGAAAAAAGATAAAAGCAAAAAAATTACATCACATTTTAAATTAAATAAAATATAATTTAAATCGAATATAAGAAATTCAGTAGAAGACTTATTGATATTGAGTCATGGAAAAGTTTCAACTACACTAAGTAGAGTTATTAGAGCTGCTGAATGCAACGCAATGTTTCTCGTTTCTTTTGAGTAAAGAAGTCATATGAAGACTAAATATAAATATAGCCGTTGTTCAGTCAGCTTATTTTTCTATTGTTAAAAGAGAATATTTTACTAATTACACCGCTAAAGAGAAACACTTGAAATTTTTCTTCTTATATTGAATGTACTACTAACTTTGTTTCAGAATCTTCAAATGGATCAAGCGGGAAAATATATTTGCACGGCCAGGACAGTGTTGGGGACAGTTAATACAACTGCCAGTCTTATTGTTCATCGTTAGTTTTTCAGTCCTTTCTATATCTATATATATTTATAATAAACCAAAAATAAATATACAACAAAAAATGACAACCTCTTTTCCAACCCGGCGCTTAACCAACAACGAAAACAAAGAAGTAATAAAAACTAGCATTGTAAATAGTGACAAAAAAGAATATGATGCTTTCGATGAAGAAAAGGAGACCAAAGAAGATGACCAGCCAATAAAGAAACCTGACACTTAATTTCAATCTAAGTTCACTTTGACAAAGTCAATCTCCATCTAAGTTCATTTTGACAAAATCAATATTTCCCTATATAAACAGCAGAAAGCACTAATGATGATTCATTCGGAATCAAAATATGGCCTTATTTGCAGCATGAATTCGGAAAATAAGTTTATTATGAATTTTAATAAACTAAACGTTCACCAAAAAACTTTAGTGAGAAAAATTGAAAAAACGAACTACAAACATATTAACGCCAAACAGTCGGTAGAATTTATAGAATATTGTAAAAATTATGGTCTATTACCAACATATATATGTATATATACACATATATATATATATATATAAATATATATATACTGTGTCTCTACAATGTTAATTTAATTAATTAGTTATTACGATCTTCAACTTTGTGCAATATGGCACTTTTACGTGTTTTCATTATCGATGATTCCTCTGTTTCTAAATTTATTAGTGGGAAGGATTCCAAATGCACGTTGCTGAATTTTTATTATCGGATATCTTTGTTCTATGAGTATTGATTCGGCTAGTCGTGAATTATAATGGTTGTTATTGTAATGTAAAATTTCAACATTGTTGTCTATGGTTTGCATAGTAATTTTAGTTTGGTGTTTCTTTTTTATGTGATTCTTTAAAGTGTGAGTTTGTAGGAGCATCGCGGGTCTTCTCAATAGCTTTGTTGTCGTCATACCGATATATTCAGGATTTTGGTGCCTACACTCACCAATATTACATTTGAACGAATATATTAGATGGCTATAATCCATTATCGATTCTGGCTTACTACTGCAATTGTTTTTCCTAACGAAGGATGGCGTTCCTTGGTTAAAGTAATATATTGTTTTCGTTTGTTGCTTAAACTTTATTTTTATGATTCTTTTCGTGATTTTTTTATCCTGTTCGATGAAAACAGTTGACATATGGTTTTTATAATATATTTTTATCTTATTTTTGTTGTTATTGTTAATTGCATTATTGTTGTTGCTGATTTTTTGTTCTTTGCGTTATATTTTTTCTGGATGATGGAATTTTTATATCCATTATTGATGAGTAGTTTAGTGACTCTATCTAGTTCTTTTCTGCTGATTTTTACAAAAAAAGCAGAGATCGTGCTCTCTAGATATGTTTGACAACCTTCACTATTTCCATTAAGACATAAATTTTTGTTTGTTGCTGAGGTTTTGAATTCATCCTGAGCATTTTGTATTAGTACGTCTAGGAATGGTAGTTTATTGACGGTGATTTTTTCATTTGTAAACTTTAATTTTGATGATTTTAGTCGTTGTATTGAATTTATATATAAGTCGAAATATATATATATATATATATATATATATTGTAATTTATGAAATCTACCAAAGTTCTAGCATTATATATTACATTTCTCAATATTTCTAACCAAATTCTTGTCGTCATTATTTATTTTATTAAAAAAAGAATAATATACAGTATTCCAATTCATTCTCGTGTGTATAGGACCTATTTTGATTTTTCAATCATCTTCATCACTTGTTGCTGTTTATATAGATAAATTGTATAACACAGTACTTGTTGCCGTTTATATAGGGAATTTGTATAACCCAGGTCTTTGTTCCAGTGATTTGCATTTATTGCTGTTAGTGACTTTGGTAACAGGAAATAGAGATTTTGCAGTTGCTGGACCCGTTTTTTGGAACAGGCCTACCGATCTAATTACGTATATCTGGATTATCATTAGCTGAGTTTAAAAAACGTCTTAAGACATACCTATTCGGTAAATCCTAGTGATCTTCACTGATGATTGCTTTGCTTTCAACATGCTATTCTTTACCTATAGCAATTTCTACGAGGAGAGCGCTGACGAGAAGCAATTATAATTGGCGCTATACAAATTTAAAAATCAATTCAAAATTCTAATCAATATATATTACACACACTTGATCAAATTCTCCTATTCCAATATGTGCATTTCGAGTTCTAGATCTTTATTTAGTTTTATCATTTTCATCATTTAATTTGTTTTATTTTATATTATAACTTAAATTATATTTTATATTGTAGCTTTAATTATTATCTCTGGGACCTTAGTAGTTCTTTTGCATGTTTATGATAAACATGCAAATGAAAATTTTTATGTAACAAAAACAATTAGAAATTTCTCCGAAGAAATAAATTTTGTTTTCATCTGGTCCATTTCAAAACCGCAGCTTCCAAAATAAGTGATTTTAAAGTATAATGAAGCTTGGTAAGACTGCTTTTATTAAGCAATTAACACATTGTTTTCTTTATTCCTAATTTTGTTTTTCAGTTTTAGTTTCATCAACTTCATTTTTCCTGCATGCATTTTGATTTTTAACATACGCAAATTTTTCTACATCTGTTACAATGAAATGTGGATCTGTTTTCTTCATGTTTTAATTTAATCTTTTAAACGGCTTATAGCAGTCTCTATTTTTTTATATTCTAGGCCAAAATTGCATCCTCAATTTGAATTGCAGTTTTTTCGGCCATCCCTTGAGATTTTTACTTGTTAAATTTAGCTTAGCTACAAAAATAATGAAATTCCACCCAAAAATGTAACCTTCCCTCTGACCGATCGGTATAGTTTTTTATTTATATGTTTGTTTTTAACTTGGCCAAATCTTTCAGTTGCTGGTGGCGAATCTTCGTTTTTCCAAATAGATACATTGTCTTTTGCTTACCTGAAACTGTTTCTAATAATGTAGGAGCTGATTGTATATACTTTTATGTAGTGTATTTATGTATTGAAGATCATTTGAGAACATTTTTGTGATTTTATTTCCTTTTTCAAATAAGAAATGATTGAAATTTATTTCTTTTATTTGAAATCGCAGCTCTTTCTGAAGAGAGGATCATAAATACCCGATTCAAAGATGCCTACACGGGCGATTCAGTCGAAATGGACTGCTTCGGAGGTTTGCTAGCAATCCATTTAATCACTTTTAAACTTTGCTCGTCGTTTATTTTTTAATTTTCACTATGAATGAACACGTTAGCTTTTATAAACTAATGATTTTATTGTTATTAAGGTTCATGCTAATTCAGACATACACGGATGTGAATCCTTCCCGAGTATGCGTCTTTTCATCGTTCATGAACTTTAGTGAATTTATGACATTTATACAAATTAATTTGTCGTTTATGAACTTTAAATATATAATTTCTTAATTAAATTTTAACTTGTTGGAATAAATAAATGTTTGAATCAGATTTTCAACTCACGAAGACAATCTTCTTTGTTTTTTTTTTATTTTAAAGATTTGTTTTCAGTTTGCTGTTTTATTTTCACGTTTGTTAGAATTTAAAAATATGGAAATGTAGATGTGGGATTTAATTAATAAAAAGATTTGTATATTTAAGAAAAGTAAAAGAAAAACATAAAAACTGAAAAATTTCTAAAAAAAAAAACAAAATCAAAATCGATCTATCAATAATCATCCGTGTATGTTTGTTTTTTGGCTCTTGCATCTGTTGATGTTATTTTACAATGTGGTAGATAGAACGTAGTGTTATGCATTGTTTAGCTGAAGTGTTTCGACTTATTGAAATATTTGATGAACGCCAACACCAGGTGATCCGCAGCCTGTTGTTAGATGGATCAAAGTAGGTTCAGAACTGCCAAGTCACATTATTATAAAAGGGAACAAATTAATAATTTCTTCCGTCATGAAAGGTGATGAAGGCACGTACAAATGTATTTCATTTAACGCGGAGGGGACGCAGTATGCCCACATCGAATTGAATGTCATATGTGAGTTGCAGTAACCTTTTATTCAAACATTACCTGTTAAGTTATCTGCAATTTCAATTTGTTTCTACTTCGACCCTGAAAAATTTTTTTCCTGTTTTTTTTTTTTTTTTAAATTGAGCCCACAATTTTGAATATTGACCGTTTAAATGCCTTTCCTAATAATTATGCCGTAAGAAAGTGTAGATCAAAATAAATATTCATCGTTTCTGTACATGCATGTAACTGCTTGTGAACACTTTGTAAGGCCATGTACAGTTTTTACTCGATACATCGCATCGAGTTAGCAATGTAATAGATTAAACAAATGAATTTATTAATAATAATTTATTATTAAAGAGCGCGAACTGAACGTTCCTATGCCCCCAAAAGGAGAAAAAAAGCAATATAATTAACCACGCATACAGTATATAATATTGAGTAAAATGTGTACATACCAAGCATATAATAACGTACAAACACCCCGAAAATGCAACTATATAATGCAACATTTAGGTAAATTAATTAATATTAATGTGCACATATACCAAAACTTTTGATCATTTAGATGACATATTTATATATACATAAAACCAAATATTTATAGAAACTAAATTGCATATACATGCAGACATTTATTAAGACAATCATGCAGATCGTCTGAACATAACTTCACAAACATTAACCAATAATAGGAATATATAATAATTAATATGTATATATATATATATATATATATATATATATATATATATATATATATATATATACATACATACGTGCACAAACATGCACAGACACACATACACATATACACGTACACATACATAAAACTATGCATGAAGATCTTGATAAAGTATGGATCAGTCATGATTTAACAGTTGATCAGCGTGCCGAGTTAAAAAAACTAATTGATGAAGCCAAACCAAGAAAAATCTCGTGCCCGGGTTTTTTATTCAAGGTGAGGGGAACGGTGGGAAGGTGGCGGATCGTCAAACTCAGAGAGCATCCGGTGAAGTGATTTCTGGTGAAGGTATTGCTGATGGTGCTGGTGGTGGAAGTTTGTTCAGCTGTGGTGATTATGATAGTTGTGGTGGTGGTATTTGCGGTGGCGGAGATGGTTGTGGAGGTAACGATAGCGGCAGTGGTAATGATGGTGGTATTTGTGATGATGGTTGTAATGGCAACGATAAAAGTGGTAGTAATGATCGTGAAGTTACTAAAAAAGACACAGAACTAAAATTGCAATTAGGTTTGTTGAACATTAGGTCAATTATGAATAAGATCAAAACTGTTCGCGATTTATTTTCTAATAATTTTGATATTTTTGTTGTTACGGAATCCTGGTATGGGTCGTTCGATAATTTATCACTTAGACTCACTCTACCACCTGATTTTGTGTTCATAGATTTTTTGAGGCCAGCCGACCCTAACCATGATGGAATAATTGTATTTTTTATAAATTATTTTAAATTTTATAGAATTCCACTGCCTTTATTTAAGACGTTTGAGGCTATAGTTGTGAAATTTTATTTCAACAAAGTAACTATTGTTGTTTTTGCAATTTATCGTCCTGGGTCTTCTATTCCATCACCATTGTTTTTTGATGAGTTATCATCTGTTTTTGATCAAATATTGCTTTTAGCAAATTATGTTATTTTTATTGGAGATGTGAATATTCATGTTGAACTTTTGAACGACCCTAATGCATTGAAATTGTTTGAAATTTTTGATTTATATCAATTGATAAATAGAATAAATGAACCAACCCACGTTCATGGTGGAACATTAGATTTAATTGCCTCTAGTTCTGACCTTCCCTCACAATTTTTTTCCGTTGAGCCACCAAATGTGTATTCAGACCACAGTTTAATTAAAATTTGTTTCCCTATTTCTGTTCCCACAACTCAGAAAAAATGGAAACTTACTCGTTCATGGAATCAAATCTAATTTCACTAGTTCTCGAATCACCTATTTCAGGGCCGTTCAATTCATCTTCCGCTGATACCCTGTTGGATTTGTTTTATTCTGAAATTAATCGAAATGCATGGCGCTTAGCGTTAAAAGAAAAAATACAAAAATTTTCCCAAAAAAGAAACAAATTTTGGTCAAATCAAGTTGATTCGTTTAAAAAACAACCAAAAAAATTGTGGAATATCCTCGACAAAATTTTATCTAAAAATCACAATAATAACCATTCAAATGATTTCTCCCCCAATGATTTTATGAAATTTTTTATCAATAAAATCAATAATATTCGTGGCACGACTATAGAAAATACTAACAAACCAATCCGGTTTGAATATGTTTCTAGGGTCGTCTTACCTGAAGCAATTATTAATCTTTCCGATTTTCAAATGTGCACGCCAGATGAATTGCGTAAAATAGTTTGTGACTCCCCTGGCAGTTCTTGTTCTCTTGATCTGATTCCAACATACATATTTAAAAAATTTATAGATCTTTTTTTGCCATTTTTGACATTTTTTGTCAACCAATGTTTATCAACTAGCAGTTTTCCCAACCCTTTGAAACATGCTATTGTAACCCCACTTCTAAAAAAATCAAATTTGGACGACCGTTTTATCAAATTACCGTCCTATCTCTAATCTTTCATTCATTTCTAAAGTCATTGAACGAGTTGTTATCAAACAATTGTTACAGCATTTAAACAAAAACAATTTGTTGCCAAAGAATCAATCCGGCTATCGTCAATATTTTTCCACAGAAACTGCACTCATTGATATTTTCTCCCAGTTGTTCTCTTCAGTTGACAGTCAATGCGTTTCTTTTTTAGCATTACTTGATATGAGTGCTGCATTTGATTGTGTCGTTCATACTCGTCTCATGTATAAACTCTCTACAAATTTTTTTCTCTCTGATTCAGTCTTATCGTGGTTCGCTTCCTATCTTTTAGGCCGCACCCAGCAGGTTTCTTACATCAACACCCTCTCTGACATAAACAAACTATCGTTTGGTGTCCCCCAGGGATCTGTGTTGGGACCTCTGTTGTTTCTTATGTATACCGCTAATGTTTTTGATATCATTCAAAAATATGAGTTCAGCTCCCACGCCTTTGCTGATGATATTCAGTTATTGGTTTCTTGTTCTGTTGATTCGATTGATGCTTCTCTGAATGAACTGACTGATTGTCTCATCGAAATTGGATCTTGGATGAGTATGAATCAGTTAAAGTTAAATCAATCTAAAACACAAATATTACCGGTTGGTTCTTGGCAGCAGCTGTCGAAGGTCAAAATTTCATCGATCAGTGTCGGCAATGACATCATTGAATTTTCTACATCTGTCCGTAGTCTTGGAGTTATTATTGACTCAAACTTAAAGATGGATTTACATATTAATAATTTAGTGAGGGTCTGCTCCAACCAACTCCGTTTATTACGCAATGTCAAAAAATCACTAAACACGTCTGTTCTTCAAAGCTTGGTTTCCTCTTTCGTCTTTTCCAGACTAGACTACTGCAATGGCCTTTTTTATGGTGTCACCAAAAAGTCTTTTTCAAAGCTTCAGTCAATACAGAATCGTGCGGCCAAGCTGGTTTTGGGTGGTTCGTGGTTCGATCATGTTACGCCTATTTTGAATAGGTTGCACTGGTTGAGGGTTGAAAAACGTGTTTCCTTCAAGTTGGCAGTTTTGATGTTTAAATGTGTCAATAATACAGCACCTCCCTATCTCATCGATAGATTGGAATCATACAAATCTCATTTTTCAAAATATTCCTTCCGATCAACCGAGCGCAATTTATTTTTTATCCCGACCACAAAGTTGGTGACGGGTTCCCGCAACTTTGCAGTTCTTGGCCCGGTTGTTTGGAATGGTTTACCTCCTTACTTACGTGACCCTAACCTATCATATTTACAATTTCGAAGTCAACTTAAAACTTATCTATTTGCACAATAAATGTCCGTCTTATTTGTCTATGATTTAGTAGCGCTTTTGAGATTCAACAATAAAAAAGCGCTGTATATAAATTTCCGTAATAATAATAATACATATATATACATACATACATAAAGATAAATTAACAATAAAATGAATACGAAATGGAATTATATCAGCCAGCTTATACATACATATATACATGCAAATAAATATTTCTAGAAAATATAAGCGAAGTGAATCTTTTAAATAAACTCCATGCTTCCAATATTTTACTTCACTGTCATTCATTATGCCAATCATGCATATCGTCCACACAAAACATTAATTAATAAAGGAATAGAATAATAACTAATAAATAACATAAATATATATACACATATACATAGACATATACGCATATATACATACAAAAGCACACACATATACACACATACACTGGATTTGTATACATACACAAAAAAAACCCATTACATACATAGAACATAAATAAGCTATTTAAAAATTTAATTCCAGTTTAAAATACAAAAAATACCAATATTATACCTACTAATATTTCAGAATATTTTATTAATTGTATTTGTATAAAATTTATGAGAATAAAATAAATGTGTGTGAGACAGTATTTTTTCCAAAAGACACACATTTTGCAGAAGTGACTTAATTGTTGACAAATTTTAACTATAAACTAAGTTTGATAGTCTTCCTTATATGATTAATTTGACAAAATGATTATAATTAGTGATTTTAAAGATGAGGTTTGCGAGGCTTTCATAAGTTTTTAATAAAAAACAATCAAAAGATTCCATCAGAATTTTTTAAACATCGAGCTTGTTTTCTATTTATGCCCGAACTTTTTTAAAGTTGAATTGAAAAAATGAATTGAGGATTTTAACTTCTTCAACTTAGGTTGAATTTTTACAATCAAGGTAACTAAAATCAATAAAATCTAACTTAAATCCCACTCATACCATGTGTAGAGTTCTAATTATTGTTCACCTGGCGTTCCCACCTTTTGAAGATCATAGAAGAGATCGTTCGCATGCCTTTGTTAACCTACTTCTGAAAAAATATTATTTAAAGAAGCGTTATTTCATTATGCCTGTTAGGTTCAGTTCCAGCCAGAATTAGTTGGGAGTTGCCGCTATGTTTCAAGTTATTCATTTGGTTTAAGCTACAGACAATTTGTGAAGTTTGTTGAATCTTATTTATACGGGATACTAACTTATCAATGCAGGAATGTAAAAGGTATATGGGGAAATTATACTGTTTCTATTTTCGTCAACTTGGACGAGTTAAAATGTTTCGGAATAAATATTTCACAATTTCGTCGGAATCTGTTTATTTCCACAGTTTTGTAAACATATTTAAAAGCTAAGCTATCTCTAAATATGTTGAACATTTTGCTTATTTAGTTGTTGCGCATACTTCAAATGAATATATACATTAAAAATCCGTCCAGGGATACAAATGTCTGCTGGTTTTTAACACTTTATTTTATCTAAATTTTAGATTTTTGTTGCTGCGATACGTTTTGAAATCTTATTTTTAGTGATTTTTTTGGAAATTCGTCTCTTTAGTTGGTGCACTTTCTTTTGTAGTAACACATGATACATTTCGAGACAAGTTAGAAAAGGCATCTGAGAGTCGATGTTTTCAAACGTTCATTTAGCTTTGTCTGCATTTTCAGCCTCCCAGATAATGCACCGCAAATATAAACAGAATTTAAAATCCTTAATTTTATAGTTTTTCACGATTTTTATTCAAGACGAACCAAAAGCTGAAGTAGTTCCACGTTTAGCAAAAAGATCCGTTGGTGCTACCACCAAAATTAAATGCCTTGGCTCTTTTGGGCAAAACGCAACAATTTTTTGGTCATTTAATGACGGGAAACTTCCATCGAACTGTGAAGAAAAAGATTTTGATACACTTTTGTACGTTTTACCATTTTATCAAAACATATTGTGTTCGTATACCACTTTAAAAACGATGTTATGTTATAATCTATTAATATATCTATTTTGTTTTTACTTTTTTTTGCTTATAATTTGTTTTCAGTTTTTTATTAAATTATTAGTAAGTGCAAAAACATACATAATATACATATGATCGATTATTTCGTTTCGTCCGAAGCAAAATTTTCTAATTCGATATTTAAGTCAATATCTCGTTGATAGATTTTTACATAAAAATATCTGTGATATAAAAGTCCATGCCTTGTTATCATTATAATTTACGTATATGCAAGTAGCCGATCCATTTTGAGACGATTTTTAGCCATTGTATCATATTGAAATGTTTTATGGATATTTAGATTGGCTTTGATTATTGTAAGCATGGTTCTGCCAATTTAAATTGATAATTTTTCATTTGACGTTACTTACCAACAGAATTAAAAATCTGAAACCCGAGAACGGTGGCAGCTACGAATGCACTATCAAAAACGAGTATGGCTTAGCTCGTTCACTGGCATATCTCACTGTCGAGTGTAGGTTATGCTGAATACATTCATCACTTCCATTTATTCATTAATGGTTGTTAAAACGCCGTTTTTTTCCGGCAAATTGGTATGCATCTAAAGTATATACCGAATCATTTCAAATCAGGCTTTTCCAAGTGTTGTACACTAAATAGTAAATGACTGTTTTATCCACCTTTCAAAATTTGTTGTATAATTCAATATTTAAAATTAACGATTTCTTATTTTTAATTTAACAATTTTTCATTGAAGTAGAATGTGTTTCAATTACGCCTCATGTATTGGAAAGCTTTCTAACCAAACATACATTGTATTTGCGAATATTGAACCTGTCTTCTAATTAACATTTTTTTGTTTTAACTACACAAACTACTATTTTTTCTGATACATGAAGCAGTATATTTTGAAAGCTAAAACACATTTTATAGATCGCATACCCTTTCATACTATTTGAAATAATTAAGAAAACTAAAAATTTAGCTTTTTATGGCTAAAACAAATATTTATCAAAATTTTAAAAAACGAAAATCGTGCATCCTTTATAAGAACATTTGATCGTTACGTGACATGAAGGTTAAGTAACATTAGAACGGTCCCTGACTAAGTTTTAAAAGATTTTCCGAGTAACAAATTCAACACTAACATGATGGTACCAAACCATTATTATAATTATTTTATTTCAAAAAAGAATTCAACATGTTGTTAGCAGTTATTTGATTTTTATGTCTATTATAAAGGTGCCTTAGTGGAAATTAACTTTTTTGCAATATTGATTTGAATTGTAGCACAACCTGAGCTGGTTGAAGGCAAGTACGTTGGCGCCACCACCGGAGAGAGAGTCGAATTATTATGTGGTGAGAAATTTTTATATTTATGCTCAAATTGTTTGAAATTTAATTCAATTGTTCAGTTTTGTACATTTAATGAACTATTGAATATGGTTTTAAAATTTCCCAAAATGCAAGACTCGAGTTTGCATTCTTCTGAGTGGATCAAGATCAACGCTGAATTGCCAGACAATGTCATCATCGAGCCAGACCGATTGATCATTGCACATTTAGAGAAAGGAAGCGGGGGCCGATACAAGTGCATGTCAGTTGATGGCGAAGGCACCCACATCACAAAATTCTTCAACCTCGTCAATTTATGTTAGTTTTTGTATATCACTTAAGCTTCAAAGAAAGCTATTTGAGCTATTTATCACCATTTTTCTCGTTTATTTTATATTTATAAACAAATTGGCAAAATATAAAAAATATTTAAAAATATTTAAAGAGCATAATTTATTTCTGTTCTAAGCCAGTTAACCAAAATTTGTCTAAGATTTATATTATTTTTAAATGTTTTTGGAACAAATAGGCATGTTTGTAAACATTTCAAATAACTGAGGGTGTAAAATTGCTATACCCAGTTTCTATTAAGGCGTAAAAACACACAAACGCACTGTCATTTTCTATTTATTTTACAAAACAATCGATTATTTTTAACACCATCTCTTGATTTCATTAACGTAACATAAAGGATTGTAATAGGTGCAAGCATCATGTCTTTAGTCTCTTTAGTTAACTTGTTATTTAATACTTTTGTTTCCGGTTTCGCCAATATTTTCTTTGTAATTATGATGAATAAGCAAACTTGTTAACTTAAAAATTAACGGAGTTATCTATATCGTCATCTACAAATTTCATTAAGCCAATCAACAATTTGTACAGACACATGCAAATCCTTTTTTTTTGGTTTTTGGTGCTCATGTTTTTCTTTTTGTTTTCCATACGTCTGAAACAGTTTTCTAAATAAATTTCTGTATAGAAACAAGGTTATAACTGAATATGACAACGCACCGTAGAATCAATAAATTTTTAATAATTTCATAGATATTAAAATATTTCATTTTTTAAAAATTGTGTGCAATTATAGACGAACCAAAAGCCGAAATATACCCGAAATGGTTGAAAAGAACTGTCGGAGCATCAGCTAGTTTCAAGTGTTTTGGCGCTTACACTCCTGATTTCACAATTGCATGGAGTAGGAGCAACGGCCAAAACCTGGATGTCAACGGAGATACACTTACGTTGGTTTTTTTTTAGGCTTGATGTATTTATCTTGAAATGTTCAAAAGAAAAAATTAGATTGTTGTAGTGACTCAAATTAACTTCTACAAAATTAATAATTACAAATCTTAAAAGCTTGAATGACATAACGACGGAAGACGAAGATAGCTACGAATGCATAATTGAAAACGAATTTGGACAAAGTCGTGCTACCGCCCAGCTGTTTGTTGTCAACTGTAAGTTTTCGACATTCGAGATCCATTCATTTAAACAAATAGTTATAAAGTAGCACTCAAAGTTTTTTCAAATGTTAGAAAAATATATTTAATTAATTCTTAAAATGTGTGCCATTATTAGTGCATGACGACGAAGGTGAACGAATTGCTGAGTACAAACAGATTGAACTGCACAACGAACTTCAACTGGCCTGCCCAGGTTGTACAACATTTCATCATCCATCTATTTGTTTCTTTTTTGTAAATGTCATGAATAAAATGTAATAAAAAAATAGTTCGATAAAGTTTTTAAAATATAATTTACAAAATATTTCTGGTATTGCTATAGCTGTAGAATTTATCAAACGTTTTTCATTTACTGTTCTCTGAATAATTTTTAAAGGCAATTATTATTTTATTGACAACCTTGAATAAACTGCTTTCTTCATATCGAAAAAGCTGCTCAGAACGTTGAATGGACAAAAGTTGAATCTGACCTTCCTCACCACGCATTCATTGAAGATGGAAAACTTTTGATAAGCAGAGTGGATGAAGAGGATGGAGGGATGTACAGGTGTCGGTCCCAGGATGATATGCTCACAAAATATTTTGATGTCACTGTCATATGTTAGTTTTTCGCACTCTAGTGTTTTTAATTAGTTGTTGTTGGCTGTTGTCAAATAGTTGGCTACATTTATTATTGATTATTATAGATTGCAGTGAACACAAATTCAACAAACTACAAAATTTAAATAAGGTTATTTTGGCTGACTTTGTTGGAATAAAAATGCTTTAGACGTTTTTAAACTTATTACTAGCAACTATATTGTATCTTCCAATGCACTGAAGGATCATTCCACAACTGAGCTGATCTTCAGATGACTTTGCCTGACATCGTCCAGGAAAATCGGTGACCCGCACCAATCTACCAGTAAGATAACCAGATGCCCAAGATAACTCGATTTTCAATTTGATTCTTTAATCAATTGGAAGCCATCAGCGGTTGTCTCAATGTGGTCTGAAATAGGGCATTATGATGTATCTATCAATTTTTCACTATATTTTTGTAGCGTTCAACGACGCTTTTTAAAGTCTTGCAGCAATGCATTAACAGTTTAGCGTGTGATGAGCGGGAATCTCTACCTTCCAACCAGATCCAACCAGATCACTGCACCACAAGAGCATGCGCTCTACCGCTACGCCATCTTGCCGTCCAAGTATGTGCAAAAATATTCTGACATATCGACCAAGAAATATCTTTTTGAAGTTAGTTAGCACAATATATAGTTCTTCAGCTCATCGTCCCATTTCTCAGAAGCAGTCATTATTGTCAATGTAAATGATTCGGTAACATTTTATCTACAAATTTTATTAAGCAATCCATTAATTATATAACGCAAAAATATTTGATAATAATTTTAAATTGGTCAGATGCACCTTATGTAGCTCAGAAGTTGGTAACAATGTATGTGGCGTCTACGGAGGATGTTCTGCAGTTGTCCTGTCCTGTCCGAAGCAGTCCTCCTCCCATTATTACCTGGAATAAAAACGGACAATATTTTTCCTCTGGGTAGTAATTGCCGTTACGATTCGGCATCATCCACTTTTATTTAGTGTTCAATTTTAAATCTTATTTTTTTAGTACATCGCATTAATAAATGTGAAAAAAGCTACATTCTACAATTTCTCAACAAAATTCACGTTAAGACGTCAATTTGTTTTTCGTAATTATTTCTGAATTCATTGTTGTTACATTGGTATGTTTTGTAAAACAAACATGACATCTTAATCTTTACACGGATGTTAATGATTCATTCTCAGGAAGATTTCCATTGAAAACCGCTATTATGTTTCCTCATTGAGTGTCAAAGGTTCACCAAAAGATTTCTATTATTGCACCGCTATGAATGACTTGGGCCAGTCGACAGTTTATTTCAAATTTGAACCTGTTGGTTCGTTCTGTTTCCATCCCATTCAGTCATTTCAATTTTTTCCTTTTTATTATTGGTTAAAAATATATTATATTTATTTTTAAAACGCTAAGTCTATTTTTTAAGATTTTATACCTCGGTTCGACTCCAAATATTTTTCCTACATTATACTCGAACCTCTGGACATTCAGTTATTGGACTTGGAGTTTAGTTTTAAAGCGGAGACTGAAGGTATGACTTTGAGTTATCATGTTAATTCATGTCAATTTATCTTTATGTTATTTTCTGCTACTTGATGTTACTTTGTGTTATATAAATCTTTGCTGAACTTGTAATTTATTTCTTCATTTATTATTAATGTTTCATTACAGGTTTTTATTTTGTTTGTGTTTAAAATTGAGCTAATATGTTTTAATTTTTTCAGCAATCTGTTAATAAGACCTTTTTAAGATGTGTTCTTTTGAGGGCAGACCTAGACAACTGGCCTTATTTTTGCTTCTCGCTCAATGTTATATATATATATATATATATTCTATAAATTCTACCGAATGTTTGGCGTTAATATGTTTGTAGTTCGTTTTTTCGATTTTTCTCACTAAAGTTTTTTGGTTCACGTTTAGTTTATTAAAATTCAAAATAAACTTATTTTTCGAATTCATGCTGCAAATAAGGCTATATTTTGATTCCGAATGAATCATCGTCAGTGCACCTTGCTGTATATATTAGGGAAATATTAACGCCAACCATTCGGTGGAATTTATAGAATATTGTAAAAATTATGGTCTATTACCAACATATATATATATATATATATATATATATATATATATATATATATATATATATATATTATTTATATACAGTCAGTTATTAAGAAATATCACCGCATTTGAAATGCGGAAAATGCGGTGACATTTCTAAATAACTATATACACGACAGTCTGAACCCAAAAAAATATTATTTATATATATTTATAATTATATATAATTATTTATGAATATAATTATATATATTTATTTAACATTAATAAAACGCCAATTAAAAATAATAGTGTTAATTTTTCAAAGGCACTTTCCAATAATTAACTAAAATGACCAAAACAATGGATGCAATAAATCATAAAATAAATTAGCTCACCCTCGTTGATGAAATAAATGAGTCTTCAAATTCTTCTTGAAGTTTTCAGTTCCTAAATCATCTGTTTTCAATGAATCCGGCAAGTTGTTTCATACCATCGCCCTAGAAGCTGCAAAATCTCTTGCATATATATATTATATATATATATATATATATATATATATATACAAATTGGATTAAGACTGTCATAGAATGGCAAATATATATATATAATATGCATGCATGTGTGTGAATGTGAGCGTGTGTTTAGCAACAAAAATATTTGTGCACACCCAGGCAGCCTTTTGTTCTTGTCGCGCAACGGCAGTTTCATCCATGCTTTTGTGCATGGCAACCAGTTGAAGATCTCATCTGATGTCGGCGGTCGTCCTGTCGGTTTCTTCACCGAGGTGCAGTACGAGGAGTGGGTCAGCGTCCGTATCCTGAATCAAGGCACTTGTTAGTTTCCTATTACATTATTTTGTCCAACCTTAAATGCTTTTCATTGTAAAAAATAAATTTAAATGCATTCGTTAATGATAAATGAAGAAAGTAAATAAAATTAATGTAGATATAGCTGGAAATGATTCTTAACTGAAGTTTTTGCTACGTCTGTCGTCAAACATTTTGAACAAAACTATATCATTTATATATCACTATATCACTTAGTTCTCTCACTGCGGAACCGTTTTGTACTAATTCTTTATAAGATGTGCTTTTTACGATGTACAGGCAGAATTATTAAACCCGTGTTAATGTTTTTAAAAGATTTCAACATTGATTAATTTATAACCAACATTTTTTGACTCAGCTTTTTTGTAGATATATAAAACCAAAACGGTTTTGTCTATTTAGCAAACTTTACATAGCAATTGAAAACAGAACCATAACAACTTTACCACTTGAATTGTTGCAGTGCGAGTAAGGCATGATTAGCAGTCGATAAGTAATAATTAATCAATATTTATTTGCTTTGATAAAATTGCCATCGTTTTGTTACCAATGAATTGAACATAACAGTGTATGTGCGTGTGAACGGGCTGGCAGTTGTCCATGAAGACATCGCGGTCTCCCATCATCACCATCAGCCGCTGGACCGGTTTATCCTTGGCTCCTACCCAGATGACCAATTTAATGTTTCTGATGGACAAGTTCAGTCTTTCACTGGTTTGTAAAATATGCAATACGTGTCGTAACGTTTTAGGTTCTGTGAAAACTTATGAGGCTATTATTATATTTCTATCAAAAAACATGTGCTTACACATTACAATTTAATTGACTATTTGTTAGATTTGTATGATCTGTGTGAGACATAGCATCCCGTTTAATTATGTTGTCATCCGATTCATTTCATTAAAAATGTTAATAATGGAATAGAACCTTTTAAATATTGAGTTGTGTTGCATTCAACTTTCGGCTCAAACATGAAGCTTTCTTGTATATATTATGACGTTTTTAATACAACTACAAAAGCTCTCAATTTCTATTTACGGGGTTGAGTTTGAAAATTATTATAATTTTCTGGTAAATTTTAATACATTGCAAACTTATTCATTTTTTGATGTAATGTATGGCAATTGCATCACATATAATCAATTAAAAGATGTATTTTAGAAAAGGTTAAATAACCTGTACTTCCATCATCTGTGATCAATTGAGAAGTAAAATATTTGACGCTTCTATGCAGGATGCATCAGTCAGATAAAGTCAAGCGGAAAAATCATTAAGATGGATAGAGAGAACCATCTTTATTCCTTCATCGATGAGTGTAAAGTCTGCTCAGAAAATGCATGCCAACACGAGGGCCAGTGTTTGCCGAATCATAGCGAGAAGGGTTACACGTGCAGATGCCAGCCTGGCTACACTGGTGCCCAGTGTGAATCCAGCATTCCTTGCTTGCAAGGTCCTCTTCATGTCACTACTCTCACAAATTTTTATTATTATTATTATTTTATTAAAAATTTAATAGGAAAGTTTTCAAATTTATAACGCAAAAATTCATAAGTCGGATGGAAAATATGTGGCCCTGGTTCAAGCATTTGTTATGCGGCATGCGTTCATTATAAATTCTCAAAAAAATTAAAAAGAGTTTGAATAACTGTAAAGGAACAAAGTGTCCTTGGCATATGTTACCTGCCATTGATCCTGACCACCAGTGCCACGAAGAATGTTTGAATGGCGCTCTATGCGTTGCACACGAGTTCCATGATTTCTCATGCCAGTGCAAGATTGGATTTACGGGAGAGCTCTGCGAAACATGTGGGTTCTTTTCAAAACTGTTTTTGCGTTCAAGCTGAGTTTTACTACTACAGTTTTTATGGTGAATGATATTATAATAAGTTCGCTAATTGTAAAGAAGATTTTAAGATTCGCGTTAGATCACATTTTTTATAGTAGAATTGTTCGAGTTCTTTTTGGCGCCAGCTGTTTTATTATTGTTTTATCTAATTGATTATTTAACAATAATCACATTATTAAATTTCATAACGTCTGCAATGGCGTCCTCTTTAAAAAGTCCTGGTGCATTCGGCCAGGTTGATTTACGACAACATCAAAGTGTTTTTAAACCAACTTTTTCGCTACCTCCAACATTAAACATTTTTTAGAATTTAAATAACAGCATTTCCTACAATAAAAAAAATTTTATTTAAAAACATAAACACGTTTTTAAATATTTTATAATTCTGTGAAAAAATTATTTCACGAAGCTTACGACAAAATGCAAGGATTTGAAATAATGAGAGGTGGATATATTTCATTGGAGGCTAAGGATATTGGCACGCTCATCAATATTACGGTTAGCAATTGAAAGGAAAAGAAAAATCTTAAAAATTGTGTTTATTCATTTTTTTCCAATAAGATTTTTTTAATATTTAAAAAAACTATTCTTCATTTTCTGTTCTTTGAAATAGGTAAAATACTTCTCATATTCTGAAACGAAATTTTTCTTTCAGAATGACACCACATGGAGCTTTGATTTGGTTACGACGGACAAAAACACCCTCATTTTTTGGCATTCCAACTCTGAAGCCAGCATCTACCAGGCTGTGTTCATCCATCAAAATGGTTCCATTGCATACAAGTTATTTTCTTATTGATTTTAACGGTTTGCAAACTTTACAACGGTCTCAATGTTTTATTGATTTTAAAGAGAAAAATTCGAACGACTCGAAGCTAGCTGCTCAGTTCCGGTGGAGGTCAGCGATGGAATTCTGCACCACATTTTGTTCGGCAGGTAAGTTACACACATACATACACGTACACAATTTTCAAATTTGATTACAAAATGTTTGTGTGTGTGTGTGTGTGTGTGTGTGTGAGGTGTGTGTGTGTGGTGTGTGTGTGTGTGTGTGTGTGTGTGTGTGTCATTTTATTTTTCACATTTTAAAAAGCTGATTGGGGTTTTCATGTTGGGCCTCTTTTTTTCATTCTTTTAATAATGCATCGCCTAAAATAGTTTCAAATCAAACTGATAAGATTCCGAAATTTTTTTGGATATTGACGAGATTTAGACTAGTTCTTGGTCTGACTACTTCAATTAATTATTTGACATAAAGAAGCTAAAAGTTTTTTTTCTAAAATGGTGAATAAAAATATTTGGCGTGATTTTGATAATGTCTGAATCTTTTTTTAATACAGAGTTAAATATAAAGACGAATGAAGCATTTTAACAACATGTATAGCATTACTTGCCATATATTGCATGGAACTAAATCATAGAAGATCGTTCAAAATTTAAACACTCCAAAAATTCAATCTGTCATAAGACATTGTCATTTTTTCCAAAGTTTTCATAAAATCACCCATTCCTTCCCTACCTATATGGAAGCATCCGCCTGATGTTGTGTAGTTTGCAAGTTGGAGTTTTTTGACGACACATTCGGCGTGTGTATATGTATGACGGAGCATATTCGTTCGTTTGTTCATGTGGAAATGTATATGCGTGTATGCATGCACATTCGTTCATGTGTGTACGAATTTATTTATTTTGATGTGTGTCTGCAGGTGTAAGAGTATGCCTATTTGTATGCTGGAGTGCGTTCTCGTTACTATCCTTTAAAGGTATATAAATATACGTGTGCGTGTATGTTTAAATACAAATGTGTTTCTGTCTGTTCAGTTTTTCATGCAACAGTTGCTCCAATCATTTTAACCCTATGTCGTCAACCCTATATTGTAACACATTCTGTCAACCTGGGGTGTCGTCCTACACCCCAGGTTCAAACATGATGGAATAATGTTTTCTAAGTATGTTGTTGAACATAATATAAACAAGATAATATGAAACTGATAAAAAATACAATGTTTTTGTTTAGAATAAATTGTAATATATATATATATATATATAACAATGTTATATTATAACTTTTCACAATAGTCTTACCTAAGTTAATTATTTGAGGCAACTGTAAAATATTCATTAATTAGCAACAATGTTTTATAGTTTATTTGTCGTTTTAAGCCTCAGTACAGGTTTCACAAACCAGACGGCTGTGGTGATTTTGACAACATGGTATACCGCATGATGAACATCGGCTTTTGGTTTTCCGATCCGATGAGCGTGGGCAATTGCCACATCTCTTCTGTCCTGAAGATTCTGGTTGCTCTGCCTGAACTGCTATGGCTGGTTGAAAACTCATTGCTTTGAATGCCAGCTTCACTTGCTTCTGCATAACAAACGGATTTTCACTTCGTCGTTGAAGGTGTTCTTCTACCAGCTCTTCAGAAAGATTTTGTAAAAATAATCTTCGTTTGTGCATCTTTTTTTCATTCCATTGTGGATTTTTTGCTATCCAAACAACATATACTGCAACACAAGCAACATCAATGACGTTAAAGAAGAGTGTCATTGGCCATCTGCTAATTTTTCGTTTGCAGCTGTACAGTCCAACTAGGTGATCGAAATTGTCTACTCCTGATTTTGTTTTGTTGTAATGATCAATAATGTCTGGTTTGTTGTTGTCAACATCAACTGCAGCATCATGATGCATGCTGGAGAGCAGAATTACTGCTTTCCCTTTTTTAGGAACATAGCTGGTCAATGTTAATTGATTGTCAAAACAAAATATTGATGACAATTCTTCCCTTGATCGATTAGGAAGTAATTCTTTTGGTATATCTTGCTTATTTTTTCGCATTGTTCCAACAATGGTAGTTTTCACGGTCAAAAGATCTTCGGCGAGACTACATAAAGTGAAGTAATTATCCATGGTTATATTGATGCTATAACATTTATTATTATTATTTCACATTTATTATTATTATTTCATTATTGCAATACTAATTTTAGTTTAGATGACTTCAAGACTATTGGGGTGTAGGACACCTCAGGCTGACAAAATATGCCGTAAGACACTTCAAACGCTCACATACTCAAAACCAAATATTTGAATTAAGCCAGATTTTGCCATATTCTAGGTGAAGAAAGGTTATAAGATGTCACAAAGGTATATAATTTAATTTGTTCAAATATCTGAGATACAGAGTTATTTATACCCTCTGGGGTGTGATACACCCCAGGTTGATGACATAAGGTTAAGAGAGTTTCATCTTACTAATTATTATACGCAATTAGTTTAATATTAGTTTTTAATTAATGTAATAAACTTTATATTCATCTATAGGTCTTTTTCTTTCATATTTCTTATAATTTTACTTTAGTAATTTTTATAGTGTTCTACACTTTGTAGCAGATTCTGCGTCTGCCAGAGTCTTTATCGTTGACTTATTTATCAAACATTTTTCTGGCTAAAACGAAATAAAATGTAAACATTTTCTGCACGCTAGTACTTCTACCATTAAAAATCTTATTGTTATTGCTCAGTTTCAAATCTTATGCTACAGCTAAGAATTTTGCTTGAAGAAGTGAAAAAAAGGAATAACAACTTCTGCTCACAAAGTTGTTGCTTCTTTCTATTGAGATTCGATAATTACAACTGACTCCGCTCTTCTGTTAAAAATCTGCAAACCGTTCAAAACGAAACTGCCAGATTCATTTTCATTGAACCTCCTCGCGTCAGTTCTTCCATTCTTCTTCCAGTGCTACAGCTATTTTTCAGTTTTTTATTGCATTGTTTTAAAAAATCGCATTTCCAACTTTTAAACGCCAATTGAAAAACCACTATCTTCATGTCTCGTTTCAAACATACTAGGTATTTTTTCAACCTTCGGAGAATTTTATAAACCTCACTAACGCTAGGGCTGGATTAGGAAGTAGATAAAGTAGAAACTCTTACCGTCGTCAAACGTCAATTGGTTTTTAAAATATTTGACGACTTATTTTATAGCTTTTTTTACTTTTTTTATATTATTTTTTATATTAAAACCAGTATTTCAAACAAGTTTTGTCGGTGAAGTTACGAAAAACCATTTTTGAGAGGAAAAAACATAACGGTTGTTGATTTGTGGTAGTTTATACTTTTTATTTTCTGCGTGAATCTTTGCTTGTAGATAGAGGTCATTTTTTGGAGACCCAGGACAAGAGCCTCGCTTGCCCTCTTTTCCGCTAAATCTTACTTGCCTCTCCAATTGGTTGAATGGCTGAAATGGGTTACCTCCATGGACGAGACAATATTCCTCACCGTGTCAACCCAAATAATGTTACAAACATCTTAATATATTGATATACTTTCTAAATGGGTTCTAAATGAGTTCGTCAGCTCCGAGCTTTTCTGAAGCAGAGATGTGCGATATTATTATTATCATTATTATTATTAATTTTTTTAACAGGCATAAACAACACGCACACTCACAGTACATGTGAACACGCGTTCGAACCCAGACACTGCAGCATTAGGACCAGACGCCATAACTACTATACTACCACGCCGCCCGCGTATGATGCGTATGGCGCTATATAAATTGTCATATTTTAATAATTATTATTATTATATAATTATTGTTACTGTTACTACCAAATGAAATTTCTTTCATGCTTGGTTGTAAATCACAGGCACCAATCTAGGATGTTCATCGAAGTTGACGGTTCATTCAGAACCGAGCGTGCAACTGATGAAGTTCATCCGATACAAAAACATCTTGGACATTTAATCATAGGTAGAAATATTTCAAACCAAATTATAATTACTTATTATAAACACTTCATGCTTAGAATTCATTTATTGCATAAAATTTTAAAGTGCTTTTGATCTTCCGATTCAACACAGCAATGTTATTTTGTAATGTTATGTTGAAGGTGGGGGCAGCCACGTAAAGTCCTACACGCAAAACACCTTCGAAAAAGTTTTTGAGGGGCACATATTAAACATATCCGTCGACGGCCAGGCTGTCAACATGAGCGCCCCTGGTGTCAGCGGTTGGAATGTAAACCCAAGTTATCATTACCAAATAGATGAGGCATCTTTCGATTAATTTTTAATGTGCTAAAACTGACTTTGCCTAACATTAGTTTTTTGTCAAATGGACTTATGTTAATTTTTGTGTTTGGTGCCTACTTCAAAAAACACCGCAGCTTGCTTGCTTTTATCCATTCACTAAATGATGATTTATGTTAATATATTTGCTAAAAAAACATTTATTATTATTATTATTATTATTAAGCTATTTGGCTGTTTTGTATCGGTCAAATGAATACAAACACAATCAATTGCATTTAAGTGACTTGTTGGGACATGTTGAATAAAACATTTCTCAAATTATTTATTAATCAGAGGTAGCAATATAACTAATAATAATCAATTGAAAATGTTCAAGTGAACATTACCGGTTATACTTGTGTATAAGATAAACAACTTCAATGAAGTTCATAAAACAAATCAATCACAATTTTTTTCACAAAGAGACAACTCAGAGGATTGCACTGTTTGAGGTTTCAACGAATCTTCAAGTTTGAATGAAACTTTATGTTGCTTTGTATTTTTAGTGCAGGCTTCTTCGTCGTTGCTGTTTGCACTCTCAGCGCTTATTTTATCATCTTTAGAGTTTGAGAATAAAAGACTTTTTGATGAGACACGAGGTAAATTACTAAGAGAGGATTTCAAAGGTTTCACAGTTTGTGTATTGAAAGAGTTTTTAGATGTGGTGGATTCTTGTGATAATTTTCTTTCAAGTTTTTCTTTTGACGTACAACTTGAATAATTTTTTTCTTTGCTATCCACGTTGCTATCTGCACTGGGTGTCGAAGATGGTGCGGTAGTCGGGATGAACAAGCGAGGTTTGCCGGTTCTCCTTGGTCCAACGAAACTGAGCATTACAGGAAGGAAGACAATTGAATGTAAAACACCTAAAAATAGAGCAAATGCCATCGTTTTAAAAAATGAAGCAAAAATAAATGAAGATCCGTAATACAACGCAAAGGCAGAAAGCGAAGAACAAGAAGCTCCTGTCAAAATAGAAGCTCCAACTTTCACCAAAGCCGATGTTACCCTTTCGTTTCGACTTTTTCCTGTTGCAGTCATGAATGCGTGACTGGTTCTGACCGTAAAACTGACGCATATTCCGACACCTAAGATTATTTGCATGGTTGTGATGGCGCTCAAGGCAAGACTGCAAAGTTGCATGAATCCCATCATTCCCACCACAACACTTGCCATCGATCCTATCACACAAGTTACCGCAATAGGATGAGGAATGAAGACGAGAGCAACAAATAACATTCCTATAACGGTCACCCCAACGGGCAACAGAGTGTTTTTTACAATGGACGCGTAATGCTCATAAAAGACAAAGTTTGGACTGAATGCTTTCATAGGCAGTGATGAATTAGATGCTAGTTTTCTCATTTCTAACATCAAATCTTTTTCGTCTTCGGATGTGTTTGTTCGATGACATACAACGTAAAATCGTGAAGCCTCAATTACCCAAGGCGATTTAGCATGTTTTGAAAACTTTACGTCCGCTAAATATTGAAAATTTTTTGGAAGAAACTCGGTTTGTAATTTTTTTCCAAATTCACTAGCATTCCAGACTTTTCGCTTTGGCTTGTCCTTAGACATCAAACTGTGATTGTAAGCTTCCAACCATGAAACGGAAGAATTGTCAACCACAAAATCTGATGCTTCAACGCTTTTTAAAAACGAGTGCACTTTTTCCTGAGTTCTAACTTCATGATAGGTGATCGGCTGATGAATGACAAACGTAACTACTATACCGCAATTTGGAAAAAATTTGTAATCTATAACGGCATGGTGCCGATAATAATGTTCGGAAGGCACAAGAGCTTCCAAATTTAGACCTTCTTCCAACCTCGTTACCCCGTATATTGACATACATACATATGCCACAAAAATAATTACAGTTATTGTTTTCCCTACCCAGTGCAGCAATATTTTGGGATAATATTTTGAAAAATATTTTGAAAACGTTTCGCAGATGCCAACTGCAGGTGCCGAAAAACTTTTTCTGTCGCATGAGTTTAACTGTTTAGATAAAGGAAATCGTTCGTAACACGACGTTAAACCGCAGCATTTAAAACAATTATCATAAGTACCGCCTGGAATCTTTTGTTTTAAAGAGTCGTTCAAAACTTTGTCGTCGGCAATTAGTTGATGAGGATAATCTTTCGCATTAGACGTTGGATGTTCAACGGACGGTACATTCGTCAGAACATTTGTCAGAAGGGCGGTGAATAACCCGCTCGTGTTCCTGTGGATCGGTTTATTTTCCGCGTGAGAATGACTTGATGGTTTTGCGATAAGAGGCGTTGAAGATGTCGACGAAGTAATCATCGTGCAAGCAGATTCTGAAGGTGCGGCTAATTGAACTTCGTCATTTTGTGCTCGGCAATCCATATTTGGTGTTGACGGCAATATCGTTATTTGATATTCATTTGTTGGTGTGTTTTGATTTTCATTGTTGCTTTCTGTTGATTTACTAAGAATTACTGAATTATTGTAAGCTGCAGGGATGTTATCTTTAACATTTTGTTCACAGTCGTTTGAAGCAGATGTGATAATCATCATTCGACTATCCGTCGGTTCATTGACTATTCGGAAATCATCTTCAGTTTTGTTGAGCAGCTCGGTCTCGGCGGTCGCAGATTCATCCATGTCGTTGTCGATGTCGACGATGGTGCTTGTTGTTGTGTCGTTGCTTCTCTTCACCGAATTTCCTAAGCAAAGTGATTCTTGCGGTATTTGTTTCTTTTTTCTTTGACAACACTTGCTCCTTCTTGATATCAGGACTATACATCCGCTAAAAAATGTCAGCTGGTTCATGTAGCACAAAAAAATTCCAAGACCTGAAAAAAGAAAAAAAAATCCTTTTTTAATGTTTAAAAACTAATTCAATTATAGTCATAAAATGAGTCAAAAATATATCTTAAATTAGACGACGGGATGTTTAAATTGTAAAAGATAATAATATTATTAATATTAGTGTAGTAGTAGTAGTAATAGTAGTAGTAGTAGTAGTAGTAGTAGTAGTAGTCGTAGTAGTAGTAGTAGTAGTAGTAGTAGTAGTAGTAGTAGTAGTAGTAGTAGTAGTAGTCGTAGTTATACAGCGCTAATTGAAATTAGTTTTTCAAATGTAGAAAACAAAACGACAGTTGTTGGCAGGCAAGGAAATTAATCGAAACGTAATGTAAATCAAATACTTTATCATTCATACATACATACGTACATGTACATACATATATACAAGTGAATATAACAATGACACCCCTTAACAATGACAAACAAGTAAATATATATATATATATATATATGCTGGTAAAAGAAAGACCATAATTAATGCAGTAATTCATAAATTATTACATATATAAAAACATATATACAAATATAAGACTGTCAGAATATATATATATGGATATATTGGATTAAGACTGTCAGAAATGCAATTATATTTGAACACCAAAGATGATATAGGAATACCGAAAAAAGCTTTTTGTTCTATCATGCATAAAATTAACAAAAATTTTGGTTTTGAACTAAAGAAACTTGAAAATGATTTACGATAAACCGTTAGAAAAATGGAAAAGTTAAATTGGAAGTTAACTAACGCCGAACATGCTATGATTTTCATCAATAATTGCAATATATATATATATATATATATATATATATATATAAATATATTTATATATATATATATATATATAAGAAAAATTTATGTATGTATTTACATACATACATGTCATGTATGTGTCACTGTCAAAGTACTGTTGAAGTATTAATATAATTCCTTTTAAAAAAACAAATTGTATAATGTTTTCAAGAACGCTTAAAAAATTCAACTGTTTCACTGCAGCCTTGCGCGGTCCCGTGGAGCTAACTTACGATATAAAACCTGACCAGAGCATTCCAATTTACAGATTTGATTCTCAAAGAATGAAATAATGTTCATAAACAAAAATAGATGACTGTGTACGGAAAATCGTTGCTGCTTCAAAGTTGATGAGATATTGATTGCGAAGTATGCGATGCATAGCATATATGCTCATTACGATGCTCTAGTCGCAGAGCGCAGACATCTGACGTATGTGGAAGATGCAGTGATGATCACGAAAAGTGACAACTAAATGAGTGACACAATCAATAGATCAGTTGACTTCATTTAACCGAGAGCAATAATATGCTAATTCAGCATTAAATATCAAGCACATAATATAAATAAAGGATTTTGTGGTCACGTTTTAAATGAAATCAAAAAAACTCGAGAAGCAATTTTTCATACTTTTTTATAGTTTTTAGTAACTGGGAATAAAAAAGACAAAAAAGAAACCTTAATAATCTCTAAGGTTGCCGACCCAATATTAATCACAAAACAACAGCAACACTTGTTGAGGCGCCAGAGGCCCACACAAGCAAATAAATGTGTTGTAATTTTCAATCCTGTGACCGATAATGAAAAGACTAGTGACAATAATAATAAGAGTTGAGATTGTCATAAAAGCCATTTTTAAGGAAAATAAGGGTATTATTAGCATTGTATTCTTATTTTACACTTTCCGTATGATGGATGACAACTTCATCTCTGAATAATTTATTTAACCAGAAAATAAAATTTTTTGCACAATCTGTATCCAATAAAACAATCTACTGGCAGCAGTGAAGAGTTGTACAAAGTTGTACACCCAACTCTTTACCTTTTTACTGCCGTGCTGATGTGTGAAATTTTAGTTTTTGAGTTCTTGGGTGATTGTGAATGTGCATCCTCTAACTTCTACATACAGCTTTACGTTATTTTTACAAATTTCGTCATAAAATTATGATTTATAAAACAAAATGTAAATAATAGTAAATAAAAAAATAAAAAATTTCCTTTTTTAAGACATGAGTGGTTTTTAAATATTTTAAAAACCAAAATATATTTGAAAAAAAAAGTTTATTAAAAACAAGAAATCATTAAAATATGATTAATTTGTCGGAATAATTTCTAAAAACATCTTTTTGGACAAACACTTGGCGATAACAGTTTTTAGCTTCAATTTTCATATATCAAAATTTATAATATGATAAATATAACCAAATCTTAATATCTTATTAATATTTAAATTTGCTCCCAATTTGCTATAATATAATCAATTTTCGTTCTGAGTTCCAACTTTTATAACTACGTTAACAAAGTATTTATTATTAATTTGAACCCGTTTTAAAATGTAAAGGTTTGCTTTTTTGAGGAATAAATGTCAAGGAAATTATGAACCGATGTGATTTAAAACATTAATTGGCGTGAGTAATTATGATATTGATTCTGTTGTTCAGTTTCATTCGCTTGAGACATCAATAACATAACAGAGTATAGTAAGCAACTACGTGCGGTGCTTACTGAGATCAATAGCGGAGTCCTAACAGGTGTTGACGTGCATTCCAAGTGCGCCTGCATCCAGCAACGCCGGCAGCAGTCATGGTGACGTAACCTCTTTCTCGTTTAATCTTTTTTATTCACTTGGTAATGCTAAAATAAGCAAAAATCACATCAGTCGAAAAATATTGACGATTCGAAGCAGAACATGTGCAAAGAATTGCATGCAGACATTTATGTTGACTTTGTCCTATCCTTTTCTTCTAATGTTAGCCTCACTGGAAACATAAGCATTATTTAAAATTGGCGCAAAATATTCTGACAGTTTAGGCTTGAGTGATCGCAAGATGTAATAATGAAAAATCATTTTATTTATTACATACATTCAAAGTAAACGAGTTTGTTATATGCAGCAATTGAACACATTGTAACAATAAAATCTTACCTGAACACGCACAAAAGTTTCTGACACTAAGGAATGGACTAGTGGCTCCAATGCAAAATGCCAGCAAGTCAGTTAAGGAGGTGATGGTGATTGAAACTGCTGCCGATCTTAACGTGTTCGACAACCTTTCATCCTGTGTACTTGTAGCTGAAACTTTTCTCCATTCTATCAACAGTTGCAACATGTCATCCACTCCAATCCCTTTAGAGTTTAATGGATAAAAAATAAAATGGCGTTTATAGATGAATTGCAACATGTCATCCACTCCAATCCCTTCAGAGTTTAATGGATAAAAAATAAAATGGCGTTTATAGATGAACATTCATCTGTTATTTCTGTGATACAAATTTACGTTATAAATGTAGAAATTTTAAAATAAAAAACAATTATTTACATGTTAGCAGAGCTTGATTTTTTTAAAGAAATAACGCAATTGATCAAGGTAACATGAACTTTAATATTGCTTTTCATGGAATTTTGTACCATGGGTGTTTAAAGAACAATTCTAAAAACTTTTTAAGAAATGAATAAAAGTGTAGTGACAATGATAGAGTCCCAAAAGCAGCGGTTGACCTAAAATGTTTCATGGCATCGTTATAGAGAAGCGTTGATTTAGGATTGTGTTCAAATTCAATTCACACGTTTTAACACAGTTAAAGTTGATTTTTTTTAAATTATGAATAATGTTTGAAAAATTGTTTTAAACAAATGTCAAATGTGAAACTGTAATTAGCGGTAATTAACTGAAGAATACCGATAAAAAGTTTTACTATATTTCTCTGGTTCAGAGGAATCAGATAAAGTGGGTTAAACAAATCAAGTATTATAAGCAAAAATTGTTCAATGATATCATAATATTGTTTCTCAAAAAAATAAAAACTTTGAACTATTTAAACTATTTACAAGCTAGTTGATTGATTGATTGATTGATTGATTGATTGATTTAATTGAAAATATAATGATTGAAAGATTCCATTATTGAAGCTAAAATAATTGTTTACATAATAATCATAGTTAAACAAATTCATTCAACTAAATAAAAAAAACAAACCTAACACCAAAAACGGCATAACGCTGCACAGGTTGACAAAACTTGTCCCAAAAAGACTCAATAGTCCAAATGCACCTAGAATGGCTAGAAGAGCCGCTACGACACCAGTGTAAGCAAGTACCACATGGTCCAAAGATCCGCCACTTCCTGCCAATGTAGCTGTAATCATCATGGCCACCACCGACAACGAAAAGTATTTGGTGTCACCTCCAACATGGTCTCGCAACTCAATCTCCAGGGAATCTGATGCGACAAATGCGACGTCGATGAAACGAGATTTAAAAAGTTTCATTTGATCCAAAATAGCTTCTTGCCATTTCAATTGATTTTGCCGAGCTTGTCCATATGTTTCGCTGCGTAAGTTGAAACGAATTTTGAGAACCCGTGTTTTTGTAGAAATGGACAATGGAGGTAAAAAACTAAAGTGAGATTTCAAATGAGATGCTTTTTTGGATGCTTTAAAACTTGTTGCTTTCTGTTGAGCAGTTTTATTTTTGACTGTTTGTTGCGGTTCTGTTGTTACAAATGGAATAGATGTAACATAATTTTGCGTGATTTTCGGTTTCGTTGGCAACCGGTATGTTTGATTACGTGAAATATTTGAAGCTAAAAAATCATGCTTATCGATTTTATACATTTCATCCTCTAAATTTATTTTTTCTTCAAAATCTACAAAACGTTTTGGAATGCATGACGTTTTTCTGTTATCATCAGTTAATTCTATAATATCGACTAAACATTGATTAAGAAAACTGGCGCAAATATTTTCATAGCTGTAGTTACGAGTCTTGTGGTTTTTGAATGTTGCTATATAGTGGTACAACTGTTGGATGGCATCCATTGAAATAGAATCCAAATTTGTTAAATTGTTATAATTTGTATTCATTTCTCGATTCTCCTCCAAATCATCTGCCAAGTTGGCATCGAAACTTATTAATTTAAAATTACTGAACGGGAGCTTATTTATTTTGGTATTTGTTACGTTAAAAAGTTGTGAAGTGGTAGAATTTGATATTGAGGCTGATGCAACTGTTTTAGTATATAATGTAACTATTGACGGATTGGATGAAATTTCCAATGGTGCTGTAGTTCTATTTAATGGGGTTTTCGATTCATTAGGTGTTAACTGATATCGCTGAAGATTTTCAGGCAAATAAGCAAATTCAAAAGTTTTATCGCGAAATTTACTGTAAATAATTATTTCAAAGTATGCTGGGTAATTAATTTGCTGGTTGAATTTAAAATCAAATAAATTTAGCTGTCTCGACAAATTTTTCTTCTTTAAAACTTGTTCAGGGAGTTGACCTGGTTTGAAATGAGATTTCATCAGTTGTCGATCTTTTTGAGCTTCACTGTTGATTGGAGAATATAAATTTTCGATGTTGGTTTCATAACGAATGCTGAGTAATCCGAAACCAGAAAATACACAAAATAGGAGTGGAATTGTTGTAAGGAGAATGGGAAACCGGGAAACAACTTTTCCATACCAAGCGAATATGTCTCCAAAAAAAGTTTCCACATCTTCATACAAAGCTCCCATGGTAAACGGGAATTCTAAACTTGAACAATTAAAGTATTTTCAGAATGACATATCAATTTCAGAAAATATGTCACCAGCATATGTATGTTACTAATGAAAAATATTCAAATGTTGACTACGAACACATTCTTCTATTTGGATGCAGTTGAATCACGTTTATAATAAATTTTTGAAAGATAATTCATTGTCAGGGTTTCTGCAAAAGTCTTTTAAAATTCTTGTTTTTCAAATCCATTTAAAACACTTTAAAACGTTGCAGAAGTATGATTTAGAGTTTGTCCATTGCTCATCTAAATTCGAGAAATTCTTTGATCTGAAAATTAATAAACTTGTGATCGAATTAAATTTATATAGTTTAACTAATAATAAAAATTATATGAACGACAATAATAATAATAATGTTATTATTATTGTTAACATTGTTATTAATAGCATTTAATCACAGTACTATCTTCTAAGGAATGTCAATAGAGTGAATAACATAATAATAATAATAATAATAATAATATCGTCGTGGTCAATTGAATCCCTTAGACAGTTACAATTTTTAAATTGCTGCCTACAAAAACTTCAATTTATTTTTGAGAAACCTCATTAAGAGTTTATTATAAACATGTCCATTGTGTGTTTTCGCGAGTGTGCCTGTTGAAGTATTTCTATTCCTTAGAAATTTAAATTTTCACTTGAGAAACTGTTTTATTTTTTTAAAGACGTGTTCTATGATTGAGTTGCACAATAAATATCTGGAGTTGCATGTATTTTTTCATATATCTACGTTACATATTTTAATGTAATATTGTCTCATGTTATTGGTCTGTTTAAACGACAGACTTTGGCTAAAGAGATTGCAGCAATCTCAAATTGATTCTCGAATTCGTGACAATTCTTTCGATTCATTGGACGCCAACCTCATCCATAAAAACTACAAACAATCAATAAATGTCTAAAATGAACGTATGCTCCAACTATCATTCTCGGGAAACATTACTTACTGTTGAATATGCATACTAAAACTACAACCAACTGAACAACGATGAGGAAGCTTATAGAAATGTCGACGGATAACATAGACGCCTTCCTTCTTTCCCATTGCCTTACGTTATTAGGCTATGTACAATTTTATCCAGAAACTAGAGTTGGAGTAACAAAATAACTTTTCATTACTTGACAGCTCGTTTTAAAGTTTTAAAGAACAAAATGCGGTACCTGTAGTGCATTGCTTTCTTAATTAACAGGTAAAATTAACGATTGTATTTTTTTAAACTTCATTTAGCTAGGATACTAGTCTACTGAACCACTTAAGCTTTGTTGCTATTATTTTTATTATTATTTTATAAATGCTTTGAATACTGAATAGTGTGCTGAGCGGGGATAAGTAGATTACCGATAAATTATCGTCTGTCGGATTCATATTTTTTTAAAGAGTAAAAAAAGATTCCATCTAAGAGCTTGTTCACGTGCATGCTGGCAGTGATTAAATTATATAATCTCCTCCTGCTTTAATGTTGGTTCAATTTTGATATAACATCATCATTTTTTATTCTTTCTTGAGCAAACGCGCTTCATCTATATTAAGCTTGTTGTTAATTTTTGTTTTCCTAAGAGTATATATATATATATATAGAGAGAGAGAGAGAGAGAGAGAAAGAGAGAGAAAGAAAGAGAAAAAGAAAGAGAGAAAAAGAAAGAGAGAGAGAGAGAGAGAGAAAATAACTCTATGTAAACGGATATAAATACATACGTGATATTTAAACTAATATATGAACACACGTAAGTAAACACACACACACACACACACACACACATATATATATATATATTGCAATATGAATGCTGTCAACATCCATTGTATATATTGTATATATAATAGTTCTTATTTGATATGCTGTTTTCCAGTAAATTCCCGACGGAGCAACATAAACAATGAAGGATACTGAACACTTTGTTTTCATATGCATGCTAACTATCTTCATGATTATTTATTTAATGATATTCCAAAAAATTATTACAACTCTTTCCATTACAAGAATGTGATTTTCACTGACAACAAATGTAATGACGATGTTTCTATGTTCGACTTCCAGTTGTTTAAGTACATAAATTAACTTACATATTATATTAATTCGCTTACTTCTTCATTATTGAAGATATCACTTGTAAATGAGGTTGACAAGATAACGCCAATACGAACTAGCTCCTTCCTCACATTTATTACCATAAACCACCCATCAACTATTTTAAAAAAAGCTTAAAAAATTTGGATGAGACATCATTAAAATTCAGATTTTCAGACTTATTAAAAATGGTTAATCCAAGCATTATTGATATAGTTAACGTTATTTCATTCACAAGCAAATTGTTTTGCTCCATTAGGTGTATGCACACAAGGAAGGCACTTTGACATTTGCATTGACTGGTTGCTATGCACTGTATTAATAATAATGAACGAATAGTGTAGTTATATCTGAGTGTTTAACGATTTTAATAATCTTTTTAATTTTCATGTTTCAATTTTTATTTGTTTCGTTTGAGCTTCTGTGTCTTCATGCTTTTTGCAGAATAAAATTGAATAATTTGAAATTGAAATATGTATAAATATATATATGTGTGTGTGCGTGTGTGTGTGCACCAATTAAAGCAAAATAATATTTCATTAAAACTTCCTACATTCATTGTGAAGCTTCCTACTTTTCGGTAATCGAATGTTTCTGTTACTTTTTAAAATGTAATCCAATGAAACATTCCATTAATTTCTTCGGTCCTTTTCGATCCCATTTGCTCCTGAAAAAAAATTAGCAACATTTTTTTGGGCTTATCGCGTAAATTTGGGGCGATGATTTAGCTCGTAAAAGTTACAACGAACTATCCAATTTCAGTTTAGAAAAATTTTAAAAATATTCAATGAAAACTACTCGTTTGTATAAGTACGTTGATGAATTTGAAGTATTATTGTATTTTCGATAGAACTTTTTAACTGTAGATGTTTTGAAATATCTGATGAAGCCAACTGATAATCTCGCAAGATGCTCGTTCACATGTTTAGGTGAACCCCTGAGGAACGAAAGGCATTTTCAACTATTGCCACAGTTGCTACTTTCATATTTTTGTGATTGGAGAACTTGGGTTTGAGTTACTATCATCTACCTTCACTGACAAAAAATGTTATTTGCTCTTGAATAAAATATTTTTGAGGAGTCTGAAAGAAGCTACATCAAATGACGGACAAATGACCGAGTGTGAACTAACCAAGAACAGATTGGAGAGTGTCTCAGGTAACTTGTCAGATAATTCCACATGCATTTCTACATAATTCTTGTAAATAAAACTTTTGCATTAATTTTTATGAAAAAAATATGCTTTCAGAAATAAATTAGAGCTTGACAAGATAGATATTTTTAAAAGAAGATTTCACGCTTTTTTAGGTATACTCGTTATAAATGTAACAGCATAAATGTTAAAACTGTAAGTTTAAACTATATAAACGAATTATACATTATCCGCAATACAAAGAATTTTTATAATCTGAAAATAAAATAGATTTATATTTTACACAAACACTTCAAAACACATACAAACACTCCAAAACACACACAAACACTCCAAAACACACACATTCAAAAACACACACACATATATATTATTTATATATTTATATATAAATATATATCTTTTTCAGTTTACTGAGAAAAATGAATTTTTACTGCAATGCAGAAAACCAACAAAAAACCATGCAGGCAACAAAAGCTAACAAGAATAGTTATTAACAACCAAATAATATTGAACCGTATTGCTTTGTTTTGCTCTTATATATATATATATATATGTAATATATAATATATATATATATAGTATATATTTATATAGTATATATATATAAGTATATATATATATATAAGTATATATATATATATAAATATATCAAGTAAAACATAATATATAAGTAAAACTTTGCCAGATATATTTTTAGATTTTTTTAGATTTCATCCACATATCCAACATTATTTATTAGTTGTTTTTATATCTATATAATTTTAAATTAATTTTGTTTTATTTACCATTAGATTCTTTGATGGATGTCTACTTGCTGTCTAATTTTTAATTATATAACAACCAGTGCAAAGGAATCGCTGCTTTGTTTTTTCACTTGTTGACTTTCCTCAACTAATTGGTAGGTTCATACACCAATGTTATTGACCTCTTTCCAGATATTGCTTTGTAGATTTTTGAGTTCATGGCTAAAAAGTTAAAAAGTAGTTAACTACTATGGTTAACTACTTAGTTCAAAACATAGTTACTACCCATTTCTCAACTATTTTTATTTGCAGCAGTTATTAACTACTCTTTAACTGCTGTTTAAGTAGTTAACTACTTTTAAACATTTTCATTCACCAGATTCGTTTTCAAAAGGTTTTTTTTAAGTAAATAAACAGTTATTTAGTTTTATTTAAAAATTAAATATTCAAAAAACTATAATGCGTTTATCTTTTTATCAATATGGTTATCAGACATTAAAATTTTATACAGGTGATAACACTTTTCTATCAATTAGTTTCAATTTTTATGGACCAGTTTTTACTACCTTTCTTTTTTGCTGAATTCTGTTTTTGAGATGAGATGTCGGAACGATTGCGGTAGTGCTAATGTTTGATTGCGCTGTTGTAAGAGAACACCAAATCGATCCTTGAATTCGTTACAATAAAACAAGTTGAAGAAAAAAAAATTAAAAACGCTCATATATTTAAAATTGTACGTCTATATATGTACATTATTTTATTTGCTCGCGATGTTTAAAATATGTCAAAACATTTATTAATTTATTTTTCAATTAATTTATTTATTAATTCAATTAATTCCTTTAATTCATAATCTGTAATCAAAAATGAGCCAGTAAATAATATTTCAGCTTAATCTGACAATGGGAAGTTATCAAAAATTCGAGTACAAGATTTATACTTTAGATATTAACAGACGAATGTGTGGAATTAAAACAAGCGTGGTAAAGATAAGAAATATTTCATAAAATGTTATCTTTGTTGGTTGCCATGGACAGTTGGTAGGTTTCTGACAACTTGCTTTTGCTTTTAAAACCATGATTCTTCTTATTTGAAAATTTCACTGCATCGAGACAAGACCAGACTATCCAACCAATCAGTGGCAGATCTGGAGAGACCAAGATTTGTGGTGTGCAATATCTGAGTCTCACTGAATTCTAATAAAAATAACTGCCCCTAGTTCTCCCTTTAAAGATCCACCACTCCAATCAATTGAAAATAAAAATTAAGCTATATTTTGGTCTAGTCTTCAACTCTGCTTTTCCAATTGCCAAAAAAGTTTGTTATTCCTAACTAACTAAAATATATTTTGAATAAAACTTTACTTCATGTTTCAGAGGCATTTAATATTCAAGTTGTAGCACGAGGTAGGCAATGAAAAATAGGAGGTTGTAGAGGAGCATTTTCGAATCTCATAGTTTTTATGCATTTTTAAAGACGAAAATAAAAGGGATGACACGAGTGACCAACAAAGCACACGTTTCTTGCTCGGTTTATGTGTTCTACTTTATTCCAAGTGTTATACAGCTGGGTACATGGTGCAATCATATTGCTGTATTGGTGTATACATATATATTTACATACACACAAGACACGAAAGAAGAGAGAGATGCAGTTTGCGTCTCCGTAGTAATACGTCGGCATGAAGAGACGTGAGGACGCTGCGCATTTATTATCGTTGCGTACACAAAACCCTACAGCACGCATGTTCTGGCACTCACATAATTGAGAGCATGACTTCATTATGAAGAAGAATGAGTGGGCTGGCACGTGCACGTCTTCATGTGCACTGTCGTGGTTAGCCATACATCAGTCACGTGATTATAAAGTTTTTAGTCTGGTCTCATTAACTTTAGATGGTAATTACAACTAAGCACGTTCAATCATTATTTTCAAGCAGTGCGTGACAATCATCGGCTACAAATACGTGCATCGCTCGTGAGGCTGGAACACATTCAATCAACTCTTCCCCACGTTGCCCTACAAACTATGTCGCTCGCCATGCGCCAATAAATAAAACCAAATAAGCGGCAAAATGTTAATAAAGAAAAATGTTGGTGGCGTTGAAACAATGACTGATGTTGACATAATATAACGTCAAGTTTTTTTATATGAATATTATATAACAAACAATACATTCAAAAAATCAAAATCACTTCATCTAGACACCATTCCCATAAATTTAAAATGTCAATAAAAATGATCACGATCAGATAATATCTACTTTCACGCGAGAATATTCATCAAAATACGAGGTTATTAAATATTTTATTTTTCTCATAGATTTTTTAAAACAGTGAGTACATTTTTAACTAATGATACACATATATGTATGTAGAAGTACTTGTTGAAGATTAACTTAGTCATTTTTACGCAAATATATTGCTTCATATTTTTAAAAACTAAACACATAATGCTAATAACTAGATAAAATGTCAACAACAACATCTAACAACAACAACACCATCTAATAACAACAACAAAAATGAAGACAAAAATAAAGATACAGCATATTGGCAACCAACCTTGCTACATGCAGCATTCCTTTAAAATATTCTCCATCTACATCTTCCATTCAACTATTCATTTCATAAGTAAAAATCTGCAACTTATTGTGTTGAACTAAAAATTATATTCATATCTTGAAGACTCTTAAATTAAATGAACGGATGAATATTATCTCAAAAACTTAAAGTAACTTCTGATCACAAGAAAATTCTTTCAAAATCACCAAAATTTAAACGAAGTCTCACTTCATTTTAAACTATAACAGTTATCAAGATGGATTTGTCTCTAAGACTTTCGGTTAAAAAGTTGAGAAGGCGTTAATTGCCGTGTAGTCTATAATTTGTTTAGCGATTTGTGTCTGGTTGTTCAAGGCAAGGTTCCACATGTTCAGATCATAATTTATTCCCAACCAACAATATGCACGTGTTCATCAAATGTAGATATAAGCGTATAATCGACAAGAACATAATAACTTCACAAACAAAAGTTACAAAATTAAATTATATAAAACCGTCGATTTTATTTGATTGTACTGAAAACATTATTAAATTTAATGTGTTCTCAATGCATTTATTTCAATTGCTTTTATGTTGTTTACGTCTGTGCATCTGACTGAATACATTTGCAAGAAACATCCTCTTTATATCATACATCATCATATTGTATGTGTTTGAGGAAAATATGAATTCCCATTCATGATCATTTGAATGTGTATATGGGATATATATATATATTTATTTATTTATTTATTTACATATATATATATATATATATATATATATGTGTGTGTGTGTGTGTGTGTAAGTGTGTGTGTGTAAATGTGTGTGCGTGTATGTGTGTGGCGTGTGTGTGTGTTGGAAGACCATATTTTCAAATTTTATAAAATATTGTATGAATTCTACCGTACCGAATTGTTGGCATTAATCAATTTAAAGTTTAAAGAAGAATACGAAACCAACTAAGTAACTCACTTTGAACTAATTTTGCTTTGTTTAAAGAAACTTTATAAACCAAATCTGCACTGAAGATGATTTGTGAAAAATCGAAATAAGGCCTATCTGCATGATGAATTTGGATAACAACAGTTTTATTAAATTTTCAAGATGAACTTGGATAATAATTCTATTTCCAATAAATTGAACAATTTCCAGAAAATTCTAGTAAGGAAAATTGAAAAGACAAACTTTAAAATGATTTATACCAACAATTCATAGGATACTTAGATTCAACATAGCGTTAGAGCAGAAAAAAGAAGACGAGGCTTATTCAAAGCGCTACAATTATTTCAAAGCAAACTACGACAAGGTCAGAAATAAAATCATAGAGATGAACTTGGCAGAGCGATTGAAAGATTTTGGAGTGCAAAATAAATGGAAAACCTTTGTGTCCTGTATGAATAAAGTTGTTGAAGAAACTATACCGACTATCCGGAGAAGCAACAAAAAGCTACCGTAGATAAATAAAAATGTACAGAAAACAAGAAGATCAAAATTTAAAGCATGGAAGAAGATGCAGGAGTTAAGACAGAGATATCTCAGAAATGCTAAAGATATCTCAAAAAGTGAGTTAGAAGCAGCAAGGGATAAATACATCAGAAAGAGAAATCTAGCAAAGGCAACAAACAGGAAAGCAATAAAGGAATGTGAAGAAAAGCTAAGTGAGAACATAAGTAAAGACAGTAAAAGCTTTTTCAGTTACATGAGAAGTAAACAAAAAAGGAAAGATAAAGTGGGGCCTCTGAAGACTGATCATGGCAACATTGTAACGGAAGCAAAAGAAATGGCTGAGATGCTCAATAACTACTTTGGATCGGTGCTGACAAAAGAAAATACAAATAACATAAAGGAGCCAAAAAAATTGCTTGGGGAAAGCCAAGAAAGGATGCTTACAAGTGTTTACATAACAGAAGATATGGTTGTCGAAATACTAGGCAGTCTCAAAGAGAATAAAACTCCAGGAATAGATGAGCTGCACCCAAAATTTTAAAGGAAATAAGACATGAAGTAGGAGCCACACTGTGCGAAATATTTAATGACTCTTTAAGATCAGGAAATATACCAAGAGATTGGAGGGACGCTATCGTCACGCCATTGTTCAAAAAAGGACTTAGAAGCGAAACTAGTAACTACAGACCAGTTAGTTTAACTTGCATTATATGTAAAGTATTAAAAAAAATTATCAAGAGGAATATAGTCGAGCACTTAAATTCTAACTGCATAATCAATGATAGCCAACACGGTTTTATGAAAGGACGATCCTGTCTATCTAACCTATTGGATTTGTTTTGAAGATGTTTATGCTAACCTAGACCAGGATAACTCGGTAGACGTAATATATTTAGATTTTGCAAAAGCATTCGACAAGGTACCACATAAAAGATTATCCAAAAAGTTACAGGCATGTGGGGTAGAAGGAAATCTGCTACAATGGATAAAAAATTGGCTGAAAGATAGGAGACAACAGGTGCGGATAAAAGGAATAAACTCGAGATGGATAGACGTAACAAGTGGCGTGCCTCAGGGATCGGTATTGGGACCACTATTATTTGTGATATACATTAACGACATCGACGAAGGAATAGTCTCCAAGATTTCAAAGTTTGCAGATGATACCAAATTATGTGGGAAAGTCAACAACGATGAAGATGCAGAAATATTGCAAAAAGACCTAGCAAGACTGTACCAATGGTCCAAGGACTGGCAAATGCTTTTCAACGTTGACAAATGTGAAGTCATGCACTTAGGGAGGAAGAACGCTAGATATGAATATAAAATTGGTGAAAGAGAACTACGATCGACAGAGGAAGAAAAGGATCTAGGAATCATTGTTCATCAAAGCACAAAACCGTCAAGACAATGTACAGGTGCAGCGGCCAGAGCCAATACGATCTTGGGATTTATAAGAAGAACAATGGTCAGCAGAGAGAAGCATATTATGCTGAAACTGTATAAAACCCTGGTCAGACCTCATCTGGAGTACTGTGTTCAAGCATGGAGCCCATATATGCAGAAAGATAAGGAAGTTTTGGAAAAAGTACAGCGTAGAGCCACAAGAATGATTAGAGGAATCGGAAAAATGGAATACGATGAGAGATTGAAAAAATGCGACTTGACATCATTGGAAAAAAGAAGATGTAGAGGAGATTTAATCCAAACATATAAATTGATCACGAATAAGGAAACAACACCATACTCGAGATTTTTCAGGCTAGTAAACAGTGATAAACTACGAGGACACAGATTTAAGATTTTCAAAAACTCGGATGGAAAAATAAAGAGCAGATTCTTCAGCAGTAGAGTGGTCAACGCCTGGAACGAGCTAAGCGATGATGCAGTCTCTGCGAATTCACTCAACAGCTTCAAAGCCAAACTCGGACAGATAGGATATTAGGAGATCTAATTAGTAGTGGTTCTTACACAGACCATAGTCTTCTGAACCACTTTAAACCCCCGTTAACAATAATAATAATTCGGTAGAATTCATACAATGCTATATATGTGTATAGATGTATAGTGGATTACATGTAGTTAATATATCCATGTATTACATGAATACATAAAACGAAACCAAATAATTGCCCAATTGCTAAAAAACATTTGGAACAGCGGTACGCGGCTAGTATGTTTGTTATTTCAAATACGTTATTATAATAATAAAAAATGTTATTTCAGATACGTGCACGGTACGCACAAGCATAGATATGCACAAATACAATATTATTGCCAATAACGTATATATGTGTATATCCTAAATCTATTTATATATACATGCTATATATATTTAAATATTGGTCAATTAAATTTAACAAAATATTTTTAAATTTTTGTTTATTCCAATATGAAGCAAGCAAAATTTATATACTGAAAACTTTCTTCTGGGCGGACTAAACTAAACATACGATCTCACGTTGGTTGAATAAATTTTCTTTAAATTTTGAAACAACCTGGCTGAGTGTTAAACCAATGCATTTCCAACGTTGTTCAGTTCAAAAAATTTCTCTTCAGGTGTTCTGTTATAATAGATTCCAAAATTTTACAAGTTGCCGTCAAAGCCATTGGCCTAAAATCGGGCTACGGCTTTTATAAAAATCGGAACTATACTACTTATTTTCCAGTCATGGGCGCTACCCCTATGTCTATAAAGACTTGGAAAACTTGACTCAGATGCTTGTATGAAAAATGCAAAGATAGGTAGTTTAATTACCAGCTATAACTAGTTAACTAGTAATTACTAACAACTTACTAATAGTTAAGCTATAGTTTGTAACTTTTTTCGAGTAGCTTATAATATAACCCTTCTGAAAATTTTTGCAAATTTTTTTAACTACTTTTTATTATTATTATTAAAAAAACTTTACTGAAAATTTTTTGCAAATTAATTAACCAACATAAATATTTTTTTAATAAATGTTTTTTTAAATGTGTGTTTTTTAAGATAATCTCTCAAAAAATCATTTTTTTGGTATGACCATTAGACAATCTACAGCGTTTATCAGTTAGAATTTGTTCAGCAACACTGAAAAGACGCTCAACCACTGCAGAGTTTTTGAGTATTCATATTAAATAATTAATCAAACGCAAATTACCTGCATCCAGCACACAAAAAAAGCTGAAAAAGAAATGGCGTTGACGGCGGATAATAATAAACAAATTGGAAAATAGGGATGTGCAATAAAAAGATAAAAATTATTTCTGAGGGAAAATATGTTCAAATAGTTAAAAAATAGTTAACTGTAATATCTACTAACTACACTAAAAATAGTTAACTAGTAGTTAATAACTACTCAAAATAAAATAGTTATTAACTACATTTTAACTACTAGTTAACTATTTGTAGTTGGTAATACCCATCACTGCAATGTTTGTCTTAACCCCGTAACTTGAGAATTTTGATACCGGTTTGTTGTCGAAGGCTTTTTCAATATGCGTGTATTTAACATCTACTTCTTTGTTTAGATCCATTACTTTTGTGACGTTATTTAGAAAATATAGAAGTTGTGAAACAGTAGATCTGTCTGGGAAAAATCCAAACTGCTTTTTATAGAAAAGATTATTACTTTGAAAATGATCCAGTAAGTAATCTTTGACAATTGATTCTATTACCTTGCAAGGTACCGATGTTAAAGAGATTGATCTGTAATGTTTTGCATCAGATTTTGAGCCTTTTTTATAGATCGGGATGGTTGTGCTTATTTTCCAGTCTGCTGGCACCTATTTAGATTTCAGTGACAAGTTGAACATGATGCACATGTATGCGGACAAGGATGCTTTACATTCCATGAGGATACGAGGGTGTGTTCCGCTGGTCCTGACGTTTTATAATTTTTCAGGTTTCTCAGTTCATTCTTAACATCTTGGATCGTAATCACAAACATTTTCATCTCATCAACATCTGCATCGGTCACAAAAATTGATCCAAAATATTTTGCAAATGCATTAGCTTTATCGGCATCTTTTGTGAAGATTTGACCATCTACTTGCAGGATTCCAACTTTTTTATAGTGGCGTGTTAGTCTATTCACGCGTTTCCAAAAGTTTTGGATTTTTTAATGTTGTATGTGATGAGTTCTAGATGGTTCATTTCTACAATTCTAGTCCCTAACTTTACTTAATTGCTTGCTAGTTTGTACTCTTGATAAGCATTTAAGTCACCAGTTTTCCAATAATTTTTCCACATTTTGAGTTTTAATCGGATTAGCATTTTTAAATCATAACTAATAGGAAACAAAAACTTTAGTTTTTTTTTACAAAGCAAAGGCTTTTCAACTTTTTCTAATAGCAAATCTCTGAAGTCACACCAGTTTTATTCAATGTCTGCACGGGACTTTTCATTTTTTTGTCTAAGTCAGGTTATTTCCTGACACATTACATTGTAGACATCGATAAATTATGATTTGGGAATCTTTTCGAATTGGGAATTATTATACAGAAAAATAAGTTACATCTGGAGATTCAAACTGCTTTTAAATTTAATTTATTAGTTCTTTAATTTAATTTAATTCAAGTAGATCCTACCTCATTGCCATTTTTCGAAAGTAGCAAATGTCGTGAGCCGCTAGTAACGCTAAAAATTGAGTTATACGAAAAAAACTCAGACACCAAGGTAGAAGGAATTTATGAAATAACACTAACTGGAGACTATCGTCAAATAGTTTAAGTTTTCAAAATAAACATTTTTATAAATATTTTTAAACAATTAAAATGGCCCCTCAGCAACGAATACAAAATTTAAAATACTATTGAAAGGTTCAAGAATGAACACATGGCGTGAAATGCTTATCATAATAAAGAGACGGAATTAATATAAATTTTAGTTTTATTAAAAAAATACTAAATTGAGCTCACAAAATGAGCGCAAAATGGTTTATGCATTTTCTGCAGTTTCTTCTTCTTCGTAGTCACCTTCCTCTTCAATAGTCGCCTCCTGATACTGCTGGTACTCGGAAACCAAATCATTCATGTTAGATTCCGCCTCTGTGAACTCCATCTCATCCATACCCTCCCCAGTGTACCAATGCAAGAAAGCTTTTCGACGAAACATGGCCGTGAACTGCTCAGAAATACGTTTGAACAATTCCTGTAAAAAATTATAAATAATTAATTGAATCAGACTCAACCTCGGTTTCCGTTGAAATAGTGTTATCACTCAAAGTCACTTTACATAAGATTAACAAGCAAAGAACTAAGATTCATTCAATTTGCATTAATAGCCTAATTTCAAAAATTAACCTGGATGGCTGTCGAGTTGCCAATGAAGGTGGCTGACATTTTTAAGCCTTTTGGAGGTATATCACAAACAGCTGTCTTAACATTGTTAGGAATCCATTCCACAAAAAAGCTGCTATTTTTGTTTTGGATGTTCAGCATTTGTTCATCAACTTCCTTCATAGACATTCTTCCTCTGAAGATGGCAGCAACGGTCAAGTAGCGTCCATGGCGAGGATCACAGGCGGCCATCATATTTTTTGAATCAAACATTTGTTGTGTTAGCTCAGGCACACTTAACGCTCTGTATTGCTGGCTACCTCGTGACGTGAGTGGAGCAAAACCTGGCATGAAAAAGTGAAGACGAGGAAATGGAACCATGTTAACGGCTAATTTTCTAAGATCCGCATTTAATTGACCAGGAAACCTGAGACACGTTGTAACACCAGACATTGTGGCTGAAACTAGATGATTCAGATCACCGTAAGTAGGAGTTGACAATTTCAATGTTCTGAAGCATATATCATAGAGGGCTTCATTGTCTATGCAATATGTCTCATCTGTGTTTTCAACCAACTGGTGAACTGATAGAGTTGCATTGTAAGGTTCAACAACTGTGTCAGAAACCTAAAATTTAAAAAATTAACAAATACGTCGAAATGTATTTAACAGATTGTGAGTTGCTGTCCATTTGAATTACGTCAGATCATACATTTATAAACTACCCATGGTATGTCATTCACTACTATTTATATTCAAGAGCAACATTAATCTTCAAACTGATTGATATTTAAAATCAAAAATCAGACAAGCTCAAAAAAACCTAAATAACTTGTTATTATCTGGAATTTAAAGGCCTCATAAAAGCTATTTTAAAAATTCATTAAAAAATTATATAAAAATAACAAAACTTGTAAAAAATTTATAAAATTTAAATACTTTATAAAATGTAACTATAATTACTTTAGGTGAAGGAACAACGGAAAAAGTGTTCATTATTCTGTCTGGATATTCTTCTCTTATTTTTGAGATCAGCAAGGTACCCATGCCAGAACCAGTCCCGCCGCCCAGGGAGTGAGTCATTTGGAAGCCTTGGAGGCAGTCACAGCTTTCTGATTCTTTTCTGACAACATCTAAAACTGAATCCACAAGTTCAGCCCCTTCTGTGTAATGGCCTTTAGCCCAGTTGTTACCAGCACCACTTTGACCAAACACAAAATTGTCTGGCCTGAAAATCTGTCCAAAAGGACCTGACCTCACTGAATCCATTGTGCCCGGTTCTAAATCAACTAGCACGGCTCTAGGGACATACTTTCCCCCTTAATTTGGTAAATTAAGTGTTTTCAAAAACATGAAATTAATGCATATCAATGTTAAAGTGTTAACATAACAGTTGTTGAGAAAAAGAAAGTCAGAAAGTTTAATAAAACCTGAAGCAGCATTGTAGTAGACACTAATTCTTTCCAATTGGAGATCAGAATCTCCATGATAGGTTCCAGTTGGATCAATACCATGCTCATCCGAGATAACTTCCCAAAACTTAAATTCATCACAAGACAAAAATTAACAAATTAATCCAAACCTCATTTACTTAATATTAATTAAATGAAATGAAGCATTACATTACATAATTAATGTGTAGTGTAAAAATTATAATTAGGTTAAAAACATTTTTCATGCTTGTGTGTCATATCATGTGTCCTTATTTTTTGTGTGTATGTGTACAACATTTAATTTACACAATAATTTGTCGACGTTGCACACTGAAACTCAATTAAATATCTTAATAAAAAAGAAAATAAACCAAATAAAAAACTTCAGGATATACAGTGCAACAGAAAAATGATAGTGTTCTGTTTATTTATTTATTATTAATTTCATGTTATATTTTATATTATGTTAGGTTATCTATCGAAAATGAAAAACAGTTTAAAAAACGTTGTGAAAGTAAACTTTCAATTTAGACTTCAAAAAATAAAAATTAAAATGTTAACCTGTTATTAAACTTTAACGTTAAAATAACAACAGAATTTATTTTAAATCTAACTTACTTTAGCACCAATCTGATTACCGCACTGGCCGGCTTGAATGTGAACAATTTCTCTCATATTTGCTTGCTGAAAATTCAATGTCCGCTCTGAAAATCAAAAATTCTTTACTGTTCCGTACCTTGTTAACTTTTCCGTTGTACTTGAGTTTGTAGTTACAGGCTTATTTCTTATAGTGGCCTATCCTAGCTGTGCTGCCTGTGTAAGCTTACACAGCTACAACTTCAACGAGTATGAGTCATTTTTAATTCTAAACTCTGTAAACTTTCAGCATTTCATATATATATATATATATATATATATATATATATATATATATATATATATATATATATATATATGTATATATGTGTGTGTGTGTGTGTATATACAAATATATATAAATATATATAAATACATATATATGGTTATCCTTGCTTTATATAACAGACTCATATACATGTACATACATACTTTAATATACTAACATAGTAAGCAAACAAGAGGTATGTTGAAAATTCTTAAAAACAGCTTTTAACTTTATTTTAAGTCTTGTCTGTCAGTGTAATTTAATAGAATAATACCTAAAATTATAGAAATTGTTCATAATTAGGCTATGCTTTTCAAGATTTTTAAACTGCGTAAAATTATCTCCATGCATACTTCATTAAGGTATATATTATTTTAGTGTAAAAGTCATTAACAGTTACATGCAGTCATGGAGATATTTACAAAAACATGTTTGCTTAAAATTGTGCAAGCAAACTATTTGAGAATACTTGCTGTGAATAAGTTGCATGTGTTAGTTCAAAACACGATTGTAATAGTTTCGTGCACTCCTGCTCTGAAATATTTTAAAACTGCTTTTGTTGTGTTACCGATTTAATTGTACTACGTGTTATTTTATAATTCGATTTGAATTCAAACTTTAGGTATAAGCGAAATCGAACAAGTAAATTAGCGCCGAAATTATTGTTACCTGATGTTCAAAGTTGCACACTTCATATTTCACATTTTCATAGTCGCATACTTCATATTTATATGCGTGTTTTATACCTGCACATGTCTTATTTATTAATAATTTTTATTCGTTAAAATATGTATTAGCACGCCTAACCGTACTCGCTAATCGGCTAATATTTATACAGAGCTGTATCTGATAAAAAACTGATATGATATTTGTTATCTGTTGTCTCAGCATTTGAATGCAATCAAGAGAACTTGTCAGGTAGAACGAGCGTTGGTGTCAAAAATTTGAGAACAAATCAGTATCATGATTGCTTCATTACATTGCCAACATAAGTGAAAATTGTGTTTTTGTTTCTAATAATTATCTACCCTACCACCTTTTAACATAAAGACGCATCGAAATGAATTCGATGTTTTAATTTTAGTGGCCTTAATTTCGAAAACCTGTCAATTAACATTTATAATTTAATTTAACATTCTGTATTTAAAATGTGAAATTTAACTCGAATGGTAAGACCTCTTGTTTAAAATGAAATAATTAGCCAATTGGCCGTACATAATTCGCCATAATCATTTTAACATTCGTTTTGTTGAGCAGCGACATGTTACATAACAAGCGTTCATATTTTAAAAAGTGATGTGTCATAGGTATGTGTAAATGTAAACATATTCTATAAAAATTATGTATTTTTTGGGCATGTAACATGCACGCAGAACGACCCTACATTTTCCAATATAGCAGAGTGCAAAAGTTCTTTTTAAATTAATTTAACATATGCAGTTTTATTTTATTGGTTGATTGATCAAATCCAAATTTTAAGTTCACGTGTTTAGGAATTTTTAAATGTGTTATTCCACAGCAAAAAGTTAAACAAACGTACTCTTTAATTAATTAATTAAATGTTTTAGAAAAGGTAAGTAAGATATGTTTCATTAGCGTTCAGCTAGTCAGCTACAAAAATAATTCACTATCACATAACCATATATACACCCGGGATATATTCCTCGTTATATAAATAAGAACTAACAACAATAACTTTTCTTGAAAGAGCGCTGTTGAACATCGCGGAAATAGCGCTTTATAAGCTTATTGAATGAATGAATGAATGAATGAATAATTGATTGATTGGTTGGTTGGTTGACTGATTGATTGATTGATTGATTGATTGATTGATTGATTGATTGATTGATTGATTGATTGATTGATTGATTGATTGATTGATTGATTGATTGATTGATTGATTGATTGATTGATTGATTGATTGATTGATTGATTGATTGATTGATTGATTGATTGATTGATTGATTGATTGATTGATTGATTGATTGATTGATTGATTGATTGATTGATTGATCATTTGCAAAAGATCGTGTTTATCCAACTACCTTTTTAATAGTGGGGTTGATAAAAATTTAAAAAAATTTTATTACCCAATTAAGCATTTATAATGTGTAATTTATAATAGCCAAGTTGATTTGAAATCGTCGTGCTAGACGGGCCTCCCCTGGCCGACTCATTAAAGTTGAGAAAATGAATTGTTTTTTAAATCAGTGACCAAAATAAGCGGGTAGGGTGCCGTTGGTTCGTTACATACTTTATATGTCTCACTACCCGATAAGGCGCCCGATAAATGAAAATATTCCGCGTGTGAAATTTGGAAGATGTGGGAAATGTGTGAAAAACATGTACGCAAAATTAAAACATTAAAAATTTATCATTTACGAAGCCACCAAAACAGTTTTCCGGAAGTAATTGAACATTTCATTAGAACTTTCATTTTAATATCTTTTCTTCGCAAATTTAATTGGGTCTCTACTTGTTTGTATTAAATGTGTGTATACATAGAATACCCGCAAATTTATATTTTTACATTTATGTTCGGTAGGTTAAGTTGGTCCATTTATAAGTATACGTAAAAAATAGAACTGACTCTACTTCCTTTTATGAACTTTGTGCTATTTTGATAACATTTAAATTTTCTATTTATCATTTTATTTGAAATTTTTGATTTGGTGCCCGAAGAATGTGAAATGCCTGATCCTTCCAGCTTTATGAAGTTATCCCGGTTTGGTAAGCAACGGAATAAATTGAAATTGAAAGGCTAAATAAAAAGTTTATATTGTGTTCTTTCCACCGACTTAACAAAATTCATCGCTTAGTTATTAAGTAAGTCAACAAAAGTTTTCTTTAATGATCAGTCAAAATGCAAAGGTTATCGCTGAGTTGTTAAGTTAGTTATTTAACTTTTCTTTTTTCCGTGTTGTAAAGTTCATCTTTTTTCCTTAATCTGTTAATGTAATAAATTAAATTTATGACATTATTCAGAGACATTTTATTGTTACAATAAAGTTTTGGTGCGGCCGTGTATATTAGAGACGCACCGAAATTCAGCCTGGCCCAAATTTGACATTCAGCTCCTTTTACGCCATCACATTTTTTTGATTTTAGAGCAACACTTTTTGAATATTATTAGCGAGAAATATATTTTTGCCGTCATAGTTGTTAAAACATCTGTTCTTGAACAAGAGATTGGATATTGTCTTGATAATGAATTGTTCGATAGACATACATAAATCGCGTACTGTTTTTTTTCCCAATAGCTTTTTTACATAATAAATTTTTCTCAATATTGTCGTTTTTAAGTATTAGACCTTCGACTTCGAATAATAAATTTGGCCAATTCGGTGCATCTCTAATGTTTATCTGGTTCTAGTGGACAAGGAAATTGAAGAACAACTATTATGCAGTTTCAAATCCAAACAGGCTTCCATTAGGCTAGAACGCAAGAAACTTTTACGACGTATCTATCGGACGGTTCTCTCAACGTTTAAAAAACCATTTCCGAATCTATTGCCCACGGAAAGCAGCTTCTTCAGGTTATCATCTTTTTCTCCTTGCTTTTGAGAACTTGTTCCGTTGAAGGTTCATTTGGTGTAATAAAGCTGCTAAAATAAAATTATGCGTAGGTTGAAGAAAGATTAAATGGCACTCGGGTACGCTCACAAAAATTTAATTCAGCTCCTGAGATAATTATTGTTTTATCTGCAAAAAATAGAAGAATTACAACGTTTATGAGTATGACAGGATAAATACAGTGATGAACTTAGGGTAAAAGAAAATAGGTAGACTAGTTTAGGCCTGGATACAAGATTTTATTAGTTTAATTAACAGAGATTAGTATGCAGGTTTTTGGTAACATTATTATATATTATTGATAACATTAGATTAACTATAGGATGGAAGATAGGTAAAAATTCAAATGTAAGTAAAAGTAATACGGCTTTACGACTGATTTGATTTTTATATTAATACATTTTATATGCATATAACTTGAGCATTTGATTGTTTAACTGCTTAGCTGTTTATTTATCTATCATTCAGCTGTGAATATCGTAATGTTTTGAACCAAATTACTCGGCAATATTACTGCCACACACACTTGAACTATTTTAAGAAATTTTGAGCGTGGGTTTTCATTCTTGTCATTCAATTTTTTCAGTTAAAATTCATATCAAGTAAAGTAACTGATTAATTCATTGTTTTGTTTTAGTATAATGTAATAAAACTAATAAAACACTATTAATGTGGCTAATGTATTCATCACTTCATTTAATATTTGAAAAAAAATTCACTCGCTCAAATTTAACTTAAAAAAATTCCTCAAGGGAATCTGGGCCCACGCGAAAAGTTACTGCTGTCCTCGCGCAAACAAGACGCCGTCGTATCATCTCTTTTCTTCTCTTTTTCGATGGAATTTGTTTGAAAATGGCTTCGTTTTCGTACAGACATATAAATATGAACACTCAATTTTCTTACTTAATTTTATTTTCTTGTAACTATTAAATTTTTGAAATTTCAACTTTGTCTTGCAAATAAATATTTTAAAATTTATTTATGCGGATGAATTTTTTCATAAAAGTTTTTACTAAAATCTTTCATTTAAAATTTTTCCCACTTTAAAGTAGATCCTTTCTGTAACGTTGTCCTAATCAAGCAGTTCACATATTTAAAGTTTAACAACTAATGAAATTACAACAATTATGTTTTTGCGTGATCTTGGGTAGCAAAACATTTTATAGATTCAAAAATTGTTTAAAAAAGATGCAGTATAGTTGAGAAGTTTGAAAATAGAAAAATTATTTTTTATGCATTCATTTAAGACGATCGAGGTCAGTTGTTTAAGCGGGAGGCTTGAAACATACGACTGCCGCTTTTGCGACTGGCCCGTAGACCTGAATTGATCTATAGACATACATACATATCTCGTAGAAAAGCCAAGCCGAGTCACGTTTCGAAAACTAGAATTGCACAACATGTCTACCAGTGTTTGCGAGTTTGTGAATGTGAGTGCTACTCAAAAAATTAATTATTATTTATTGAATTTATGCTAAGATTTTGTTATTTAAACAAAAACAAATATTTAATTAAATTCAATTAACTCGCATCCATATGACGTCATCAGTGAGTTAATGTAATTTTTAAAATTCTAATTTAATGAACCCTTTTAAAAAACATCGGTTCTTTTGTGAATAATTAAATCATCCAGATTAAAAGAGTTATTCTATATTTAGAGCAGTACAATAAAATGATTATTTAAAAAAATTTTAAATCTAAATATAAAACTAAAAGATGTAATTTTCAATGATTTCCGTGTCAGAGAATGACTGTTGTAGAAATTCGCATATATTAACTAGTACATTTTTTCAGACAGCTATTAATAAACAATTATATATAATTAAACGACGCATGACAGCAATTAGCATCACTGAAATTTGAAAGGGTAGCACATTTCTGTTATCATACAGCATCCGGTAAGTAAGATAAAATTCTAGAATAATTTACACACTTACTCTCTCTCTCTCTCTCTCTCTCTCTCTCTCACACACACACACACACACTTCATTCTGAAAGAGCAATTCTACATTTGATGGAATCCGAATTTCCTAATGATCTGATCGTATTTTTCACATTCAGTTAATATATGAATAGATAGATAGATATTTTGCTTAATAGATAGTTTTTGTCGCAGGCTTACGGTATTGGAACTCTAGATAATGGCATCGAATGAGCTTGAGAAGCCATCTGATCTACTTTTCATTTCCTTCAATTCCAATGTGGCTGGGAATCCACATCATAATTAAATTTTTGTTGTTATCCAGAATATTATGAATCTTATATTGCATTTGAATTATTAATGGATTTAGGGGTTTGTATTGTTTCAAGAATAATAGAGTAAAAGAAGAACAAGGAATCCGAAAATATTATGAATTTATATTTCTCTGAATTAATAATAAAGTTTAAAGCCATGTCTATAGCAAGGATCTCTGCGGTGTATATTGAAGCAGCTCCTGGTAGATGCATTATTATTCCATGAAAACGTTTCCTTTGTTAGTAGGCCACCATTGCTGCAGATGTTGAATATTTGAATAAAGTTTAAATTGTTATTAATTTTTTCTTTAACTAAGGTTTTTGCTAGTTTTACATCTTGGCCCATTCCCGAAAAATATGGAACGCTTCACGAATTTGGCTTCATGAATTTGCGTGTCATCCTTGGGCAGGGGCCATGCTAATCTTTTCTGTTCCAACTTTAGTATATGTACAGCCGAAGCATGTACTCTTCTTAATTTGATACAAACTTGTGTGATTTAGATATTGGTTTGTCGTCATATGTTTTGATGAAATGCCAAGTTAAAATTTAAGGGCGGATGTCTAGATAACTTTGATGAGGGGCCGAAGTGTGACGAGGCCCAAGAACTAAAAACACTTCGCGGTTTTTTGCTTATTGTGCAATTTCTGTGTAATTTTTCATATTTACAACGGTTTTTCCATGGTAGGAAAACTGTGTTTTAATGCATAAAAAGTTATTAAATATTATACGTTGGCTATATTTTCAAAAACTGCAACAAAATAGTTTTTGACAACGAAGTGGAGGCAGGGCTTCTTTGGTTTCCTGAATCTGTCACTGTTAAATTGCATTTGGTAACAAAATTAGTACATTTGAAACTGCATCAACATTTGATTATCCTCATGGAGATATGGGTGGTCTGCCAGGTTTTTTTGCACTGGATATGGTGCATTGGTTACGGGGCGTCTGATTTTGAGTTATTCATAATTTATGGATTCATAATTTTCTTTAGTGTCTAATAGCATGTAGTGTAGAGTGCTTGCATATCTAAACCTTTACCTTTTGTGTTTAAACGTTGTTTTTATCTCATTACAATTATATACATATTATTTGTTTGGGAGACTTCAACATGTGTTCAGGAAGCAAAAACCAACACATTCTACCTACTTATTTATTTGTTAATTCATTAAGGAAATAATCCAATATGAAATAGATAATAAAAAAGCAGTAAAAACTCTAAACTAATATGTTATTCAAAGAAATTAATGCTCAATGTATCTATACTTAATGAAGTCAAATTCTAAAAAGTTCAATTAAATTTATGTGCAGGTAGGCCCTATATCATAAAAGACAAACCATATTTAAGAAGACAATGTTTGTTTAATTTGGGTTTTCATGAAATGTTTAGTCCACTTTATACGACAGATATGAGTGTTGCGTTCTTAGCGTTTGTACATGTTGACGAATTTTTAATTTTTGTAATTAATAAAAAGATTACTAAGTTTCGCATTTTATGGTAAATTAACAATTTATAACAAATATTTATACAAATCTTGCGTGAAACAGGTACAAAAATTTACAAATCCTTGACAAAATTATGCATAAAATTTCTTTCAAACACAGCATTTTTAGTTTTTCATTTCTAAAGATTTTCAAATATTTTATTAATTTTTTTCTCGAAAGGAATATTCATGAGAATCGTCTGCTATTTGTGCAACTCATAAAAAGAACCCATTTGATGCCGTGAAAGAAGTCTCACGCTGTGTCTCACAACAAAATTGACACAACGACTTCACGCATCACATGAAAAGTTTCTTCAACAACATGTGCAAGTGATCGACCGTGTGCAGTTTGCGGAAACCATTCATTTGTTGCACGTCTACGTAAAAATGGATGAAACTTTAAGAAGTTCAGTCTTAGTAGAAACTGAGATAAACTAGATTGACAGGCCAAAAATTGTAGATAATAAAAATAAAATAGATACATGCTATTAAATAACTGAACAAGGAGAAATAACAGCCATCAACTGATCTACCGTTACTATTTTTAAACATTCGTTCTCTCTAATTTTCAACATTTGATCTTCGATATTTAATCTACATTAATCGAAACGTCAGGCAAGGTGTCAGTAGAAAATGAGATTAAGTTGCACGTGATAGAGCTACATGATCATTTTATTTATTCTTTTTTGATAAATGATTGCATCAAAATATCCATACTATTTGATGGATCAAAAATAATAGAATCACAAATCAACTAAAACTTTTTCTCTGTTCATATTGCTCCACGGAGGAACTAATCCAAAATAGGAGAGCATATGTCTTGTCATTATTTACGTACGGCGCTGGCTCAAAAAGCGGTTCGCTCGTTGTGGAACTTGCTGACCCTGGTTCAAATCATACATAATGTAGACAAGAATTAGGATAGAAATATTAGGAACTATCTAACGCAAAGAAATTCGGTAATTTTCATAAATTACTGCATTAATTATGGTCTTTTACCAGCGTAATATATATATATATATATATATATATATATATATATATATATATATATATATACTATACAAATCTTTGAATTGATTAATGATAACAATTCGGTAGAATTCATACAATAATATATATATATATATGTGTGTGTGTGTGTGTGTTTGTGTGTGTGTGTTTATTTAATTATGTGTCTATAATATGTACATACGCGCTGGTGTTTGTAAGTTTATATTCACTTGTATAAAGTAAATGTGGGTGTAAATATTTACAAAAATAACTAACAAACTATATATATATATATATATATATATATATACATACATACATATACATATACAATATTTGCATATATATTTATTTACATGTTTATTTCTAAATTTCGTGTACATGAATTTCTAATACAACACGATGAAAATTTATAAAAAAGAAAACCGTTGATATTCATACTAAATGTACAACACTCAACATATCTGAGTGCTCGCTCAATAATAAACAAACCAAACATACAAGATAGACGACAGAACGTGAACAGAAACATTCATTCGTCTAAATGTTAGTTAACTGATGACAACTAAATGCTGGTTTGTGAATTTGTCTACATCTAGCCAGCGCATTATAATTTGTATTGCTAATATTTATTATTATTATTATTATTATTATTATTATTATTATTATTATCATCATAATTATTATTTAAATGCCTCTTTAAGTTCTATGTTAGTTCAAACTTGTAAAAGTTGTTTTTATTAAGTTTTTTTTAGTTCATTTTTGGTACTTAGTTATTTTAATTGTTGATAGAATATTAATTTTTTAGAAGTTGTATCAAATATAAATTTCTGTTAACTGGTGATGTTTCGTGTGTGTCGAACGCCAACATTTTTTTTTTGAAAAATTTATTAACTTGAGTTTAAATGTAAATAATTGGCCACACATTAAGAGAGCCTTAATAATTTGAATGCTATTGACTCTTTTATTTGTTTGCTGCTGATGAATAACTGATAATTAAAATTATAATTGATGAGAGGAACGAGATGACCAGTAAAGACCTTGGAGAATATTCTAATGACGGGAAGGAAGAAAACAAGCAATCCAAAGTAATGGACAAACAACCGTTCAAACAGCAAAACATATTTCAGAGATGGTTCTCTCCAAAAGAGACAAAAGCAAAACTGAACGAAACTGCCGTTCAATCTTCCGCCACTACATTGTCAAAACAACCTTCAACAAACAAAACATTTTCAGAAAAAGCGATAGAATTCCTCAGCGGGAAAGATAAACAACCAGCAAATGATGAGGGTCAACAACCAGCGTCTCATGAGCAACAGCAACCAACGTCTCATGAGCAACAACTGCCAGCTTCTCCCGAGCAACAACCAGTATTTTCTGAGCAGCCGGCAACTCAACCTACTGACACAGACGACCAAAATCAATCAACAACAGATACCCACAGAGAAGTTGCCACTCAAAAATCGAATCCGTTCAGAAATAAAATAATGAAACTAATGAGTCAAGTATGTATGAACAAAATTATTGTAAAATTTTATTTAGTATTTGTAATAAATATCATCTGTAAAATTATTATGATTACAGGTTGACTTTGAAAACTGCGATCCCGAAACGTGCCTATCTATGTTGAAAATGCCATCTCTTAAAATGTATGTAGCCTTGAACAAGAAACTGAAATCCTGTCGTCAGAGCGTGTGGATGGAAGAGTTTTTAGAGCTTGGAGGATTGGATATTTTACTGGAAGGTGTCAACACGATAACAGGCAAAAGGGTGCAACTATCGGATGCTCTGGTGCTGATCGAGTGCGTGTCATGCATCAAAACTGTGATGAACTCATCCATAGGTCTCAGAGTCATCACAAATAATAAGGAGTACAGTCAAAAATTGATCAAAGGTTTGTGTCTGAGTGTACGTATTTCAGTAACTTTGTAACCTCGTTTACTTTAACGTAAATATCTTTTTCAATACTCGTTTAAATATAATGACTTAAAATTTTTAACTTATTTTGCCTGTCTGTTGTTCTGTGAATAGTTATTTTCATTTATTTTCATGTTCATATTTTTTATTTCCTTTGACTTTATTTTGCGTCATTAGTTTTGTTATCTGTCATTCATTTCATTACATTTACTTTTTAATCTTACATATCGGGCCTGTTTTGTCAGAGTTTGATTTTTTTTGTAAAAAAAGTTATAAAAAAATAATTTTCATGTGAAGCACTTGATTCCAACAACACGACCGTCAAGAAGCAAATCTTTGACTTGCTGTCGGGCTTGTGCCTGTCGTCAGAGAAAGGGTTTGAGTGTTGCATCGAAGCTGTCAACTCGTACAAGGTACAAGTTTGTCTTCTCTTAAATTTGAATTATCATTCTTTTTTAATCATGGTGTAATCACCATCATCATCACACCATTATCATTATTATCATTGTCGTCGTGTAATCATCAACCTCGTTTAATCATCAACATCATCTTTTAAAGTTGCTTGTCACAATTTTCTGAGGCAGATAAGCAACCACTCGTTTAGAATTTGTTATATTGGATGTTATGATTAGTTGGACTGCTGCAATTAAATTTGTTTCATATTAAATAAATATTTTTGATTGATCGTTAGTCATTTTTGCGGTTTACTCATGTGATTTTTTATTTTTTAGCCAATCATGTCTGCAAATTAATGACAACTGTAAATAATTACTTCTATTTGTGAAATAAAAAAATACGTATTTAATGAAATGAAATAGAAAATAAAATAAATGTAAAGTAAACGTAAAAGGAGTTAATGAAATAACATTAGAAAATTAATTAATGAAAAATAATAAAAATAAATAAAAAATTAAAATTTTTTTTTCAATTTTACGCTCTACGGATGACAAATAATATTTCAAACTTCGCAGACAACTTCAAGCAACCGATACCGTTTCAGTTTCATGATGAACGAGCTGAAGAACCATTCAGTCCCCGATTACTCCTGCTCTATCATCTCCTTCATCAACTGCATAATACATGGTGTCGACGATCTTGCAGAAAGAATGAAAATCAGAAATGAATTCATTGGTGAGTGCATACACAGAAAAGCATTTCAAATTTTAAACGTAAACTATTACAAACAGTTTTAATATGAAGGTACAGAAATTAATCGATCGTATATATGGTTTGCTTGATTGAATGTGTTAGTAGTTTGCATTTGAGGTGTAGGGGGTAACGAAGGTTAAGGTTTTATGAATTGGTAAAAGACTTGGTAATAGTTGGTGTTGAAAAATTCTTCTCCCATTTGATCTAACTTCTATTTTAAATTTCACAATATATACATTTGTTTATTTTTACGCAATGAATTATTAGTAGAGTGACCACCAAATGTTGGATCCACTTTTCTACCGTTATTATAAATTTTACTAGTGAATTTGTCGCTATGCACTGTTAGAAAATGTTTGTATTCACAATTTATTCAATGCTCAATGATTTACAAATTTGGAAGCGCAATGTGCAGCTGATTGAAGGTAGGCTACACTTAAACAGTTGAAACAGTTGAGGCGTAAGAAAATGTTTCCAGTGCTGGTACGCATCAGACGGTCGAAAGAAAATGTTTAAAGCTTTTGAACAATAAATATTTCTTTCTAATAAGTTTTATTCATTTTTTTAAATGTGCATTAAAATCTGCAATTTTAAGAAGCGTCTTGAATCATATAAACTTGCTACGTTCTGTAGGGTTGAACCTGTTGGACATCATGAATGATCTGCGGTTCGTCAATCACGAGGACCTCCAGATACAGTTCGACGTCTTCACTGACGAAAAGAATGCCGACGATGATGAACTACTGCAGATGGCGAATGGAGACCAAAATGCAATCGACCTAACGAACCATCGATCTCTCATCGACGCCATATACAATAAAGTTGGATATATTTTAATTGCGGTATACAATTGACGATCTTTCTGAACAACATACACATTTAACTTTGAAACAGGTGTACAACACTCCACTGGAGTCAAAATTGATCAACATCCTCTGCTCTTTGATTCAAATTGATACTGACCAAGATGATAGGTGAAGTGATAATAATTATTTGTCTAGCGATTTTTTAGTTAGCCACTTTTATTTAGCACATTAATTTAGTGACACTGTGAAAAAAATTTTGAACAGCTCAAACATCTGGCAAACAATTGAAAGTATGGTGGCAAGGATTGTTGTTAGCGAGGATCCTCAACGACTTCTGTATGAAAAAAAACCACCATCTGTCGCCCAAAAAGCGATTGCTGTTCAAACAGAACAATGTAAATTAAAAAATTTAAAATCAGATCAAGTTGTAAAAGATGAATTGACGAACGCAAGCTCACTTTCATTTTCCGATGCAAAGAGTAAGGTGTCGTCCACGATATCAGATGTTCATAACTTACAAAAATCGAAAAATGTGATTGAAGCATCAGCGAGTTCAAATCAATCAGTCTCTCCTCTCCCCCCACCACCACCACCACCACCTCCTCCACCTCCACTACCATCTCTTGATTCTTCGCTTGCAAACGTTACATTCAACTTAATTCCCAAACTGGATGCTCTTCCTCTTCCTGCCGTTCACTCAGATGTTCCTGCTCCACCACCTTTGCCAATTTTATTGCCCAATCCTCTCTTTTCCGATCTTCCAACACTTCCAGGGGGACCTCCACCCCCGCCACCCCCACCACCGCCATTACAACAACCTCCTCTACCACCCTCACTACTACAACCTTCGCCACCACCACCACTACCTAACGGTCAGCCCTCTCTTGAAAAAAAATCTAATGCCCGACAGGCCCCAAGTTATGAGGCTCTCCTGAAAAAGTCTTTCGACGTTGCTGCCTGCATCTCTGTTCCGATTCCAAAGTCGAAAATGAAAACTGTAAACTGGACGAAGCTGCCTGCGCAAATTCTAACAAGTAAATATTTCAACTAAGAATTATCATTAATTTATTATTATTATCATTCATTAAGCATTTAAAATTATGGAACGAATTATAAAATGAACTACGTGAAAAGAAGAAGAAGTGATCTGGTCCAGTGTTTTGAAAGTTGCCGAACCATCCCAAGTAAATTACGGCGCTGTCGAGGAAATGTTCAGCAGGAAAGCTGCCCAGCAAGTAACTGCAAGTGCTGAGAAGAAGGTTTCTAGCGTGGTCGGTGCCTACTCCATTCTTTGCTTTCAACTTGTTAAGCTAACAAAGTATTTAAAATAATTAAAAAAAACTTATCTTTACTGAATATTACAATATTTAATAATAATAATAACAATAACAACAATATATTAATATTAATAATAATAATTATTATTATTATCATTAGTTAAATTGTTTTGAAAGGTAAATTTACTGGACATGAAGCGAAGTATGAACATGAACATATGGCTGAAACAGTTCAGGACGAGCAACGAGGCCATCATTGAGATGATCGAGAAGGCTGACGTGCAGCAAATGGAAAGTGAAAAACTGAAAGGACTCATAAAACTGTTACCCGACCGAGCCGAGGTTATCATCGCAACGTTCCTTGCATTGTTCATTGTTTCTTCCCTAGTTTAATTTTTTCAATTATCACCAACAATCAGCTTACAAAATTTACTGAGATTGAGACAAATGAAGACAAATAATGAAAGTAGCACAGCATGTTTTTTAGTTTTGAAGACAGGTCTTCAAGTCATGAACGACTAGTTTATAATTCAGTTTCTCACGTAAATCATTTTACCAAAGCAAATAATTTTGTTGGCATGTGATTGGTCTATCAATGGCATCCGTAACGTAGTTTTGTTTCATTCGATCTTTTGAACGGTTTCTTTATAGAAATATTATTTCGTTTAAATATTTCATTTGTTGTCTTCTATTGATTTGATTTTAAAACTTTTTCAGATCGATCTGCTTACGAATTTTGACGGTGATCCAAGCACGCTGGGTAACGCAGAGAAGTTCATAAAGCAGCTGTCGCAATTGAATGATTATGCTTTGAGGCTTAATCTCATGTTGATCAAATCGGAGTACATGATGACTTACAATTCTATCCACGAAAGACAAGAAGCCTTCCTCACCATGTGCCAAAACATCTTGGAATGCGATTCCTTGAAAACGTTTTTCAGAGTTGTCCTCCAGTACGGGAACTTCTTGAATGCGGTAGTTGAATTTTCTTCTTCGATTGATCTTAATAACTTTCAACTAGTGATATATTAACATTAATATTTAATAAGTTTTATATCATAATATTAAAAGTGCAGTGTTTAAAGTTTAAAGACTATCATAGCAATTATTTTTATCTAATTTAAGTTTTATAGATTTGCATACAAATGATAGTTGAGATGATCGTAGATAATTGGTTAGCTAATAATAAAATTTAAAAAACTGACAAACACACCAACGAAACATTTCAAGAGTGGCAGCCTATGAATTGACAAAATGCAGATAGACAACGATAAGAAGGTGTTAAACCTCGCCAACAGACATTAAACCGCACATCATACCACTCTTGACATGTGCACCACCCAAAAAATTGTAAAAAACAGCCAGACCGACACCTTAAATATATTAATAGTAATAAGTATAGTGTGCTATTTCAAAGCAACAGATCTTGCTTTACACTGAACTGGTTCAAATACATCCGCCTATCGCATTATTAAGTTACATTTATTAATTTAATTGAACGTCGTTCACGAACTGAATGCAGTTGCCTATTTATGTGATCTTAACAATGGGTGAAAAGCAATTTGCCAAATAGATTTCTTGCTGGCGATTGGTTAAAAAAGTACGTTCGACTGGCAAATTCTACTATTTTACAAATGGCAGTAAGTTACGAATTGTTTTCCCAAAAGATACAATTACAGAAATATATGCGAACAGAGTGTGAGCAAGCTGCGAAACAGTCAGCCTTACAATTTCAAAACTTTTGGCATAAGCATAGCAGTCTGTTCTATTCATGCTGTTTCTATTTTTTGACTTGCTTTTTTTTTAAATAAACGCAACAGTTTAAAATATTACAACTGAAAACATGTGAATATTCGGATCGCTTTTTGGTCATCGGCTAACGTTTACACGGATTTAATTTGTTGAGTTAAAATGTATGAAAAAAATGTAATCAGTTAAAAACTGGTTCAACAAACATTTTATAGGGGAGTTACGCTGGAAATGCACTGGCCATCAAAATTTCATCACTGCCAAAATTGTCGGACACTCAAGGTAATCAAAGAGGAATAACATTGCTCCATTTTTTGGTGAAAGAGGCACCGTCACATTACTCCAACGCTTTAGATTTTGTCGACAATCTCTACGAAAACTTGCTTTTTTCTTCAAAGTAATTTCAACAGTTTACGATTATTGCAAATGTTAAATTAGTAACTACCTAAAATTTCTATTTTGATTATTGTATGGTACAAATGTTCAATGCCTTCAAAAAAATTTTTTGTGTGCATTGTAATTGAATCAAATGATAAATTTAATTTTATAATGTTTTCGGCATTTCAATGCGAACAGGTTTGTGAAAAGTTTTTTTTTCTTCTACACTTCAATCTTTCAATTTTAAATAAAATTTTGTGAGGCGTTTAACAAAAATTAGTGACAACAGATATGGATAGAAAGTACTGAAACATTGTAATGTACGAAATGAACTAGTGATTTTTAAAATTAATTGAGCAAGCGATATGATCAATAAATTTCATTGAAGATAACTTTTCATATTTTGACAGAGTGTCTTAAAGCAGGGGCATTAATAAAATTTTTCATTTTACAAGAACATCATTGAAATACTTGTTATTAGTTGAGTTGCCGTGTTAAAATTAAGTAGTAATCAGTTGTTCATGATTCATGTTTGTCACTTTCAATTTCAATCTCCTCTTTTTGTGATGACCAGCAGATAAATAATAATTATATTTAAATAAATTTATAGTTTTGCTAAAAAGAGTTTGTCTAGAAGGAGAAACAATTTTATTGAAATTAGATTTAAATGAAGTGCTAACAAAAGAAATCCATGTAATCAGGTTATCGACGGATGGATTGAGTTCCGATCTTGCGAAGTTGTCAGCATCTGTAGAGAATGCTGACAAACAGGTTCAATCGTCTTCGTGTAGTCAAATCAAGGAGCAGTTCACTTCATTTTTACAAGTATTGATTGCATTTCCTTCGATAAAATAAATTGTTTTGTCATTTGAAAATTGATTTAATGTATTTTCTAATAAGTTTTTAAAATTAGTTTAATAATTCATTGTTACTGTCTTAATTATTTTATAAAATGGATAAAGGCAATAATGAATGTTACGCAAAAACGGTATTGAAAAATTTTTTGAAATAAATTCTTCGGCAGGAAGCACGTTCTGATATCAGTAGGATTAAAACTCGGCAAAACCTAATAAAGGAGCAATCAATTTTATTGTGCCGTCACTTATGCGAAGAAGAAAGCACATTTAAATTAGAAGAATGTGCTGCTTTGCTCTACAAGTTCTGCGATAAAGTTAAAAACTGCATCAAGGTAAACATTTTGTGTTTATACGTTCATATTTTTTAAGCATTGCAAAAACAATTCTGTTCAGGAAAACGAGTTGCGTCGATTGCAAGAAGAAAGAGCAGAAAAAAGAAAGAAGGACCAGGCTGCCGAATTGTTGAACGCCGACAAAAACAAAGGTAGATCTACACTTTTGTGTTGGGGTGAATGTAGTGAATAGTATATGCTAAAAAAGGTTGATTTTTTCGTTCCAAATTCCAAACTCCACCTCTTCTTGATGTTCCAACTAATGACGCATTGGTTTGGTAATAAACAAATATCATTCTTGATTTCAAGTCCATATGAGGCTGTTTGTTATGAAATCTTATCTAATCTAATTCACGGTTTATGACAAAGTATACGGTTTTAAATATATAGGAAACGTATGAAAATACATTAAAATTGAATGCTAAACAGTCATGTACCGACTTATTCTAAACTGGACGCGATCTGTACCTGCCACTGTTTTTGCAGTATTTATAACTTTGTTTCACAAACTATAACAAAACTTTTTAATACTTCTAATTTTACATCTGACAAAAATCTTTTAATTAATTAAGAAAATCTTTTAACTCAAGCACTTTGAAGAACACCGTCGAATTTAAATTGTTTTTTTTTATTATGTTTTATTTTAACAACATTTCATCATTCTTTTTAAAAGATAATTTTTAATTATTTATAACTTGGTAGAGATTGGTTAAAACCATATATACATAGAATAAAACATACAGTTTTTTAAACCCAACTGTTTTCTTATTTCAACGTTTTTCAGAGCGGTCCAGTCTGGCGTTAAACACGGAGAGTGACTGCATAATAGACAGGCTGTTGGATGAAATTAAGAAAGGTACAAAGCTGCGAAGAGTTGGAGGAAAGAAAAATAATATTTCAACAGTACCAAGCGCCGGCAAGATAGCAACCAACACCAACGGAGTCAGCAGAAATAATGAAGATCTGACTAGCAGCGTTGAAGCGGCAAATATTCAGCCGACTATCATCGTTGAAAAAATCTCGGAAGACTTTTCAGAAACGTAACAAAGTACAATAATAACAAATAACAACATGGAATGTCAAGTGTATAAAATTTATTTATTTATTTTATTTGAATTTTTCATATTTTTTATTAAATACCAAAGTGTTCCCTGTTGCGAGAATTGTGAGATTAAAAAATATGTGAAAATGAGATGTTTGCTAAAAACGATTGTCGTCGTTCGCTTCTGTTTCTCATGCACGCTTCTGATTTGTTTGAGGCACCTTGTTATCGATCTGCACCACATTTTTGTATTTTTTCTCATTTTCTGTATTTTATTTTGAATGAATTTATTTTTTATATTATCTGCTTTATTTTTCATTTTAAAAATCACCCTAACCCAATGAAACATCTTGCAATTTAATTGACGCACAGATCCCTCTTTATCTGTTCCTTTTTAACCTTGTGATACGGCAAGAAGAAACTTAATCTCAATTAACCTTTTACGTACACTGCCAACAAACAACATGGTCATTTATTCACACCTTTATAACATTCTGCAGTTTTTGAACAAAATTTGACCTCTTCGTATGTTTCTTCATCAACATTTGCCGTCAACATACAAGCTACGCAGCGAGTCCATTTCAAAAAATTTGGCGCAAACCAGCCGTCTTTTAATTCGTGCTATTGTCAATTAACTGTTCTGCAAAAACGTTGTGACTGAGTTAATATATTTTATGTTTACTTGTATGCTTCTATTTTTTGTATATCCTGACTTCAGTGCCGTTCGGTAACGAATTATAAGTAACGAAGTATTGTACTTGTGAAATACATTTTACACTTTACTTGTAACCAAAAAAACAAAAATTTTGTCATATTATTCATTACTTATAACCAAACTTTTGTGCAACTAAGCCTGTGCAGCACACCGGAACTTATGATAGTATTCTTATCTGGCAACAACGCAAAACATGGCACTTGAGCTAACTTGCTAACCATCTAACATATTTATAACGTTTTTTTCTATTTCCATCTTTGTTTTAAATACCATTTGATGCTTAGTAAACCCAAAAATTTTTTTCTCAAAATAAAATGAAAATTGTTAAAAATTACAGTACTCATCCAGTATCGTCCCATTGCCTGCCCTTACTGGAAGAAAAGTCAATACATCAACAATAATTTAAGCCCTATAGTTCGATTGCCACATCTATATCCCTGTAAAAAAAAATTAAAGAGCTATTAACACAAAATTTGAATCGAAAACGAACATTGAAATCATTTTAAATTTTAATGGATAGTATCAATATTAAAAGATATTTTTATTTATGTGCCAAAACTAACAAACCTAGTAAATTTTTTATTGTTTTTCTTTTCAAAAATCGAACCATGCCATACGCAGAGATTGGTACGACATGTTGTGCATACATATAACAAAGAATTGAACTGACAGCCACAAAAATAACGACGAAAAAATTGTACAAAGTACAAATACAATTACAAAATGAAATTGATACAAACGACAAACAATGAATTTTTTGATTAATATATGAAATTAAAAATACATATAAAGGACTCAAAATGACTTTGAAATAAGACTGACTAGTGAACAATAAAGAAAAACGAGTGATTTTTATTAATATCTAAATGAATGACATGATCTGGGAGTGAATATCACGAAATTTGTCATCAAATCTTCTTTTCATCCCACTAATTTGACTTATCAAAATAAACCAAAATTCTTTTTTATCTCACTTGCCTTATAATCTATAACTTTTTTGCGGCGATGAATGCTGGCATCTCCGATTTTTAGATTGGTTGAGTCTACTTAATAAGCTTTTTCTATGTTCGATGGCTCGTTATGCGGTGCTTTTTCTCATTTTCAGAAATGATGAATAATTAAAAATTGTATTGACAGCATTTTGGTGGCTTTATATTTTAACAACTTGTCTTATTGATCGATGAAATTAATAAAAATTTATCATAATGATAAATTTAACTTGGCTTGTTTGCAATCTAAAATTTACTTTCATAGCGATGTTTTCTCAAGTTACACGAAAGGGTGTTGTAATATGGTTTAAATATTTATGGCATTCTTTAACATTATTCATGCTGTTGATTGTATTGAAAATATTTTAAACATTTCATCAAAATCGTTTAATCTGTTTTCAATTATCATCTTAATATTTTAAATGAAAATCAAATCTTTGCATTATCTGTGTGTGTGTGTGGGTGTGTGGGTGAGTGGATGTCTGTTTGTATGTGTGTGCCTAAATCTTTGATCCACATATATTAAATCACAGATGTCGTCAACAAATATTTATTAGCGATTACAAATATTCCGATACCGTGCCATGGGAGATGTTAGCATACACACACACACACGCACGCACACACACACACACATATATATATATATATATATATATGTGTGTGTGTGTGTGTGTGCGTGTGTGTGTGTGTGATATATACATATACATACACACACACCCATACACACGCATGCGTACGCACACATTCATATAGAGACATTTGTATAGGTACAAATATTTTCCATAGTTAATTCTCAATTATACTGAAGAATGACAACTCGCAGTTCGGCGTTATTTATTTTGATGTTTGAATTGTTGTTGCAACCAAAATATTTTCATAATTAGTATACAGGTGTCTGTATCGTATATGTATTTATATAACATGTTAAATATATATATATATATATATATATATAGAGAGAGAGAGAGAGAGATGGAGTGAAGAAAAAAGAAAAAAGAGAAAGAAAGAGAGAAAGAGAGAGAGAAAAAGGGAAAGCTCTATTTATTCAAATATACATCTAACATGCTTGTAATATATTTATTATGATTATTTATATATATTTAATAGCATCAGTTAAAATTTAAGAAAAACACATTAATAATAATGTCATGAATAGAGAATAGGCTTTTTTAGAGCGTAAATCATCGTGGTTATATAGTCCATGATTGTCTAGACAGTAATAAGCTTCCATTGAGAGACTACGTTTGGACGTGGTTAGCTGCAATAATAACACAATTTTGAATGTTAACTGAATGTTAGCCGGCGAGTTAGCTCAGTCGGTAGAAGTGCCATGTCTCGTGCAGTTACGCGATGGTCTGGTTCGAATACTGGTGCTTACATCCTTTTCATATCTGGATTACCACAACAGTTTTTTATATTTTCCCCCTATGCATGGCCGACAACGTTCAATTATCAATAGTAACTGATTAAAATTTGATCATGTGACACTAGCAGTCAAAGAATTTTGCAGGTTGCGGTCGGTGTGTCATGTCACACACTGTTATTACGGAATGGCCTGGTTCGAATGTTGTCTGTCTGAAACTGAAAGACTATCATACGCCGTGCAGGTATGATGCAGTACTTGCACGTGTATGTATAATGTGTGTCTAAGAAGTATGGGATGGATATAGTAACCTCTGTGGTAGGAAAGTTAGGTACAGAATGGCGTGTAAGCAGTTCTGCGTTTTGCAGAGCTGCATACTGAAGAACAAAAAAGGATGATTGTTTAAATTGCCGAATGGCTTGGTTCTCAAATGTCCGTCAAGTCAAGTTAACAAAAAGGCAATATGGACAATTTTTCAGTACCTGCTCGATGGAAGGTTCCAATATATAAATTGTTAGTAGAAACCACGATTCCAGAATAAATCTTTCTAAAACCTCTCATTCTTGTACACCAGCCAGGTTTTGCCGTAGAAATTGATCTTTCAACTTGGCAGTATGTTGAGCAAAATATCTAAAATAAATAAATAAATGCAAACAACTTATGAAGATCTTATACAAATCCTGATTTCTAGCCAGAGTTGTGATTCAGCATTAGGAAGGTTGAAAGAATGTACACTGCAGTGGAGTGTACACGAAGATGAAGATTGGTAGTACATTCATTATGAACGCAGCAGTGAGCACCACGCTGACGCTCATTTTTAGATGCAGACTCGTTTTAACCATACGACAATCGAGGTTATTTGCTAATACTATTTAGAATTATATCAGCGAAATATTTTCCAGCAAAGCTACTGTCTGGAACACTTGAAAAAATTTCATCATTGTCTTTGAAATCTTATTTAAAATCAATTTTTCTCAGTTAACTGCTTAAAATAGATGTAAAGCAGATCAACATAGAAATTATTTTTTCTCATTTTGGAGGAATTTGAACCTCCAAAACTCCCGTGCTGGCATTAGGCAGACTGTATTTAATATAGCAAGTAAAAAAGAAATCACGAGATCTGACGTCACACGTTGCAGAGCTTATGCCTGCTTACACCTTGAATCCAACACACATCATATCACGTGCACTGCTGGGTGGGAAAACCACAAAGATTATGCTTCATTAGCAAAAAGTTGCTGAAACTGGTAGCAATCCAGAAAATTTACGCATATATGTAAATATATAAAGAATAAATTGTACATGCTAAGATAGGCTACAAAGTTTTCATTTTCTTCTGCTGTTTTTTTATCTTTATGATAATTTTATTATAATTGTTATCAATATCCTTAATGCACTTTAATTATTATTGAAGCTGTTAAACACCATTTGGGCGCAAAATCTAACCAGTTTATTATTATTATCATCATAAGTATCAATATTATTAATGTTGTTAGTCTGTTGCTGTTAATATTATTATACACTGATGTAAAGACGATATAATTAAAATTCAGTTGGTTTATTCTTTTCATACATTTGTTATTTTTCAAAAGTGCTATGCATCCAGCTAGCACCTCTCGAAATTGTTACCATCGTTGTGACAGCTAGGATTGTGTGGCTGCTGTTCGCAAGCCATGTATGTGCTCGTCGCAGTAATTAAAAATACACAGTATTGTTCAGCTTTCATGTTTTCGTTTGTTGTCGAACTAGCATTACCTACACGCATTCATCTCCTCAGTGTAATTAATTATATATTCAAATATTATATGTGTCTGTTTGTGCGTGCGTGTGTGTGTGCGTGTGTACGTCACATTCAGGCTTATCAATTTTTGTTTATATTTATTCATTCATTCAGTTGATCTTTCATGTGATCGTCCATTCGCTCCTCCTTCT